CCCTCCCGACTGAGGCGCGGCGCGGCGGGGTCGGGCCGGCCGGGCACAATGAGGCGCCAGCGCGCATGCGCCACCTGTCAAGCGGCAGGCCCCGCCCCCGCGCCGCTCCTGCGGGGGTTAACCCTCGCGCGCCCGCGGCGGGGCCGGGTTCGGGCGGGCTGGTGCGCGGCAAGGCCGGGCTGGGGATGGTGGGCGGGGTAGTCTGGCACGGGGGGACGAGATGCGCGAGGCCGACCTCGGGCGCCTCCAGCTCCCCGGTGCCCTCCAGCTGCGTCGGGACCATCGCGTCGCCCATGCCTGCTGGGGACGATGGGGGTTGTAGTCTGACCCGCCCCTCCGCCTGGGGGAGGCTGATCTAGGGCTGCCCTTCAGCGACAGCTCAGTTCGCCCCGGGGATGATGGGGGCCGCAATCTGACAATGCCGGGGTCCCGGAATCCCCTCCCCTGCGCCGCAGGGGCACCATGCTGGGGGGCGGGGGGCTGTGCTGGTCCCACATAACGCACAGGCCTCCCGCCCTGGGGCTTCCGGCACCTCCGTGAGCCAAGCGAGTTGGGAACGGAGGACGGGGCCGAGCAGCCAGGCGCAGCGTGGGCAGAGGGGCTGCCACCTCCTCCTCCCAGCCTGGCTCCTCTGGCCCACCACGAGCCGAGCCATCCCGTGCTGATCCGGCTGTCGTTCGACGCCGGCCCCGTGAAGAATTCGCGGCACTTCCTTGCCTGGAGATAAAGCAAGGGGGAAGGAATGCACATTCCTGTGCGCCAGATTAAAAACACAGAAACAAGACCGGCGGCGCCCTGTGTGCCACGGCAGCTGGCACCCTGAAAGACCGGCCTTGTCGCTTCTGCGCCTTTTTCCTCCTAGCCCCGGCCCCGGCCCCGTGGCTGCTGCAACAGCTTCGGCAGGTAAAGCTTCGCAGACATGAGGTGCTGCGGGGGAAGCTTCACCTTCCGACGCTGCTGTACCAGGCACCGGCCTAAGAGCAGAACCACGAAGGAAACGCGTGCGCCCCTGAGCCAGCAGGTTTCGGGCAGCGATCCTTGCAGAGCCGATTCAACGTGGAGGGCCCCTTTCGCGTCACTTCATCTCCCCATGTCCCACAGCAGCTGACAGGCGATTTCTGGACGGCCACCAGCAACGATGGAGGGGATGAGGCCTCCAGCACGGCTGCCCCCACAGCCTCTGGGATCCCAGTGTGTCCAGGCGTGGAGGGCGCATCCAGGGCACCACTCCCCCTTGACCGCCTGGTGGACGCGAGCGGGAGCAGCCTCGCTCATTGCCCCGGAAGGGAGCTGCGAGCGGAAGCAAGCAGAGATCTCCAAGGCGATGCTCCCTGGGGCCGGCCGGGGCCAGAGGAGAGAAGCCCAGGAATTCCCTGAAAACGGAGCCACGTCCTTGCCCTGGATGCTTTGAAAGGCAAGCTCGACCGAGCAGAAGCAGGGAATCATTTCCATCGTCCCTCTGAAGAGCCGATCCCGCTCTCGGATGGAAAGTATCTTCCCGGTGGCAGGCGAGGACTCAGAACAGCAAATAGCAACAGGAATAAACAACTTGGGCGTTAAACGGCCATTAGACGACTTGGCTGGCACCCCCAAAAAAGCATCGGAAGCCGTCCCCTATCAGGCCGTACCCCAGTCCATCTCACCCAGTCTCGGCTGGCTGCAGTGGCTCGTGGGGTTTCTGGTTGGGTGACTTTTCCAGCCCTCCCGGGAGCTGCTGCTGGGGACTGGCCTGCGGACCCTCCTCGTGACCAGGGAGGGCTCTGCCCGTGAGCTGCGGCAGAGCAAGGCCTCAAGCAGCCGAGCCTCCCTGAGGAGGACGCCCAGCCCTGGCCACGTCCACTGGCACTGAAGCCTTGCTGGGGGGTGACCAGCTGCACACCCCAATCCTTTGCACCAGAGACGATGCCAGGAACTGAACTTGCAGCCTCTTGCACGCCAGACAGAGTGCTACTACTTTCCTTTAAAAACTAAGTAAGTATTCCAGTCCTCATTGTTCCGAAGAGAAGACTGACTGAAGGAGGAGCGCAGGAAGCGCCTTGCACGGTCAGACCTTTGGCTCATCTAGCCCAGTACAGTCCGCATTGGCTGCCTTTGGCTTGCCGGGCTCTCAGGCGAAAAAATGGCTCCCCAGCTGGCCCAAGACAAGGTATTGCCCGAGACAGGATTATTCCGCACTTACTAGGTGTACAGGGGACTGCCAGCAGGGCATCTCTAATGCAGAACTCGCGACCAGGCAACCCTCCCCATCGCACCAACCTGCTTCCCCTGGAGAAAGCAGCTGCATCTGAGTTTTTACTCTGCTGCTCCTTATAAGCACACACACACCAAGAGAGCGGAGGCCGTGCGTATACAGAGTGCGCCTTTCTTGGCTTTGCATCCAGGGGCTCCAGTGGTACTTGAGGTTGTTTTTTTAAATTAAAAATATACAGAAAGCCATCCGAAGATTCAGAAGGAGCGGCCAAAAGTGGCATGACAAGCTGCAGAAGTTGAGTATTTATTTAAAGAGGGAGCATGTACCGGAAGAGTAAACACAGAAGGTTGCATTCACACGTGTGTGAATAGCATATGTAATCCCTTCCAGCATCGAGGCACTTTGGAGTCATGTTTGTGTCTGTGGTTTTCTGCTTTGTCAAAGGAGACTTTGGGACACATGTGCTCTGGGAATCCAAATTGGTCTGAAAATGTTTTGGTCCTCAAGGGCTTCCAGGTGAACGATCCTGGGCGACGGCTTTGTGAGGGTGCTAAGAATTATCCATCCGAATTGTGCACTTGGCAAGCAATGTTTATTAAATTCTTTCTTTCTTAATTCAAACCCAGGGGCTTGAATTAAGCGAGGTCCACAGGAACTGCGAGTTCCTTGCTTCAGTTCCTTGCTCGGAAGGCAAGACCTCAGTAAAGATCTTCCTCTTTTAGTATCTCATTTTCTGTTTATCCCACTCTTCAGACACGGATTGCCTCCCAAAGCATCTCGTAGCATCAACAAAAACAGAAAGGAATTTCCCTCCAGCTTGCAGAAGAAAAAGACTATCTTGCCCTTTGTGGGCTGACATGGAAAGCGGAGGCAGGCTGCCCTTTGACTGCAGTTCAAAGGGAGTAGCTAAAGCAGATAAGGAGAACTCTGCCAAACAGAGGACCGCTCCTCCCACCGACAACGAGGAAACGGGCTGTTTGTTTGCTTCAGTAATTTCCCTCCTGTCTTCCTGCACTGGATCCTACTCCAAGGGGTTGAGGATTCGATAACTATGACTCAGAAGTGCAAGGTAGGAATTTCAGAGGATTCTCACTGGACGGGACCAGGAGTCCACCTAGCCTACAGTGGCTGTGGGAAACCCCCCATGGCACCTTCCCACCCATTTTCCCCAGCAAAGGGTGTACACAGGCAGACCGCCTCGGCCGCAGGATGCAGCCTTTGGCCAGAAGCACCTGCGGCCACGGAGAGCCACGGAGGCATTCAATCTCCATGAACTTGCCTCATTTGCTTTTAAAGCCTGCTGGCCCGTGGCCGTCAGAATACCTCGTGCAAATGGATTCCATAAGCGGACAATTCAACAATTCAAAGTAAAAAAAGGTAGCAGCTAAGGAGCAAGGCTCGAAGTGGGAAGAGTGTGCTGGGATTCATTTATTCCTTTGGTTTGTATGCCGCCCCAATAGCCATATGCTCTCTGGGCGGCTGAAAGCACAATAAACAATTAAAACAATGAAATCCGACCATAAAATCATAATATAACATCAATATATAACATCAGAAGAAAAAAAAAAGAAAAGACGTATAAAACTAAACCCTTGATCTACTTTAAAATGTCCCAATACCCTAAAAATTATATGTGCAAAAAGGGTTTAACCTGGCATTAAAATCAGAGTATGGCGGCGGCAGCAACATAAACCACTGAAAACATGAAACCAAAAGCATCACGGAAAAGATAACTTTTTAACTGGCACCTGAAAGAAGAAAGGGCTGGCGCCAGCTGAACTTGGGTGGGAGTGAGTTCCACCGTCGAGGCGCCACTACAGAAAAAGCCCTTCTCTGAACCTTCTCCTCATTTAATGAAATCCAGAAGGCCCAGCCCCCCTTTCAGCCCATATTATGGATTAATAGCGTTTCAAAATACAGTAACAGGCAGGAGCTAGCACAAAAGGAACCGGGGCTGTGACCCCAAGCATCCTTCCTCCCCACGTGGTCTGAAACGGGCTGAGATGGCCACTTGGAAGAGGCGTGCCCTCAGACATGGGGGGTGGGCGAAGTAAGCCCCCCACGGATCCCTGCATTTTGACTGGCGTCACCCTGCAACTTTTACGCGCCTGAAGTCCCACGGAGCTGCCAGAAACACACCTCAGTCGTTGGCTCATTGCAAGAGGTGCTTCTTGGCTAAAGGGCATCTTCCACCAAACACCCCACAAAGGTGCCCCGGGGACACCCGCCCCAAGCGCATTTTTCCTGGGCAAGGTGAAGAGCCCACGAAAGGAGCTGTGGTCCTCCAGGTGTTGCTTGGCCTGCTCTTAATTCTCCCACTCACAGCCACAAAACCCTCCGCTGTGGCCTCTCCCCCTGCTGCAGCCGTTCCGGCTGTGGGAAGCAGTGCTGAAATGCGGGATTTTCACTTCCCCGGAGGGCCACGCGCCTGCCACCTGCCTCCGGCGGGAATTCTCCTCTGCCAAGCAGGGTCTTGCTTGGCCGTTCTTCTCTCCCCTCCCCGTAGCAACTCGGTGAGGTAATGGCGGGGGGGACGGACCCGAATGTACTCATTCATTCTCTGGCTACTCAAGGCGGGAGGAGTGGATAAACCCGGCAGCCTCCGGGAATTGTTGCTTAGCAACGCCAAACACATACAGAAGTGGACAATCCTGCGGCAGGCAGCCCTCTGGATTCCCACCTAAGTTTCTGGACGATGAAAATTAATCCGCTCTCTCCTCGATGCCTGACATCTTCGGAGCAGCTCAGCCTCCCTTTCTTGACCCTCTGAAAGGTAACGGTGGCAAATAAAATGTGATTCCCTCGTCGTGAAGCGAGGAGGCCATTGGAGACTGGAGCACGAGCACGGAAGAGGACACGAGGACATCGCCTGGCACCCGTTTCCACGGGCCCTGCGGCGACCTGGCTGCACAGCCTCTGCTTTGCACGCACATACCCCAGGCTGAGACCCTACAGTCTCCAGACAGCGCTGGGACACATCCCCTGCCTGAAGCCCCAGAAGCATAAATAAGTCCTGGACTAGAGGAATGTCTGGGAAAAGGCAACCCCCTCTGTTTTTCTCGAAACCAGCCCTTTATTTAGAACCATGAGGACTAGCACCTTCCTTTTTAGGACAAGGACCACAGCTCAGTGGCAGTGCACCTGCTTTGCACAGCTGTCAGTTCCAAGCCTCAGCCTCTCCAGACAGGGTAGGAACAAGCCCCTGCCAGAAATGGGTGGGGGGATTGCTGCCGGTCAGTGTTGAGCTTGCTGAGCCAGACAGACTGATGGTCTGATGTCATGAATGAGGACGTTGCCCCAACTCAGTGGAGGAGTTGCGAAGAGCAGGCAAGACTAGGAGAGATGGGCAGAACGCCTGGCCAATAAGGCAGGAAAGGAGTGCAGCTCAGCTGGCCCCTGCAGGGAAGAGAAGATTAGACGGGATGGACGCTTCGCCTGATCCAGCATGGCTCCGCTTCGGTTCTTAATACTGGGCCATTTTAGAATTGTGTATTAAATTAAATTTATTAAATATATTAAATATATTGTTAAGTTGTATTATTCTATTTTGAAGTTTTTTTATGGTTGTGAGCCGCCCCGAGGCTTCGGCGAATGGGGCGGCATAGAAGTCTCCTAAATAAATAAGTAATAAAGTTACTGGCTTGGTTTGGCGGGTTGAAAGACTGTTGCTTCATTTGCTTCCCGGGTGTGTAACTGTAAAGGTGTTATAGCGGATCGCTGTCCCTTTGTGACGCTGCCTGAGGATCCTGCAGACGAAAGTCAGTCAATACAAACAAACAAATTTGGTGTGGCCACACTACAGCGACCCTTTCACTGAACGTGGTCCAGGGTTTGACAGTGTGCATTTATGCAAGGGCGCAAGAGATGTGGCTGGGGGCAGAGTCCGACCTGGCACCCTTGTCCCAAGAGTGAAAGCGAGGTGCAACTGGCATCCTATTAGCACTCCGAAGTGAACTTGATGGGCCTTAACGCTGTCCTAGGACAGAGCGAGGGTACCCGGAGTACGGCAGCTGCCACAATCACGCAACTCTCGTCTTTTACGTGCAGAATAAAACATGGCTGCAGAGAAGGGTGACGACGATCCTGAGGGAAGTGCCTTGCTGGAGCTGCCCTTGGAAGCGGAAAAGGGAAACCCGGAGGCTGGCATCCAGCCCCTGCCGCCAGAAATCGACGCTTGCTGGAAGGCCGTTTTTCATGAAAGCATACAACGGAGGACCCTGACTCTGCAGGGCCAGACGGTGGAGAAACTCCACAAAGTCAAGCTGAGGGAGAAGAAGGTGGAGAAGAAGGAACCTGCGGACGGCTTATCCCGCGAGTGGTTCAATGACGAGTCGACGACCCTGGAAACTCGGACATACTTGCTTGAAAAGCTGCTCCCTACCCTGATTCCAGGGGTGGAGAAGCTGCTCCAGGTGGCGGAAAGAAAGGGAGCCCTGGAAACCACGGAATTTGAGCCCCGTAAACTGGACCCCATCAACTTCCTGGGGGAGTACCTGATGAGGCACAACCCGTCCTACAAGAACTTGGCGATGCCCAATCCCTACGTGCGCGGAATGAAGGCCATCACGGATGAGCTGAAGACACAGGTGCCCGAGACCACCATGCACAAGTGAGTGAGGCCAGGCCCCGGCAGCCCCGTCCGCGAGCTCAGTCCCGGGCTTGCACCTGGAGGGGTGGGTGGGAGCGGTGCGGGGCTCGGGACCCTCAGTGGAGAAGGCACCAGAGCCATCTTCTTTAGGAAGGAAACAAGGGGGAGTGCGAACAGGCCAGCCCGCGGGGCTCATCCAGGGGGAGGTGGCCTGGGGGGCACAGGGTGGTAGGCACTCTATTCTCACCTGTGCCACAGGTAAAATGAGAGGCGGTAGCTGGACCCGCTGCAGGAGAATCCCCCCGTTTCCCCAACAGGAGAAGAATGCTCCTGAACAGGGCTCCAGCCAAGCCCTCAGCCCGGGCAGGACCAGGCTGAAGGTCCAGGTGCCCTGGGACCTCAGCCCCCAGAAGTGCCCTGCCAGCATGCCAAGGGCCGGGAGTGCCGAGATGCCTTCCGAACTGCTGGAAATCCATCGGCTTCGTGCCTGCTGCTGCTCAAGGGCGGTGCGGCTCAGCTGCTTTCCCCACTGCACTGTCCAGTGTGAAGGGCTGCAGCTTCCCGAGTGTGCGGACCCCGCCTCAGCCTCGGTTTGGGCACCCCGTTCTGCCTGCATGGGGGGCGCTGCATTTGTAACAGGGGACAGAGACAAGCAGACCAGCCCCTTTCCCTGCTTCTCACGTGGGGTGGGCAGGTGGTCCGTTAGAGATCGAGCGCAAGAGCGGCACAATCCACTTCATCTCGCATCGCCGAGCATCTGAAGGCTTTTGGGTAGAGGCGGTGCTGCAACGGCGGCGGGGCTGGCAGGGCTGACGCATGGCAACTTCTCCACCCGCAGGGAGGCGATGGCCCCCCCACTCCCTTTGGCCTCCCGGCTTCTCCCAGAACTCCTTCATAAACCTTCCAGTAACTGGGGTGGGCTGAATTTTCCCAGCCATCATATATTGTTCTCCGTGCGATGCGAAGAATTCTGGGGTGTGCTTGTCCCAAGGAGGCAGTTAAGACCCCCTGGCTCTGCAAATGACCTGCCCTGGTAGAATGCAGAGAGGCCAGATTGGGTTTGTGGACGTGGATGGGAACAGCAGCCTGCAATCTCTCTCCTTGAGGGGCACGGCTACGGAGGAGGTCATGATGAGTGCCCACCGTCCAAACTTACCCCGACATCACGGGTCCCAGGCCAGGACCCGAGCCGAGTGGAAGCAAGCCCCTATTTTAACTCTGGATGGGGGACCCTGCTCTGAAAGTCCGGGTATTGCTGCACCTTCCAGGTTAGCTCAGATGAAGACGCTGGTCAAAGAGAAACGGGAGCAGAGGGAGCAGGTGCAGAAGATCAAGGGAGATGTCCAAGACATGCGCAGGAAGGCGCTGGCCACGCAGTTCAAAGAATGGACGCAGGACGTCTCCAGGCGGATACCGCTTCTGCTGGTAACGAGGGCGAAACCACGGAGGGGAAGCCCGGAGTGCGGAGAGCCAAATTCTGCTCCGGAGGACCTCTTGCAGGCCCCCCTGCTGGTGCTGAGGCCACAAAGGAACAAGGTCACTGCCAGTAATCCAGCTTCAGGCACAGCCTTCAGGCTTTGGGGACGCGGGGAGAAACCGCACTTCCTGGCCAATGGCGTCGGCATGAGGGATGCTGTAGGAAACTGGGGTTCAGAGAAAACCCACACAGGATCGCAAGAAGCAGTCTGCATGCTCCGAGTCCCATCAGGCCTTTGGAGTTCCAGCTCAGAACTACCTCATGGCCAGTGACTGGACCCCAACAACAGGGCAACTCGCATTCAAGGGCTGAGCATGGCTTACTGTGGAAATGCAAGTTATCCTGTTGTTTGAGCCCAGCGACCCAAGCAAGCCATAGCTTATTAACCACAGTCTATGTTTTTCTTACCCTGCGCTATAAACTGGCTTGTTCATCATGGGCTGTTATCTTGGCTGGGTTCAGACAAGGCTGCAGCCCATGTTTCAGCCACCACCTAGGCTTAGCCTTGAATGCGAGTTACCCTTCGTCAGAAACCAGTCAGTACGCGGCACTTCAGCCGGCCAACCCTTGAAATAAGCACATTGCTTTGCAGATTCAAAGCGCCCTGAAATCATTCCTGGAGGTCGTCAGCTCGGCACCTGCAGATCCCCAGACAGGTAACGCAACACCCACCTTCCCTTTGGTCCAGGCCAGGCAAGAGCGCAGCAGAAGCCGGGCCTCCTCGCCTTTGGGGGCAGCTCAGTTTAGCATGCCCAGTTAAGATCCTTGGCTTTGCAAAGCAGCTAAAAGAAGGGGTGTTGTCCCAGTCACCCCTAACCTGTTGAACTTCAGTTCCCATAATCCCCCCACCTAGCTTTGTTTCCAAGAGCCGGATCTGGGTGTCATCTGCCCTTTCCAGCCACAGAGAAGCTTTGTCTTTCCTCTGCTTCCCGGGGCTCTTCCCATAGCTGAGCCCAATGCACTAAAGGCGCATTAAGCAGTGCTTTATGGTTTCATAAAGAGAATTTACTGCCTGTGAACGGCTTCGAGAACAAAGGGCAAGCGAAGTCTGCCGGGCGCGCTCTCATTTGTCTTCACTGACCCTGGGGTAGATGATGGGGAACAGCCAGCCGGCAACTCCCTGCATTGGCAAGGGACTTTTCCTCAAGGTGTCCCACAAAAAACCCTACACATTTCTGCCCCGGACTTCTTCGTGCTGGACCTAAGAGGCAGCTTGTGGAGTCCACAAGTCAGCCCTCTGCACGTTCACAAGGAAGCGAGGCCCACCGACAGGGCTTTTCAGAAGGTTGGACTCCTGCTGGGGACTCGTCTGTGTGCTTAGTTTTAGTGTTGGAGCGATGCTCCCATAGGGCTTGCCAGCGGCGGCTTTTCTCTCCATAGGAATCTATGCGCGACCCCTGGAATCAGTCGGGACGCTGTCGGTGAAGGTGAATGAAGAGGAGTTTGTGGAGGTGAGAGCAGGGCTGGGACCCCAGTCCTCTTGCCTCCCTCGTCTTGGCGCCGTTTTCCGCTCTTCCTCCAGCCTGGACAGCCGCGTTGGTGAGGGGCTTCCCGGCTGAGGAATGAGAGCATCTGGGGACGGGGACGGGGCCGTGAGAAGGCGGCTGCCCCAAGGGGGGTCCCCACAGCCACACACTGGAACCAGTACTGCTGCTGGGCTCCAGGGTGGGCTCCGGTGGGCCCCAGTGAGGTTGTGCGCTTGAGTATCACTCCAGGGCGCTCAGGGAGGGGGGAGCAGAAGAGCAACATGGGGCTGCTGGAAAGCATTTACATGTGTTAGCATGAGGAAGCTCTGCAGCCGGCAAACCCCCCCCCCCCCCCCCCGTTCCCCTGCCATGTCCCGAGTCATGATCCACTCCCTCTCAAGGATCCCCATCGCACCGTCCCAGCGGGCGCTTCCCTCACTCTCTAGCAGAGCTGTGAGCCTGGATTAATGGATCCGAAGCGATCGCCTGCATCCTCCCAGGCTGATCTGGTTGGGGACGCAGCCCAGAAAGGGAATGTTCCAAGTCGTGGACAAATTTAGACCGCCCCTGAGAGCTGCCACACTCTCTTCCACCGGCACCGTCGTTTTCACACAATTAGCGCTATTCCGGGAGCATCTGTTCTTGCTGCTGAAATTCTATTAGCCAATTCACGGAGCAGGCTTAATACCCCTGAAGGGGCCGCGACAGGCCCTCGACAGCAATCACTCTGCACAGTTACACACGTGTGTGTGTGCGTGTGTGTGTACAAAAAGAGAGGAGTGCAAGACTTCACTTGCCGAATTCTCACCTCCGGCAGAAATAAACAGTACAACCAGGTTAGACTGATAGAAAGGAGAGAAGCTTATGGACTAGAACCATAGCCTGCTGCCATGCTTTAGTGGTGCCTATTGGTATTGTCATTACGAAAATTCAAGGGGGAATAGTAAAACAGCCGCAGTGAGACACACACAAGTGCCAATTTCCCCGCTGCCTGCCTTTGAAAGTCATCCGTTTAGCATTCTGCAGAGAAACAGGTTTCTTAAAAAGGCAATTTGTCAATCTTGTTTTAAGCTTACGATGAGATATTTAACCTCAAAGTGACTGCAGCTAATAAAGAAAATTATCGGGGATAATAGGCACTGAAAGGAATTCACTTTGTCGGCACATTCTGCCATCAAGCACCCGTCTCTCCCACCTGCATTCTGAATTCTTTCTTATTAATCCTCAGGTGATGGAGTTAACCTTAGCTCAGGGGCAGGCAAAGTGTTGTGACCCAAGGGAACACACCTCTGAAGCCCTGGGCCTCTACCATGCCGGGTGGAGCCGATGGGAGTTGTAGTTGGCAGCCTGGCAGAGGTGGCAGTGGGCTTGCCTCTGACAAACTGAATTCAGCGATGGTTGCAAAGAATAAAGGGAGAGATGGCGGTCCTTCTGGACCGTTCATTAACCTGGAGCATGGTAGTCTGTGGAAGCTCACGGGGCGGACTTGGGTCCTGACCTGGAGGCTGCCCACTGCGTTTTAGCTTCTGACCTCCCAAAGGTCATCCACACACCCCGCAGCATTCACGAAGGTGGACATTTTGTGTGTGTGCTGTGTGTCTGAAGCAGTGGCAGGCGGGACATAGATAAACACGAGGAGGGATGATGCAGAGGCGACTCAGCATGAAGGGTGCGCTACGGGGGAATTCTGATTTTCTCCTCTCTCCCCCCAGTATCTCCTTCCTTACATCAAAAATTTTACCAGCGACATGTTCCAGCAGCTACTGCAGCACCTCCTGCAATGTGCCAACAACACGCGAGAAGCGATAAGACGTGATGTGTGGAGGCAGATGTTTCTCCAACTGTTTTTCGACTGCGACCATGGAAAGGTAGCTTTGCACGTTCCCCCCGAAAGCTCCACCACGGCCATAGCATATCAGCCCCACTTCTTCATGCGCAAAACTGTACGGACTCCGCTCCCCTTCCCAAACACCTTCTGTCGGAACGACTCACAGGTGCAGGAAGAAAAGGTACAGTCAGAGAGAGGCAGGTTTCCTTTCAGGTGCCCTTCAGTTGTGTTGGACTGCAACTCCCACCATTCCCAGCCAGCATGGCTGATGGAGAGCTGCCATCGAACACTTCTTGAAGGCTCCGGGCTGAGGTTAAATGGTGCAAAATGAACCACCAACAAAAGCGTGCCCAGAGTTTCCGAGCTTCTCTCTGGAGCCACCGGGGCTCGAAATTCAAGGGTCTCTGGGAGCCTAATCAAGCCCCACAATTGTGTGTGTCGGGTAGAAGACCCAGAGGATTGTGACTAGCCTTGTCTTGGCAAGAGTCACCTAGCGGAATCACTGAACCACCTCCAGGATTAGGAAAGGAAACACGCTCTGCGAGGCCTCTTCCACCATCCTCTTTGCAGGCAGCAAAACCGAGCAAGGGGCATTTAGATGAACTTTTAGGCCCCTTCTGGCAGTGACGGGGCAGTTTGTGTGAAGCTGCCCACACACCCAGTGGGAACAATGTCACATCACTGCGGGAAATTAAAATGACAGCTGCTGGTCCCGTGGATGACTCTTGCTGCAAGTAGCAGAAGCATAAGAACGGGCAAGTCAGTCCGTTTCCGTTCTTGCTCATTCTTTCCAGTGCTAAATTCAGTCGGCCCCCAAGTTATGGGAATCTGTCAAAGAGTGAAGTTGGCACGGCATTTCATTTTCGAGAGCGTTTGCCCGAGACCAGGCATGTCCACTTGCAAAGCTGCCCAATGTGCGGGCTTTCTGCAGGCCATCTTGCTGATACAGCACGTTTTTAATATATTCACAAATGCAGAGTTTTGCAGACATTCTCCAATCCGAGAACCCGCTGCGAAATTTGGAGAGCTGCCGATTTCAAAGGACGGCAGAGTGTCAGTTCCTTGTAGCTGAAAACACAACATGAGGAACATCCAAGGGAAAGTTTGACTGGGAGGCATTTCTTCCCCATCCGAACAGAGATGCCAGTGTGGCAAAACTGACCATGATTGCAAAAACTGGTGATGCCTGGGGGTTCTAATGCCCCCCTCCAGCTGTCACCTCACCTCTCCGAGCCAAAATTGTGAGCCTGAGAAGATTTTATCTCAGCCTTGGTTTTCTTCCATAATGGACTTTTCGGAGGTGAGGGTCTTTCTTCCAAGGGAGCAAGTGAGCGTCACTGTCACAAGAATCCCCGTTGTTTAAAATCTGCAGAGGCACCGTTGTATGCTCAGGATCTGCGTAAACGAACGCATGATGAAACCTGGGTCGTGTGCTCCTGAGAGTGGAGGCTTATTTCTGACGAGACCAAAGACCAACAGCAGGCCCTGAAGGGGAAATTCTGTGCAGAAATGTTGGCAGCCCAGTGGCAAGGGCTTGGCTCCAGGCACGAAGAAACGGAACTGCTTCTCCTGCTCACCAGGAGACTCATCGCCTTAAAAAACGCTCTTGACTTCCAGGGAGGAGGAGAAAGAGAACTGTACTCCCAACCCCACCTACAGGCACCCACGGTACGAGGAAAGGATGGATGGCATCCCGTGCTGGCAAAACAGGCTTGAATTGCTTCCAGAACTACAGCATGAATTTAATGCAACTTCTTTGCTTCGGCTAGACCTGGTTTCCTTCCCAGTCCTGTAATCAGTTCCTGCTGTGCCAAGCTCTCGAGGGAGGGCGGCAAATCCACCAAAGACCTCTGTGGCTGCTGAACGACCAGTCGCTCCTCTTGCTCACACTCTCTGGCCCAACTCAGAAAGCTGGTGGCTCCCACTTCTACCAGTCTGGTGACAAACCCCTTCCTTCACAGCCAGGCTGCTCCATCTCTCTCTCCCCCGCCGGATGCCTGGCCCCGAGCAGATAAAAGCAACTGTGCTGAAGCGACCCCAGCCCCGTCCGGCTCGGTCTACCCCGCATCTGTTCACCATACTGCAAGCCCGCCGGTGCATCATGCCTACAGCAGAAGCTGCATCCCAGTCGGGTCGGGAAACAGGTTAGGGCTGGAGATCTGAGGATGCGCTGGCATGCTCTGAAATAAAACACGGAGCCCGTGGACCTGCTGACCCAGAGGCAGGGGGCCTCCGCCACCAGGAGAAGCAGGCAGGCGATGCGATGCACAGCACAATGAACTCCACGTGACACGCTTGAAAACCGGGTCGACTGAGTCCGTGTTGGGTCGGCTGGGCCAGGGTCCCTTGAGCATACAGCAGGAACCTCATTCTCCCACATATCTGCGGGTGGGGGGTGCATGGGGAATAGTATTGTCCAGGGGAAGCAAAGCCAGGTGGGGCAAGCAAGGGCGTGCCACTAGTCCCGAAGAAAGGCTTCCTTTTTCTTCTTCCCTCCCCTTCCCTTTTTCCTTGTGTGCTATGTCTCTATGGGCTGCAGATCTTTCTTTTAATGACTGCAAGCACGTTTCTCCGCAGCCTTTTTCTGGCAAAGACATGGGGTGCGGAGGCTTTAAATAAAGACGGGAGGGCCGCCTGCAGCATACAAGGGGCCCATGATCGATTCTTCACATTCCTTCAGGAGGACCTCGGTGCTCCATCAAGTCACTGGTCGTGAGAACGAGGAGGCAGTCAGCCATTTCCAGGTCCCCGGCCCCCTTCTCCAGGGGCCGCTGGGTCCACCCGGTGCTTGTAAGGAGCTCAGCTCTCATTCGGCCTTCTCAGCCCCCTTCCAGCTCACCACCGGCAGGTCAACCCCTGGCTGTGCAGGGGAAACGCACACACAGCGTCAGTGGCCTTGGGGGCCCATTCTGCTGCCCGGGAACGGGGACTCGAAGGCAGCCTCAGAAATAACCTGGCGATTCAGAAGTGAATGCGGGGATTTCGGCACGCTGCGATACCCCGAACAGGAAGGAGATGGCAAAACTGGAAGGGCGAGATAATGCGGCCTGCGCTTCACGTCTCCTCGGGCTGAAGAGGGGCACTCCTTCGCAGTGGCCTCGCTTCCCCTTGGCTGCACGTTTCCCCTCCACCATCTGTACGCTTCCTTTTGCACCTTCCTGTCTTTGTCATCTCTTCGCCTGCTCCCTGGGAAAGGAGGACGCTAGTGGTGGGGCTCTGTCTTACAAGACGGGGAGGTGTGTGGATCGCTTTCTCCCCCCCCCCCCCCCCCCAACTCTTTCCCCCCCATTCTCAGGAGGGGGAGGATGTGGGCTTTTGTCCAAAAAATCTCATCGGGACCAGGTTGGGGGCTGATAAAAAAACACACACAGAGTGCGTTTTTTGTAAAAAAAAAAAAAAAGTGCTGGAACTCACGTCTTGGAGTCACACTTTTACACTAAAAAAGATTTTCAATTCACCAACTTTTTTCGAAATAAAGAACTTATTTACCTTTTGCACGTAGCCAGTCACTCTACACACACGTAAACATGAAGGTCGCCACTGGCAGTAAGCACTCAGCGCACGACCACACGACCGATCCCAAGCCGAGCGGCGCCCTCACCATCAGCACGGACACACAAGCGGCCCGCAGGCGATTCAAAATCGCTCCACAGGTGCATTTGGGAGCTCTCCAATATTACAGGTGATCAGGCCCACTTCTGTGGGGCAGAAACCGTCCAGGATCGCCAATCTGACTGTTTGTCTCTCCTAGGTGGGGCTCTTGGACAGACTGAGGATCATCTCTCTCCTGGAGACCTTCTACGACCACAGCTCAGCAATTTCCAGGAAAAACTATTGTGAACCCAGGAAATGTAGGTGCATTGTGGGGGCGCCCCGCATGTGTCAGCCTTCACAAGCATCAGACCAAACTTGGGAACGTCCTGGAAATGTGCCCCCCCGGCCCCACTTCATCTGGGAGAGGAGACAAACCCTCACGATGCAAAAAAAATATTCTTCAGAGTCGTGCAATGCATTTCGGCCCCATGCCGTACACGCTTTTACTCGGCCTGCAGAGAGAAACTAGTTGTCTGGTCTGGCCACTCTGCGCAGCGTTTTCTCAGGAGACGCGACTTTCGGAAGCTGGGGTGCATGTGTTGCTTTAAGGCCAACCCTTCCTGCCTGGGTGCTCTGCTTCTGTGCCCCTCGGAAAGCGAGCCCGGCCAGTACCTCTGAGCCAGCGGACATTCTGGGCAAGCTCCGTGGACTTGCCCAAGACCACGTCCCGCTGGACTGGGTAGGCAGAGAGGACTGCTCCCAGATCTGCCGCCCCGGGTTGCCTGGGGGTGGCGTTCCTGCCACACGTGCGTGGCACACCCCTTGCACACCTGTGTGACTCCCGCAGCAGGCCACACAGCGAGCGTCTCTCTCTTCCGTTCCAGGGCCCATCACTGAACCGGACGAAGTGGAAATGACCGAGTTCTGGGGGAACATGGAAGACGACGGGCAGACGGATTCAGAGCAGCCCACTCCCCCATCTTTGAAGCCAGCGCTACGATTATCCGAGGAGGCCTTGCTCCTCAATCTGATGCTGAAAGACGTCCTCTCGGATATGCAAGTGGCCATTCCCGAGGCAGCAGGTATCCCAAAAGTTTCAGCAGCTGCAAGCCAACCCGAAACGGGGCTGGAGGAAAAGGTCGTCGCTGCAGAGGAGGGAAGTAAAGTCACGCTGGCAACGTCCACACAGGATGGAGCAGAAATACCGGCTGTGGAGCTGGAAACCGTTGGCCCAGAGGCTGAGGGGCAACAAACCCCAGCTGCTGATGAGCCTGCTGTACCTGCAACCGAGGAAGGGGCTGCAGGGGAAGCCGCTGCCAATGAAGCTGCTGCTGGGAACGCCGAGGAAGTTGCTGGGAACGCTGAGGAGGAAGCTGGCCCTGAAGCCCACCCCGCTGAGCAGGCTCTGGACAGTGAAGACGCCGAAGAGAATGCAGGACCAGAAGCTTCTCTCGCTGAGATAGCCCAGAGTTTGCAGCAGGCCCTGGACCAAGAACTGGGCCCTGACCAGGAGGCTGGCTCAGAGGAGCGTGAGATCCTCACAGAGGAAGCCGGGGCAGATGCGGCAGCCGCGCGGGAGCAGCCGGACGGCCAAGCAGAGCCCAGCAGCGAGGCAGCTGCGCCAGGGCAGCCCGGCAGCGAGGTGCGCCCATGCGCCAGTACAGAAAGGCCGTCTGCCACAAGCATGAGAAAACCACCAGCAAGCAAGGGCAAAGGTAGGAAGAGCGTGTTTTCGTGCGGAATTCATGGTGCCGCTGCTGATGGATACATGGGTGCCTGCCGCTTGAGCTCCGCGCAGCAATTAACGCAAGGCCGGGAAAAGGTGAGGGTGAAGGGTGAAGGCTGAGGGTTTATTTGACTAGCTCCCGAAGACAATGAACGCTGCTTTATTCCAGGAGAGATTATCAATTAATGCAACCCACGGCACTTTAAAAATGATGGCCAAATTTCCCTAGATGACCAACCGCCCACCCTGCCCCTGGACAACAGATAAAGCAGATTCACAGAAGAGTTGGAAGGGGCCACGGAGGCCATTGGGTTGCAGGACACCACACAGCAGCAAAATAAAGCCAGTCAAATAAAAGCAAAGAACAGATCAGATTAAAAAACAAGACTGAACTAGCCAGCGGCAGAACTCAATGGAGGTTGTCTCAAGCCAGTGGCAGGGATGAAACAGTGCACAGTTCACAAACCAATTCCTAGAGGGGGAATACACGTTCCTCAACCGGTGCTGAAAAGACCGTACTGCAGGGGCTGGGGGACCCCTCTCCAGGGAGGGCGATCCGGATGGGTTGCCCCCTACCTTGTGGGGGGGGGCACTGGGAGAAGGCCCTCAGACGAATGCCCTCAGGATCCAAGCAGAAAATACAGCGAGAGGGAGGCTAGAAAGCAGCACTCTGCATTAGGCCCAGAAACAGGCAGGCGCTGAAATGCACTGAGCAGGTATCACGCTGCCGTTCCTTTCCGTGCTCTGGGGCTCAGTTGCGTATCCACCTCTGCGCTGTTCTCTTCTAGATCTGCCCCCCTCGCCGCCTGCCACAGCCAGCAAGACAGCCGAGGGGGCACCGCAGCTGATCTACGGCCAAAGATGGTCAGGTGAGTGGTCCCGTTCCCCCCCCCCGCTTTCTGCAGCCCACTTGGCCTCCTCAACAGACCACCTTCTTGTGGTCCCACAGGTGACTTCCAGACAGCCGACCTGTCCTTCAAATATACCGACTACGGCAAGGAGATCCGGGAGGACTGGAACAATGAAAACACCAGGTTCCCAGGTGCGAGGTCAGGTCCGGGCACCACGAGGCAACCCGGCTCAGGTTTCGACAGCCGCTGGCGGTTCCCTGCAGCCACGCTGTGGTCGCACGGCCGGCGCTGGTGAAGCAGGCACAGCCCACTGGCCTGCTTTCTGGTTCCTCTCCCACCTCTCTTCTCTTGCAAGGAAGCCCAGGCAGCCTGCCCGGCGGTGCTCCTCTCCACTTCCCCTCGGTAACAGCCCTGTGGGGTAGGCTGGCCTGCGAGTCCCCAGGGCTGGGTGGGGACGGGAAGCCGGATCGCTGAGCCGCAAAGTCCCACGCACTGGCAACGTGGGCGGCGCTGCAGGGGAAGCCTTTCGGGCGCCTTCCAAGCTTGCGCAGCAGTGGGAACGTTGTGCAGAAGAAGCTGATGCGTCTGACGGAAAGCAGGCCCTGCTGCGTGCAGTCAGGAGGCCTCCGGGATGGATGTGGGCAGTCTGTGGATGGGGGCACAGGGCCTGGGCGGGCACCCGCCGAGGGCATGTGGGTACAAGACCCCTGCGGGGGCCGCTCCTCTCTGCACGGTGGCGTAGTCGGCACCTGCCTCCTGCCCTGCCCCGTGCTGGCGAAGAAGAGCAGCTGGCTCATGCCGGGCAAAGGCTCCCCCCAGCGGCAAAGGGCGGCTGCGCCCAGCTGGCAGCCCCAGGGCCTGCTGAGGCTCGAGGCCGCGGCTTGTCCCACCCGCTGTCGGGACCTGCTCCGTGAAAGCGAGCGAGTGCCCCTCCGGATCCTTTCCTCTGAAGCACAAAGCTCCTCCTATCTGCCTCCACCTGAGCCCTGAAGCACGCAGAGATCGAAACACGGCCTCCCTCCTTGCAGGCCTGCGCGGGAACATGATAGAGATGCAGGCATGCGGGCCCCCTTCGACCACGAGCGCCTTCGAAAAGCACTCGCTCAACCTGCCGCAGTTCGTGCAGCTCATGGAGACCTTCGTGGGCGAGGAGCCCTCCCTGCCCAACTTGAAACGGCTTGTGGAGTTCGTCAGGGAAGGCTACGTGCAGACCGAGGAGGAGAAGATCGAGCAGCTGGAGAGAGTAAACCGCTTGCCCCCTTCTTCACGGTCTCCTTCCAGGCTCTCATCCACGCAGATCGAACACACGCGCCCCACCGAGGCTCGCTGCCCGTCCGCGCAGGGAAAACTGCGCTCCCTGCTCCTCGTTTTGGGGGCCGCTGCAGGGAGGCGGCCTGTGCTGGCACACCGGGCAGCACCCGAGCGCCCCCCACCCGGGCCTTTCAGCCACCAAGGGTAGCGAGTCCATTTCTGTGGCGACCCGAGCCAGGGCGTCAGCGGGCGCTGAGGGGGAGCGCTGACCGAGGGCCGACACCTGCCAGGGCACACGTTGGAGGCTCTCCGGAGCTGTCCCTCTCCAGAGGGTGGCAGTGATATGCAAGAGCAGCTCCGTGCTCTGTGGTGCTCCCGGGGTTCGGCAAATGGCAGCGGAGGGAGCGGGGGCCACAGCAGCGGGGGCCCAGGGTGGCGAGGCGGCCAGCTCCCTGGGACGGGAGCTCTGTGGAGGGTGCCATGCCCACAGGCCCACGACGTGCCCGTGACCCACTTCACCCGCTGCCGCCGCCTCCCTCCTGCAGGTTCACCACCAGTCCTCCCTGGCCCGCCGACAACTCTTCCTGGCAGCCGTCTTTGAGAAGTGGGACAACGAGTGCTCCGGGTTCCTGGACATGGAGGAGGTGGATGCTGTTCTGAGCACCTTTAAGGAAGGGATGGAGCAGGAGGCGCTGAACAAAGGTAAGGGAAATGCTCCCGGCTGAGGCAGGTGCGAGCGCCTCTCGGCACCTCGGAGAGAGTGGAGGACTTCCGCCCACACAAGCTGCTCTCGAGATTAGCTGGGGAGACGGTTGTCTCTCACCCTTGCCTGGGAAGTGCGGCAAGCACAGTCAGGGCCATTTCTGTCGAGAGGCGTAAAGAAAGAGCCGTCCGGGAATAAGGTCTATCTAGGCCAGGGTTGTCTTCTCACGGTGGCCAACAGAAATCTGTGGGGCATGTACACCCAGACACGAATGCCACGACTTCCCCAGAGGCGCACTGCCTCTGCTGTAGCCGATGCATTGGACTGCACCTCCCAGCAGGCACGATTCTGGCTTGAGTGACGAGAGCTATAGTCAACCATGTCTAGGGGGTTTTAACACCATGGGAATGTCCGGGCGCTGTCCTGATCACTCCTGGGGTCCCCCAGATCATCCTTTTGCCAGGACCCAAAACCAAAGCCAAGCCATGTTTAGGGCAGAAGAGCGCTTGCAGGAAAGGGGAATGGCGTCGCTCCCCCACTCCCCCTTCACACGTCTTGCCTCTAGTGTGGTTTGTACATATTTGGGAACGTGTACTTTCGGAATTGAGGGATTCGGTGGCGCAGTGGGTTGAGCCGCTGGGCTGGTTGATTGAAAGGTTCACAGTTCGAATCCACAGACGATGTGAGCTCCCGTGCTCCGTCCCAGCTCCTGCCAGCCTTGCAGTTCGAAAGCATGCAAATGCAGGTAGATAAAAAGGTGCCACTTTGTTGGGAAGGTAACAGTGTTCCGTGCACTTCGGTGTTTAGTCATGTAGGCCATGTGGCCACGGAGACTGTCTGGGGACAAACGCCGGCTCCCTCGGTCAGGAAACAGAGATGAGCACCACCCCCAAGAGTCAGGCATGACTGGACTTTAATGTCACGGGGAAACCTTTACTTTTGAAATACTGAATTTGAAGAGTTATGCAAGTTCTCCCCCTTGTGAACGAAAGTATGTTTGCAGCATGGGGTTCGCTGCTGACGACGGCCTGAAGCTGCCGTCCTGGGGGTGGTGTGGGGGCATGGGATCATATGCCCCTCTGGCTTGGTATCTGCCACCCTGCCTGTGGCTCTCTGTGGTGCTAAACTTTGCTCAGACCAAGTTGCACGGCTCCCAGCACGCCATTCTGACTGCCTCCCTCGCTTCCCGCTGCCGTGCTCCAGCCAAGCGGCAGCTGCCCGTTCCTCAGTGGCATCCCAGCGGGGTGGTGAAGCTGGCCCAGAAGGACTTCCAAACCTACATCGAGCTGGTTGCCTCCGAGCTCACCGGCGACGAGGACGAAGTCCTGGATAACATCGTGGAGTTTCTCATGATGGAAGTGGAGCGGACCCACACGGAGAGGCTGCGGGGGAGCGCGCGGAGGAAGTGGCTAGCGGGGATCCAGCGCATGGCCATGATCCACGGAGGGGCCATGGAACCAGTGTACCAGGCCGTCTTCAAGGCTCTCTGTCGGGTTGGTATAACTGCCGCGATTTCGCCCTCCCTGGGAAAGCCAAGCGTCCACGGCTGTTCGGGTGGAGAAAGAAAAGCAAGTGCATTTATGGGGGGCAGCCTTCCACTGAACAGATAAGCAGCTGCCGGAGACAAAGATCAGGCGATGTCCTGCATTCCAAGCTGCTGGGTGCGTCTGGCCGGCCAGCCACGAGAGAGGCTGGGGCACAGGACTCTCAGTAGGATCCATATAGGGAAGGCCTGTCTATTAGGTAGGGTCAGCTCAAGAGTTCTCACACAGCAGATCCACAGGGAGCGATGCTGCTCATGGGATCCCAGCCACTGTTCTCAGCGGTAAAACAGGTTAGACCCCTGTGTCACAGAGGGGGATGTTCGCTGCCCTTTGCAGAAGGATGCCCGTGAATTAGAGCAGGAACAGAGGTCGGCAAAGAAGTCACTGCTACAGACCGTAAATCTTACGGGCAGCAATGGAAGGAACTGGGTCTGTGTAGTGTGGGGAAGACCAACAGCCTGAGGGGCTCTCAGGGCAGACGGGAAGGCTTCTTCTCAGCTGTCGCCCGAAGGACAGCAATGCAGCGACTGGGATTCAGCTCTGGAGGGGAGAGCTGGGCAGACCCTCAGGAGGGACTTCTCTGCAGTCCAGCAACGCAATGGCACCCACTGCCTGGGGCAGGGCAGCCTCTCCCCGGCAGAGATCTTCAAGCGGAGGTGCAACAGGCACCGGGCTGGGATGCTGCTTTGGCTGAATCTGCAAGACAGTCAGGGGGTCTCCCCCTGCCGGCCCCCAGCGCTTTTAGCAGCTCGCCTGCAGATTGCACATGCCTCAGTCACACGGGAAACCGCGGGGCTTGCACACCTGTGTGTTAAGTGTGGGGAGGAGGACGGGTGGGGGACACACAGAAACAGGTCCCCGGGAAACAAACACCTGAAGCCTTTGTCCTGCATCACCAGGACGCAGATGCCCACGGGGATGGCAAGAAGATCGGTGCCTACATTGCCCTGCTGGAATATAACCTCCTCGCTCCCGAACGGGGAGATGTGCTCCTCCGCTACGTGGCCTGCACAGAAGACGACGCGCCACATGTCCTAAACCAAACGCTCTTCATGGACATGGAAGGAGTCAGGTGAGGCATCTCCCGCAGAGCAGCTTCCTTTCCTGGTACCCTGAGCGAAACTGGCCAAACACGGCACGTTCGGCCCACACGGGCGACTCTGCGCGACTGGCCTAGCCGTGTGCTTTTCCGGTGTTGCCTTTTATCGTGCCGTTGCACAAGCAGCTGTGAATGTTTTAAAATATATTTTCATTGTGTTTTACTACCTTGTTTTATGGGTATCTGTAAACTGTCCAGAGAGCATCAGCTCCAAGCCAGTACAGAAATGAAATTGATAATAACAGCCCACTAAAGGCAAAAGATAAATGGATTATTTTGCCCTCCAGTGTGAAAACACAGTATTTACACCCCCTCAAGACCAAAAAGGCAACCGGAGCGCAAGGTGCCTCAACACACAGCCTCTCCTTCAAAGATCACCAATGAAAAGATGGGGCAAATTTGTGCGTAGATCCCTACAGACGACCAAAACCCATCCCTAGGGTGCAGGAAGGAAGACCAACTATGCTGCACGGTTTTCTGAGAAAGAGAACAGCTTCAATCCATGTCACCCCATGAGGCGAACGCCCTTGCGCTCAACACACAAACTCTGTTACATGGCCCGACTCCACTCAGTACATCAGGCAGCGCACCTCCAACACAACATCCTTGTGCCTTCTTGTGATAAGATGTGGGGAGTCTTCCTAGCCTTGCATTTTCCTCTGCTGTTTCCTACCATGGCACCTGACTCACTGCAACCTCTTTCCCGTCACGTGTTTGTCTGACAGTTTTGCAGCAGTGCTGGACGACAAGCCAATCCACGTTCCCAGAGTTCAGCTGCACGGGAATATCCATTTCTGGAACCGCGGTCGGCCCAAGCGAGAGCAGCAGGGGTCGTTCTTGGTTCTTCCCCTTGAGGATATCCGGAGAAGAGTCTTCGGCATCCTTGGGCTGGACACCCTCCGGGACACGAATGAACGAACCATCTTTGTACCCCATGAAATCCGTTTCTATCAGGTGGGAGCAGCAGGACATCCGTGAGGCACTTAAAGGAAAAGCCGTGAACTCTGACCTGGCCAGAGTATGCGATTCTCCTTGGGAGTGAACACCGTGGCCTGTTTACACCTTTATTTATGCACCACCGGTCTGGCGTACATGTTGATTTTGAGCACCGCATTTCTCTACCACCCAACAACTAAAGTGCTGCGGGCGGTTCACAACATTTGCCAGTTGTATCCCACTTCCTGGACAATTAGTGTCTCCCAAAGCAGCTCTCAGAGAGACAGACCCCGATTCAGAAAACAAAATGACGCAACACACAAGGGAAAGGGGAGGAGGAGACCGTGTGTTCAAGGCGAGAAGAAGGTGGTGAGCTCTAAGCAAACGTGAAAGGTGCTTTGGGCCAGGCTGAGCTTCCCTCGCACAAATAAGGCCGTTCTTCCCGTGGCCAACACATCAGGGCCCCAGCAGCCTTTCCCCTTCCTTCCGCTGTCCGAGGGCAACAGTCAGCTGAGTGGGCGTGTTTTCCGATGGGATGGGAAGGAAACTCTGCAGCGTCTTCTCTGGTCAGTGTAGGGTCCCAGCCGGATTACTCCCTGGCTTGATGTTTTCCCTGCGAGGCTGGAGGTGCAGCCTCTTCCGACCCAACTTACAGAGGCCATTTTCTTAAAATTCCTTTTAATGCATTGGTTATCAGCATGGTTTTAATACTGCCCCCTGCTTTATGGTTTTGTAGACCACTGTTTCCAAATAAACGGCAAGGTTTCTTTTCCCCCAGGGGGTGGCAAACTGCTTCAGCATAGCCTACCACAACATCCGCACCCAGGCGAGTATCATGCAGGTGCTTCTCACTGCCGTGGGATGGCTCCTGGCACGGACGTCTCACCTCCAGGCCACCACGGTGTACTTCATGGAGCCCGGCGAAACCAGGGTAACGTCCTGACTGCCACCAAGAGGGAGGGGATCAAGCACACAGAGCAGCCAGGAAAAGTTCTTTATAAATACTGGTCTACTACGTATTAACTCTTTCCTCCTCGCATTTCCGGCTAATGTTTCATTTAGCCAACTCTCTGATCCAGAGTGCCTAGTTCTGTAACATCTGCCTCTCTTTCTGCCATGGCAAGAGCTGACGAGAGCTGTCGTTTAGAAATGGCCAGATTGCTTCTACGACTATGAAAAGCTACGACTGAGTCTCCCAAGAGGGGCCTTCTATGTCTAAACAAGTAGACTAAAGACGCTCAAAGGATAACTTGAAAGGGAAGGAGCAAATGTGTTCATTTAGAGTGCCCTGAATTAAAACCAACTCCATCCCGTGGCTTGGGGATTGTTAGGAGTTCAGGGAACCTGTCTAATCCATATCAGGTTTACTACTGAGGCCTGGCTGAGCTCTCCGCTTTGAAAAAAGGCAGTGCCAGCGCAGAGATGCTCTGCTGCCGTCGCCTGGGCTGCCCGCAGAGGGAGCTGGTCCTCTAATGAAGGCTTCTTCACGGCATGTTCCCGTCTGCCGTTTTCATCCCTTTCCAACCCCCTCTTAAGCTGCAGCAGGTCGGCATCCGTGGCACGTATCAGGGCCACCACAGCCCAAGGGGAGCCACGGCAGGGAACGCACGGCCACTCTAGTGCGCGAGGTGAAGAACCCGGTGCCCCATCCTCTGTGAGAGGGTTTCTGCTGGGTCCTGCTTCCAATGGAAGTTTTCTTGGGAACAAGCTAAAACTTAAGGGCATTTCACTGGAGACTGAAAGCCGGCATTTTCATGTTTCCAAGCATTTTAGATTTATCCTCCTGCCACCCCCATCCATGATGTGTACACTTACAGTCCCCATAGGTAAATAACTAAGTTTCTAGGTCCAGACAAAACCTAGACCAGAAAGGCCCTTGCTTGGCAGCTCCTCGCTAAAATATATCGCTGACGAGAATTTGGGAGCAGAGGAGGATTCTTAACTGAGCAGACGAAAACTCTGTAGCTCAGAGGCCGAACGCAAGCGCTGTATGGACGGAGAGGGTTCTCAGTTATAAGAAGGTAGCGAGTGATGGGAACTCTATTTTCCTGAGCGTGTGCAGAGGGCCTGCCTGTCAGCGGAGACAATGCAGGGCCAGGTGGGCAAAGCCGGAGCTGCCTCCCTCTTCCGGCTCGGAGCGGCAATTGCCTTCCCAAACGGGCCCCATAACATTCCCGTATTTTCCACTTCCAAAGTGTTTGTTTATCTCTTGGGGTTTTCCATCCTGTCAGCTGTCCCACTCCCCTGTTCTCTTTTCAAGATGTACGATTATATCTTGCGGAAAGTGATGGCGTCAGATGCACACGGGCAGGCGGAGACCTACCCTGCTCCAGCTCCTGCGCTCAGCAGAAAAGACGACGTGTTCAGGTGGGCCTGGGAGGGGCATTTGTGGCATCGACTCATGTGACAGGTGTGGCGGGGAGGGCCGGGATGGCAGCCTGCCTGCAAAGGTGTTGCCTGCCCCTTCCGTGCCACTGGATGCCTGGCGCTCTGGGGCTGGTGATGGTGGGTACGGACCTGCCTGCAGACTAAGCCCGCTTTGGTCGCTGGCTCTGGGGAAGCTGCGCTCGAGTGCTCGCTGCTTGGCTTGTGCCCAACCCCATCGGTTCTGCCATTCACCACCTTCCATGCCTTGCTCTTAGAAGAACAACTACTTGCCACAGGTGTCAGGAAGTTGTGTTGCCCCCGGGGGTGCCACTCCAGGCCTCCCTTGCAGGAAGCCAGGAGTGCCGGACGACCTCTCGGTAACGGCATGTTTGCTGCTGACAAGAGCCCGTGTTTCTGCTTCACCCGTCCTTCTTTTCATGCCCTCGGCTTTTCATCCAAGTCTGAGGAGAACGGAGCTCGTCCAGCACCCTGCTGTGGGTCCGGCACCCCATACTGACATGCGGTAATGGGGAACCGGGCTGCTGGCCCCAGGACCATCTGCCAACCCAAGCAGGGCGAAGGAACGCTGCTCGGCTCCAGCAAGAGAGCCAAGGCCGGGCTCCGGAGCGTCGCCCACTCGAGATGTGCGTTCTGCAAACGGCACCTGATATCGGCCTCGACGGTCTCCTCTGTTCCAGGGATTATCTGTTCAAGTGCGTAGACTGCGCCATGGTGGTTCCTGCCTGCGTGTACGGAGAACGCCACCTTGCCGTTCCCCTGAGGAATCTAACGGGCCGGGCCATTGCTGTGTTCGACTTCAGCCTCAGGCCCTGCGAAAAGCTGCCTTCCTACGAGTACAAGGACCTGCAGGGAATGGTGAAGACGGTGCACGCAGCCAGCTGCGAGATCCTGAAGGAGGATGCGGGAGAACTGGATCCATCCTATGTCTTGGGTATTGTGGCCCCGCGGAAGCAGGATTCTGCTAGCGCCTGTGGCTTGAGAGACTTGCAAACATATCAAAAGCGGGTGGGAAACGACTGACAGGCTGGGCTGGCTGCCCCGATTCCTCTCGAGGGTTCCGAACCAAGACGGCCTCTTTCCGAAAGAGCTCTGTATTGACAAAGCACGGCAGCAGGAAGGCGAGTCTCTGTGCATGCACAGAGTGGCTAGTGAGAAACTACTTCTGCAGCCCTCCTTTTCAGTCACACTGAGCTCCGCTCCTCTTTAGAAGGGCCAGCCTTTGGGATCTACACAGACCCTCTTACTGGGCAGTTCTCCGAGGCCAGCACCCGGCATGGGACCAGGGAACGGGCAGGACAGGGGCTCACCTGCCACCAAGCTCTGCCTGGGAATCTGGGGGTGGCGGCCCCAAGACAGCCTCCCCGTGAACCGCAGCCTCTGCCTCCTCAATTCCCACACCCCCGTCTTCGCTGTCATCTGATGAGTTGGTCGAAAGTGCACCAAGGCTAACTGCTCGTCCTGGTCCACTCCCAGTGGAGTATTAGTAGCCTGAAGAGCCTGATCCTGCCTCATCTTGGAAGCTAAGCAGGGTCAGGCCTGGGCAGAAGTGGGATGGGTGACTTGAGGGTATGATTATTGCTGTCAACTGCTTTGGCTATGGGCAGTATAAAAATGTAATCATAATAATAATTAGAGCTAACACCGGGGAGGAATGACTTGACTTCCGCCTTGCTCTCAGGAGCAGTTTGCTCCCCTTTGCTTTGCCGATGCGTGGGGTCCTAAACGTGGATCGTGTCATTCCAGAGGCGGAATACGTCGGGGACCAGCGGCGCGGGGGAGTCCTCTTCTACAGATTCTTGCTGCAGGACCTGCGGAAGTGCATCTGGAACCTCGACCCCTGGCTGTCCTTCGGAGGGATTACGTCCTTCAAGCAGCCGCCGATCCTCGTGCACGCGATACTCAAGTGTGTCCTGCTGATTCTGTATCCAAAGTGGGCAGGCACAGGGCAGGTGGAAGACTGGGACTGCTGCATCCAGGTGAGAGGCAGAACCCCGAAAGGCTTGTGCCCTGGCACCGTGCAGCAGGGTTCATTAATTAAATGACGTCGCGGAAGAGGAGGAGGAGGAAAGGTTTGTTTATTTATTTTTCGGTTTATAGCCTGCCTTTTTCCTGCAAAGGGCTCAAGGCAGCTTACGTCATTCTCCTCCTCCATCTTATCCCCACAACAACAGCCCTGTGAGGTAGGTTGGGCCTAGAGTCTGTGACTGGCCCAGAGTCACCCAGTGGGCTCCATGGCCGAGCGGGGACTCGAACCCGGATCCTCCGAGTCCCAGTCCCATGCTCTTAACCACGACACCACCCTGGCTCTCCTTGCTTGTTCTGGCCGCAGAGCTTCATGGGGAAGAAAACGAACTCACAAACGCGAAGCGTGACATTGCTCGTCGCGTGTGTTCAGAGAGCCTCCCTCCTGCCCCAGAGCTCATGCAGGGGCAGCCGTTCTGCATTCACGCCTCCTGGCCTGCAGTTTTACGCAGACTCATGCGGGCAACAGCACGATGCTTCTTTCACTTCTGTCTTTTGAGCGCACTCCCCCAGGTGGCTTACGAGGGTCCACCCCTCTCACAACCACCCTGTGAAGGAGACGAGGCCGAAAGAGCGTGACAAACTGACATTCCCGCAGATATCTGAAGATACATTCTCTGCAAGGGCGCCAGCTTTCACGGTTACACTGAATGTGACTTGGGGGGTTAAGAAACAAAGAATATTGTAGTGTTTTAAAGACTGCAAAAACCCACTGTATTAGGGCACAGTCGTTTGAGGACAGGAAAAAGGGTCTACGGCTCCCAGCTGGGGTAGGTGGGACATTGTAAGCCTTTTTGCTGCCTAAACACACCTAGGGTTATCCCTCTAATAAGCTTTCGTGGACTCGAGGCCACTTGATCAGATGCAGCGGATAAAATAAAGAGTTAACTTTTCAGGTGCAGAAGACTGTTGATTGTTCTTGCTGCACTACCTAATCTTCTGTTGCTCTCGGCGCTACAGAAACTCGATGGAGAACTTATTGAAAACATCTGCTACTTTGATCCCACCGCTGCATACGTGGAAGTTCAACCAGAAGTTCTTCACGACTGCCTCCAAGGTGATTGTAAAACCGTCCTTCTTACGGTGCAGGATCAGGCCAGAAGCCCACCTAGTTCAGCCACACGTCTCCCACAGCGGGTCCCAACCGCCACAGGGACCCCCGAAGCAAGGCAGTCGCCCTCCCTTGCCGTTGCTCTCCAGCAACCGGCATTCAGGGGCGGACGCTGGGTGTCACCATCACACGAAGTAATCATTGTGTGCCTCACATGCCATGAATTCTAATCCCATTTTAGCAACACACAACTTTACCACCTGCCACCAACCCTTGTGGTAGCACACAGCTTAAGTGAATTACACTTATACGGTTGATGCGATAAAACAGGGAAAAAACCTTGTTATATTTATCTAACCAGGCTTATGAATCACCTATCATATCAGAAATTTCTAAGTGATACACTTACCTGACACCAAGATCAGGAGTTGACAATTTGTGATGCGACTTTCAATTAGTTACGGATGAGCTTGCAAATTCTACCTGCGTTTTGCCGTCTGCACAAATATCAATAAGTAACATGGGAGTTGTATGGAAAAGCTTGCCCTGCCCAAACAAAATTGACGAGACTGAAAAGGTGGGATGCAAAGCGTTTCTTAGGTACCTCCCTTCCCCCAGCGGCCTCTCCAGGCCCCCAAGTGCAAGACCAGGTGAAGGAACGCAGTGAAAAAGCAAGCATCAGGAAAGTCTTAAGGAATTCTGCGCAGTGCAGCGAAGTGTGTGCGAGCGAGTCAGAACTTTGGAAGATGAGACGGGGCACATCGGTATAAGGAGCCTAACTGGCCACTGGTGTTTTTTGCTCTTTTTAAAACACACTTCAGGTACAGACAGAAGAGCTGTGTGGAAGTTTGGCTTCGCTCCATTAGAGCACCTCTACAACTGGACACATACCTGTCTGTCTCTAATCGAGCTGGCAAAGAAACTTAAACATCACCAGAGTATCGGGGCGTCACCTTCCGTGTTCATCACCCCTGCACTGTCTCGATCACTTAAGTCATTGCAAACTGCAAGGAACTGGACCACGTCTTTGGGTTAAATTGATTGTCAGTGTTTACAGCAAATATTAGAGGATTAAAAACTATTATTTCTTGCTACTGCTGTGTAGATGTGTGTACTTAGGTGGAGGTAGAATCTTTGATACGATATGTGAAATTCTATGTCCTTAACCAACCGGGTAGCTTGCTCCCAACTTCCATTTAATTCTCGTAAAAGAAAGGAGGGGAGAGAGTTAGGAAATTTATAGCTCATTCCTCTATCATGTTTACACAGTTTGCAAATTATTAAAAAACAAGCGTAACAAAACGGCTTGTGAATTGGCCTGCTCATTTTGCAAAACTCTTCTTTCTCAAGTTATTTTTTTTTTCAGAAGCTGTTTTTAACCTCGACAGGAGGAAAAGCAGGCCAAGGTTTGTATGTCCGTTGCTCACAAGGAGACCTTGTGCACACCTGCACTGATTTTACAGCAACGAGGAGTGTCCTTATCGACTAGAGCGCAGGAGGACACCACATTAGCGTTCCAACGTGAGATTCCATCTTTGCAAAGATTTATCTCTCGGCAGAATCTCTTTTTAATAAAATTTGGGGAAATTAAAGCTTTCCACCCCTCCCTGTTCTTTAGCTGACAAAAAACAATGGCCTATCTACCAAATATTGTGTAATTTGAGATCATAGGCTGCTTTTAACGTTCCCTGATAAATGGATTACAGTGTTATTACAATGTGTGATTCCTCTGATTATCTGCTTCAACAGCAGCAACTGAATATGTGAAGCGGGACGGGCCGCAGGGGGAAATTTTGAGTACTTCTGCAGTGATATCCTTGAGAACAATGACCTTAGCAAGAGACCGAGACCAAGAAGCATCTGTCGGCTCAGCATCTGCTGCCCAGCAATTCTGCAGGAGCAGAAGCACTTTTTAATTCAGGATAAATGAGAGGCAGGGTGTCTGCATGCACCTACCGGGAAAGGTTGCACAGGAGATGCGGCCACCTCAGAAGGGAAGGCGGCGGCTGGTTCAGAGTCTCCTTCAGCCGCAGGTGGCGAGCAAATCGGATCAGGCCTGAAAACGAATCAGATAATTCAGCTTAAGTTCTCATTCGGAGAAAACGAAGGGAGGATGTTCGGGGTGGTTTTCGTCCCTGCTGCAATTTTACTCTGGCTACGTATCGTGCAGGGGCATCTAGTTATACTGGCAGTTTGTATTATTTTAACGGAGTTTGTTTACGTTTGTGAGCCGCCCCGAGGCTTCGGCGAATGGAGCGGCGCAGAAAGTGCCTCAATAAATCGAAATAAGTAGAATCTGGCGGGCGCAGCAGGCGACCCTCAAGGCCTCTCATTGGCAACGGCGCCCCCTTGGGGCTGCAGACACGCGTGCGCGCACTCGCACGGGCCGCGAAGGCCAGGCACCCGGAGTGGGGGGGCGCCCGCGCAGCCCCCGAGGCGCCCGGCGACCCCGCACGGCGCGCCCGCCTCCCGCGACGCGCCTTCCCGGCCTCGGGGCGCTGCGCGGCGCATGCGCAGAGGGCGCGGGCGCCCTCAGAGGGCGGGGCGGGGCGAGCGCGGCGGCTCCTCCCCAAGATGGCGGCGCCGAGCAGGCAGTGAGTGGGGCGGGCGCGGCGAGCGCGGCGCGTCGGGGGCGCCGGGGGGGGGGCCGTGGGGGGGGCGGGCGGGGGGTCCTCGCGGGGCCCCCCGCCGGCCTGCCCCCCCTTCGGGCTCCGCGCGCAGCGTCCCCGGGGGGGGCGAGTGCCTCTGAGCATGCGCAGAGGGCGCCCCACTGGCCGCCGCCGCGAGGTCTGAGGGGCCCTCGGCGGGCGCCGCCTGCCCGGCCTCGGAGGGCCGCGCCGCGCTCTGCACAACGGCCCCGCGAGGTCGGCCGGGGCGGCCCAGCCACGGGGCGCCGCTCGCGCCTCGACGGCCGTACGGGCCGCGGTCCGAGGGCTGCCCGTCCTTCTTCGGCCGCGCCTTTCGGCCGCCTCTAGAGAAGGGGCGCGAGGTTTCCTCCCCTCCCAGGCCTCTGTGTGGGGAAAGCCTCCCCCAAGTCGGGCCCCACGGCCATCTTGGTGCTGCTGCTGCGCTGCCAAAGCTCTCGTTTTGCTCTTATTTGTGTCACGGCTCTGCTGCCCCACCGGTGAAGCTCGCCGTTGCACTGGTCACATGCAATTCCTGGGTATTTAATTGCGGGGGGGGGGTTCTTTTGCATACCTAATTGCTTTGATGTCCCCATGGCAGCCATAGCATGGGGGGAGCCGGGGGTCAGACTAGATGGGCCGGGAGACCCCTCTGAGTCGCGCTGTTTCTATGCTTTAAATGTAATTTTCAACATTTTAAATGTTTTGTGGCACCCTCAGGCTGGCTGGCAGCCATGAGAACAGCAAAAATTGCGGACATGATAAAAAGAATATTTTAAAAAGTGAAAAAAATGGAGCAAGAGCAAACTCTCATCAGTGATTACAAAATTCCGGAAGATGGAATAGCGACACTTTGGCTGGTGATCCCAACCCTAATAAGAGAAAGAAACGACATTTGCCACATCTCCACAGTTAATTAATTGGGTGACACTGTGTACAGTCACACACATTGGAAAATGACCAGAGCAGTGACAAGCTGCATTTTAGGGCAAGGTTTTCTGTATCTGCCTCAGGTACTGAAGCCAGCTTTGGATTTCTACATAAACCATCCAGGCCTCCCTACTAATTTAAAATGAATTCTGGGGGCAGTGCATGAGTATAAAACCTATTCAAACATAATATCAGTCCAACACTGAACTTTGTAAAAACTCAACCTGAGGAAAGTACAGAAGCCCAACTCGAATACATTGTTATGTCTGACCAGAGCTGAAATAATCTCAGACTAATCACCTGACATCAAAACTGCAGAGACTAATAATACTAAGAATTTTTATAAATATTCAGCAGGCTGTAGATGCTTCCATAGATTTTCTTATGGCATGCAATGCATTTACCAATAAATAGTCACTTGTTTCTCCAACTGTCAGCAAAAGTAGAACTCTGTTGTAATAGGTAGCACTTTTCACTCTTTGGTCCACTGGATGACTCTTGCAAGTACTAAAGAGCTTTCTTTTTTCTCTCTGCAGATATGGTCTTATATTTCCCAAGAAAGCACAGAAGACTTTGGTCAAACATGCGGTGTTCATGGATGACTCAGATGAAGAGGTTAGTTTCTTCATGGGGTCTCTTTTACCTGTTGCATTTGTAAGACTACAATCATAAGCTTGTTGAAGGTAGATAAATGTTCTACAACTCCCAACATTTTCCAGTGAGCCATATTGTAAATTATAGGAGTTTTTCACTTTAAAAATGCACTAGAATTGCATCCCACCTTGCCTTCCGACCCATAGCAGAGTTCTAGTACAGACCTTTTTATTCCAGCGGTATTGTAATAAGTTTTAATATTGTTTTTTCTATGTTTTTAATTGCAGCCAGCGTGGGTCAGGAATTTTATTTGTGCTATTACTTTGTAAGCCGTCCTGAGGCTTTTTTTGTGATTAGGATGGCATATAAATATTTTAAATAAATAAATGAGAAAAAATCAACTTAAAATGAATTCAAGGCAATTAAAAACACATTTACAAAACAACTCTAGCCGCAGGACAAGTTAGTCAAGCATAGCATAGCTGTGTCCTTTCTGGATTAAGAAGAATTTTATGTACTTTATTCAAAGGCCTTAAAGCTGACAGAATGCAGTTTTTAGCAATTCGTCACTGGGTTATTTACTCACTAGGTTTCCTTTCAGGTAAAAGCCCTTCTAAGCTGCCTTACAATAAGAGAATGGACTGACACCATTTCATGGAAAACTGGTCTAAAATAATGTATGCACACACAGTCCAGGGCTGGCCTGCGTAAACAAGGCAGCTCTCACATTCTGAAGGTGTGGGGCTACTGTAATTGCCCACCTGGCAACCTTCTGGGCCTTCAGTGGCTGTTGTTAAAATGACGGCTGGCTGATTACAGGTGAAGGTAATTCTTCAGCTAATTTTCTCAACTCTCTCTCTGGTAAAGCTTGATTTTTTCCCCCAGTAGAGGGTGCTATATGACTTGGAATACATATTAAAAATGATTTCTATTGCCCTTCAGGGGTTAGAAAACAATTTGCAAGCTCTTTGGAAGAACTAATAAATATTTACGAATGAAGGCTCAGTACAGCTCCTATCAGAACATTTAACCAAGTTGTGATAAACGTTTAATATAATATAAATGTTTGGTCAGTACCTAAAAAGTAGTATAGCTATAAAACCCCAATTGCTGGGTTTAGTTTGCTTTGTTGTGGAACGGGTGCAGTCCTGTGTGTGTTTAGACAGAAGCGTACAGCTCCTAGCATGCCCCGACCTGCATCCAAAAAGGTCGCCACACTTCGATGTCTGAACACGGATGGGAATGCATATTTCCAAGCGCATGATTTGGAAGAACCTTTGGGAAGGGCTAGACCACTGCAGTCAATCCTTTGCATCTGTCGCTCTGTGGCCTCTCCATATCGGGTGGGAAGTGCCCTTTGTCTCAGGCTGAGCTCAAAGGCACGTCCCTCGGGCCTGTGCCTGGTATCTTCTCTTTGACATCAAAAATAATGATTTTTTTTTAAACCCTAGCTCTTAAAAAAGGGTTTTCCTAATTAAAAAAAGGAAAACGTGCAAGTAGCATTCCAAGTTGCAAAGCCACATCGATTCAAACAACGAAGATCATGCCCCTGGCTGCTTCCTGCTGATTTCCATCATTCTTCTTGCGCCCCCCCCCCCTTAAGGTCTTCTCTCCACCCTCACACCTTTCCAGTTGGAGTCCTGGGCCAACCATTTTTTGACTAGGGACAAAAAGGGAATTGTTTACTAATTTCTAGTCTTTAGTACTTGAGAAGAATTAAATCTTTTTGATGCTGCACCATTTCTGTTTTTAAAAAGGTTAGGTGGTTGACCATTGATAACGTCGGCTTTAACAAGTTCTTTTATTCTCAAAAGAAGTGTATGCAGGAGGTGACAACTTCTTAATGTCTTTAGATGGATAGTTGTACAAAGTGCGGCTGAAGCATCCTAGAAAACTGCCCCAGGTTGTTTCACAGGCCTTGAAGTACTAATTCAACTAGCAACTGCCATTATCACCACCCCCCCCAAAGAAAAAGAAAGAAGGAAGGAAAGAAAGGAAAGAAAGAAAAGATCATTTTTAAAAAACAAAATTACTTTATTAGTTCAGTAATAATTTTAGGCCTTTTCAAGATAAGAAGCTGAGTTTAGGGACGGTTTCATTTCCTGGCAGCTCCCTTATCAGCAACAAACTATGCCTTGCGTGTCTGAAAATGGTGTATTTATAACTGAACACTAATAAAGTCCGTGCCTGTGAGCCTGCACACCCTGACTCGGTCGTGGAGATCCTGTTTTAGATAGAAAACTTTTGTTCCTTTTAAAAACGTTAACTGTGCATGTTTCATCACGTTTCTTCCTTGCAGCCTGGCTGCACTGCGATACGGGTGCAACTTATCATTCTTAAGTTGCGTAGCAAAGCTCGTAAGTTGGTACGAGTCCCTGGAGAAGGTAGGAAGTTTGGGGGCAGCTTGTGAGAAATTCAGCATTGAAGATGTTGCTGGGCCATAACTCCCATCATCCTCGACCATTGCTCTGTTGGACCGGGGCCGATGGGAGTTGAAGACCATCTGGAGGGCCATGGGTCTCTCTGCCCTGGCTGAACTGCATGTTTGGCAGTAGAAGGAATTGGGGTTGACTTTGCTTGTGTCACTTACAAGACAGTCGTTCTTATTGAGGCTTCTTTTGTCTTTTTCTCAGACACTGTTTGCAAATCCAGATGGTCACAAGTAGGTCTTGGAAACGCGGCCCAAGAGCAGGTTGCGGGCGCCTTAAGCTCGGTCACATTCGGCTCCCTGCTCAGACAGATTTAGGCTCAATCCTACAAGCACTTATCTGGGAGTAAGCTTCACTGAGCACAGCGGGGCTCACTTCTGCGAAAACACGCGTAGGATTGTTCTCGCAAACAAAGAGGTATTTTGTTTTGCAGACGCAGCGGGGCATGGGTATTTGCTTTGTCGGAAGCAGCCTGCCGCTCGCTGGAACTGTCCGGTTGCTTTGCAGGAGCTCTGTGGAGGCATCCTTGCCCCCTGTGGACAAGACATTCCTGCCGCTAATGGTGTGGGCCAAATACCCTTTCTGGTTGCCGACGCGCCCTGCTTGCTGTGAGCAGTCTGGTTTTTCTCCCCGTTCTTGTATTGCACTGTGCAGAGAAACTTTTTAAAAGTTCATTTGGAAGGAAGGAAGAAAGCAAGCCAGAACACACGGGGCAGCTGCGATCCGCCTCATGTTCCGCGAGCAGCCCCTTGTGACATGGCGACCAGATTTCTTCTCTGACCTTGCTGCTTGTTTACCTCCACGGAACGTGTGAGGGAAGCCGAATCCTCTTGAGGCCTGGCTGCTTGAGGCATGTTTTCTCCTGTTCTGGTTCACTTCTTTTATCAGAGGTGGGGGAAATGAGTACGAGCTAGAGCCTGAAAGGAGTTGTGGGGAGGGCTGGTGGGATTCCATCTTGTCTTAACTGCTAGGAACCTGCCCCTCCCACTTTCTGTGGGAACGAACCGCACGTGGATGCACCTCTCCCATCAATTTTGGCCCTTGCTCTTTGGGAGAGGCAGAAGACTTGTGACCATGTAACTTCTTCTAGCTCTGGCTACAAAACTGAATGGTGTGGGATCATGGCCAAAGCATCTGGAGGCGCCCCCATCACTCTGGAGTCACCTCTTCTCCAAAGCTGTGCTGAGTGGCTTTATAGTACTCCTTTACTTTGCTTTTAAAGTGCCCAATAACCAATGTTCCCAACATTCCTAAATGCTAAAACTATAATAATAATAATAATAATAATAATAATAATAATAATAAAACAAAACTATGTAGAAGCATAATAACAGCATAAAACCAAACTGAATTAGCACCATAACTAAACGCGCCGAAATAAGTTTTTGAAGTGCCCAGGACATAAAAGCCCCTCGCCAGAGAAAGTTTTGTGGGGGCTGCGAGTTCCCCATCCCAAGGGCAGCCCATCAGCTTTCAGTCATCACGCATTTTTAAAGGAAACGTCATAAACTACTTGGATGTGTAGCTGAATGTTTTGCTTAAAGACAATTTTTATTGTTGCATCTGGATTATTTTAACCTGCCTAGTGTTTACCCAAACTAGATGGGGGGAAAAATAACTAATTTTCAGAACGACTGGCAAGACAAATCTAATAAAATTAAACATTATTTGCCTTATCTGCGGCATTGAGTGTAAAATATTAATTCTGACCTTCGATATACCCCAGTATATCAGTGTAAGAATGGTGACCCCTTTAGGTCTCCCACTGAAATTGGAATATTGCTGGCAAGCATGCCCAAAGAGAATGCAGCACCTCTCAGAGGGATATTTTATTCTCATGAGCATTAATATTTTTCTTTAAAGATACTCTGGATCAAGAGGGGAAACACAGTTTCTTAACAGAAAGCAGTACCAGGTACAAAAGAAGCATTAAAAAGTCTTGAAATCCAAGAGAAAGAATGAGAAAGCAGAGAATATGAGAAGGTTTCGTAGCATTTTTTGTTCAGAGAGCAAACTCTAGCTCTCATTGCAATTTGTTTCTTTTCCCTGTAAAGTCCAACGAATTTGCTGGTGTTTCAGTGCAAGGTTAAAAGAGTTTTCCCTTCCAGAAGATATTAGAACTCCCAAGCTTTGTGTCTCCAAAGAATACCATGAAGGAGCTCAAACAGAAATCCCGCGCCAGTTTGCTGACTCTGTCGGGTTGTTTAATAAACGACATGCTGATAAGTAGAAATAATACAAAATAACAGGAAGTTCCCATCTATCAATCCTCACAGCACAACCGGAAATTGTCACCCATAAAGCACTGAATGAGGTGTTTGTGCTGGGTCTGTTTTGCTTAAGCTCCCTGGCAAACAAACGGCAGGTGGACCCCTTCAGAGCTGCTGTGTCTCAAACCTGAGTCCGCTGTATCGCTTTTATTGTTTGTATAATCTCCAGACACCAAGCCGGTTACTGCTTACTGGCAGATCTGGGGGAAACTATTGTGAATTTTAAATATGTTGATGTAGAGCAAAGATTTATATGCGAATAGGCGTTGTCCTCTTTCTCGCCAGCATGTTGGTGGGGTCCTTTCCTCATGATAAACCTTGTCTTCATGCTGCTCCGGATGGATGGCTCCCCTTCCTTTAGAGCCTCTGAGCAGCACTTTTAATCAGTCACCAAAAGGGCAACCTGCGCCTTCCCCCAGCACTTGATCCAGGCTTCCTGAGCAGTGCTGTTGGGCGACCGTCCAGCTGAGCTTGCCATGAATATGGTTTTCCTGGTGGCAGGACGGCATATGGGCCGGGCCAGTCATAGTCAGAGGCTCGAGGCAGCAGGGGCCAGATTTGCAGGATGCTACCATGGTTCAGAGCAGAGCTCTTGCTTCCCACACAGGTAAAGATGCAAGAGCAGTAAACATGATACTCCGGCTGTGTTGCGACAGAGGCCTCCCCGCTGGCCGAAGTTTGATGTCAGCCAGTTTCACGAAAAGGTTATGCAAACTAGGCCAGTGAAGTGCAGCTAAAATATTCACTGCAAATCCCACGCTGGAGACGTGCTTTTGAACCCGGCTGGATCAGCCCCCGGGTCCCTCTGGAGCAGCATTCTTTCTCTTGGGGCGGAGAGCCAGATGCCTCTGGGGAGCTCAGAACAGGCCGTGCCTGCAGCGGTGGTCTTGGCCCGCGTGTCCCACCACCCAGGGTCTGGCGGCCAGTTGCCTTTCAGGGGGCCGGGCACATGGTCCTCCCCAGTCATCACCCCCAGAGAAAATGGGAATATTGCAAGGAGCTGGCCAAGTGGTGCTGGATTGAGAACCGAAGTATATTCATTCCACTGGCTTGTTCAGACGCTTGCTTGGCCCGTCAAGGGACTGGGAAGGCAGCGCACCTGAAGTCTAACCTGAAAAGCTTTTGCTGGCGGCTCAGCACTGTGTCAGCAGCAGGTGAAACGAGGCAAGGCCACGCTGGCGTTGGGAGGGGATCAGTGATAGACGGAGGCTTTGTCTGCCAGCGGGTCGTTACGGATTGCGTGCCTGCGTCAGGGAACAAGCCAGCTTTCTTCAGCCCACTTCGACATCAATGCGAATGTCTTTTTCTTAAAGATTGCCCCCCCCCCCCCCAGTTTTCCATTCGGGTCCCCCCGGCCTGCATTATGAAGCGCTCGGTGACAAGAGCTCTCTCACTTCTTCACTCTGAGTCATGGCAGGATTGGAAAACTATGTTAGCTGCCAGATGGCAAAGAAGAAGAGATTTTTAATATTGCCCTGTCACCTGGTTGGGAGGGAGAAGTATTTGATCACCGATGTTCTGTAAACATGCCGAGCAGCGTTCTTTGGCGTTCCATGTGCTCAGCAAATACAGAAATGTGCCGTCCCAGATGCAGCTGGGCAAGGCTTGGAACACGAGGAAGACTCCCGTGGAAGTACGGAAGCCGCTCTGCAGCCACCGAGCAGGGCCGCCGCCACCGTGTCTCCTCCCTTTGTGCTCTTGTCGCTCTTCTTCCAACGTGATGTGTTTTGGGCGCTCGGGGCACTCTGTCCTGCTCGCGGTGGCTGAACTGCGCGTTGCTGTGTAGAGCTCCTTGGTGCGACGAGGTTTTGAGCCATGTTTATATCAATGGTTTCAAGAAACTCAGGGCATCTTACTTGATTCTCCTCCTCTCAGTTTTCTCCTCGGAACAACTGCCCTGCGTTAAAATAGCCCGTGACCGGCCCCAGGTTGGCTCCCTGGCTGAGTGGGGGCTGCAGCCCGGACCGCCTGAGGCCCAGTCCTACACGCTTAACCGCTGCACCACCTCTCTTCCCGCCACTGTCCCACGCTTAGCGGCTTCTGCATTTCTGATGATTGGAGAAGCCACACAACTGTTAACTGACCCAGATTTTTAAGAAACCTGAAGCTTTGAGCAGGCACAGTTGTATGTCTTCCGTTCACCTCAGTGTCTGTCTGTCTGTCTGTCTGTCTGTCTGTCTGTCTGTCTATTTATTTATTTAAAGCTTTTATAGACCGTCCCATTGCTAGTGCCTCAGCACGGTTCACGACAAGCACGGATAAAAACAGCACAGCATCCAGCAATTCCAGTCATGCTTAATGCTCTACCTTCTTTTCCCCTGCTAGTCTTCCGTGGGTGAGAGCCTTCAACGGGAAGCGCTGAAAAAGCAAGCAATGAAGCAAGTGAGTTGGCAACCGGAACAATTCAGTGAATTACTGCTCCTGAAGGGCAGGCCTGGGTTTGCGCGGACGGGAAGAGGCCTTGCTGTGATGGCGTGACGCCTCCGAGCAAACCTCCCCTTTGTCAGTGCTGGACTCGCTGTGCTCGTCCCGTCGGCATCAAGTCATGCCTGAGAGAGCACACGGGCATGCTCCACAGCGGGCCGGGAGGGGGGGGGGCACATTGCTCTCCTTCAGCCTAGTGCTTCCTGCATGCACCCCCTCTGTCAAAACATAGAGTGAGTCAGAAGGGGTCTCCCGGGCCATCTAGTCTGACCCCTGGCTCCAGTCGTCTCCACTCACAACATGCCCACCATGTGGACGTCCAGCCTGTCTCTGAACACCCGCACCGAGGGGGCCTCAGCCACCTCCCGGGGAAGCCCATTCCACACCCTCGGGGTCCGAACTGTCAGGAAGTGCTTCTTGGCATCCAAATTGAACCTTGGTCAGAAAGGTGTGCACCGAGTGGGGAAGTTGGCCACCTCTTGACTAAAGATGGGGCTGCAGAGTTTGACCCCCTGGCATGTTTTTAAAGCCAATCCCAACAAATGTGCCCCAGGCCCCCCTTAGCGTCCGTGCCAGTCTTGCTGCCTAGCTTTCATGGGCTTGGCGCTCGAGCATCGATGGGCAGGCATGCGTCCTCTTGGTCAGTAGCTGAGCCTGCGTGACCGTCGCACAATCTCTGTCTCCAAACGTGGATGCTAGTTTAACATCCATGCAAATGCATAGAAACAGGGTAACCAGTGGCCTGTTTTGGATGGCCAGGTGAACCTGCTACCCACGGAAGCCAGAGCTGCTGCTCTTAATGGGAGGAATTGTTGGCACTTGGGGTTCATATTCAGGGAGCGATCTTACATCGCCATATTTTGGAATCCTTTGGATAAGATACCAGCATAATGTGAAAACTAACAAGTGTATAGCTGAATTTGTTAAATTAATAGGGTACACATGTACGGTTTTACACATCAGCATCTGTTTGGAATCAATCATTTTTACGAAGGAAAAGGACATAAAAGTAGATCGACGTTTGAACTTTTAGTTTCCATGACTCGATTTGCATGATTGATGGTCCCGCGAGAGTGTTTGTTATGTCTTGTGTTTCTTCTGGCTACATCCAAATTGTGGCAGAAACGCGACTTCTATAGCTAGCAGGTTGCCATAGATCCGCCAAAAGTTTACAACACCGCGTCAGGCGCGGAGATTTTTAGCATCCGCGCCGTAAAACCACCCAAAGAGGCAAATTCTTCCTCTGACACCCCGTGCAGCTCGCTGACTGAATGGGTTTTGTTATGCAACTCGTGCTTTGGAATGGATATGCCACCCTACAAGAGAGGAAAACTCTCACGGTGGAGGGAAGACTGATGTGGGGCCAAGGAACATTGTCCTTTTAAAATGGTCAGAGGCGGGTCTGACAGTCGCCACGACAAGCGCGAGCGATGATTCGGCCACTGCCGTCCACCAGCACCCTGCTCACCCTGTTGCGTTCAGGGGTTCGCATCCGGCTTTCTGCCTCAGCTATTTGCGGGCCAGAAGTCAGGGCGGGTGCCCAGCGCCCGGTCTCAGCCTGTGCACACTGCACTTCCCACCAAGAGTAATCTGGGGAGTTGCACCAGAGGTGCCATTTTGGCATTAAAAAGCTGTAGAAATCTTCCAGAGCAGCATGATGGAGTGGCTGGTGGAACAGTTTCTGTTGTGGAAACTGCAGCGAGACATGACTGGCAGGAAGGAGAAGAGTAATTCTGGAGTAATTTGGAGTAATTCTCCAGTAATTTTCTGGAGTATTCTTCTGGAATAATTTGCAAGAGCGGACTTGCTCCCGAAGTGTTGCTTTTTTAAAAAGTAATAAAGTGCTGTTGTTTGTACCTTCTGTCCAAACTGAGATAATTATAGCCTCGTTGAGAACTGTTGTGAAAACGCCACAAACGTCTCTTTCCTTCTCTCTCTCTTCCTTTTAAAGACCAAGCTTGAGATCCAGAGAGCACTTGCTGAAGACTCCACCGTCTATGAATATGACAATATTTATGATGACATACAGCAAAAGAAGGCAGAAAGCCACGCCAGCTTCCTTGCAGGGAAAGGGGAAAAAAAGGTCCATTTCCATTCCTGGGAAATGAGTATGATGTCTGTCTTTGCCTCTCTACGCTCGGGATGGTTGGGCTGTGCAGACCTGTAGCTTTGGGTGGACGAGAAGAGGCCAAGCGAGGCGGGAACGGGCTGTGGAGGCACTGAGGGGAAAGAAAGAATTTATTCCAGAATGTCTTTCAGCCTAGGGGTTAAATTCCACTTTAGATAATGTTTTGGGGGGAGCGGGGCTGAGGGCAAAAGGCGCAGCGGGAAGAAAGAAACGGCAGCATATTTTTGCTTCAAACCTTTCCTGCCAGTCGCGAAGCCTTGGCAGAGTCATGTTAACCTCTGGCCTCCGTGGAAGCTGGAACGAGACCGAAACGTCAGTGGCTGGGGAAGGGGGTGTGAGCCGCTCGGAACAAGCCGAGCAGGGATCCCAGGCCTGCCATTCTGCAGCCTTCCCTAACCAAGAGTGAAACTAGGGTGACAGATCACCACAGACCAGCCTGGAATACAGAATTCAGGAGTGGAGGGTTCACTACCACAGTTAACCTTTTGCAGGGCACGTTGGTCCCCCCAAGCGGTGTAATCTTTGAGGATGTCGTCATTACCTGCCAGCTGGGTCACCCTTCCCATTTCAGCAACAGGGCATCATGAGGCAAGAGAGTTTTTCTTTCTAGTGCCAGAGACAGGATCTGAGGCTCGGTCTTGCAAAGTCCAGTCTGAATCCATTGGGCAGCACTGCCCTGGCCTGGCCTGCCAGGTTCACCGTCAAAGTGCCGGGAAAGGCCTGCAACGTGGTGTGGCAGGCAAGGGTGTGTGAGTGAGGTTAGTGCCAAGCACGGATTTGGACCGGCTCCTGAGGCTAGGCAGAGCGTGTGGAGGCCTGCTGAAGATCCCCGATTCAGCCCCTGTGGCTCCGAGGAACGGCACCAGCGGCAGCAGTCGCATTCCACAGTCTTCCAGCACGTCCCATTTGCCTGTCCTGGCCCCCTCGGTTTCTTGCCTTTCCTTCATTGCAGTTTTGTCCTTGCAGCCCAAGTACATCCAAAATATACTCAAGGCAGCCGAGCTCAGGAAGAAGGAACAGGAAAAGAGGATGGAGAAGAAAATTCAGAAGGAGCGTGAAATGGAAGGGGGCGCCTTCGACGACAAGGAGGCCTTTGTGACGTCCGCCTACAAGAAGAAGCTTCAGGAAAGAGCTGAAGAGGAAGAGAGGGAGAAGAGGGAGGCAGCCATGGAAGGTGAAGGAGAATTAATTTGGGGCATTTGTTTAACTTCGGGGCGTTGTTTTCTACTGGGCTGGATTGCGGTTCGGAAGCAGGGATTTGTGGCTGTTGGCCTGAAGCAGCATCTTCTGTGGGAGATGGGAGCCGTTTTGCCCCAGTGGGATTCCTGCTCTGGGAACAACTCTTGGGGCCTCATGGAAAAGGCAGGCCGGAAAGGGGGATTTTCCCTGGGACACTGGGGAAGCGCCCTGGGGCTCCTCTTTTGAAGCACAAGCCCCGGCAGCCGTGCTGCGCCGGCAGCCAGGCCTCTCCAGACCGCACGGGCATTGTGCTGAAGAGCCATCATCGCGCTCCTTGTCGGGGATGCGTGTGCTTCGTGTACCAGCGTCCAGCGGTCAGATTTCGGCCACACATTTCTGAAATGCTTCTCTCCACAGAAAAGCACCTGCAGGTGCACTTGAATTATGGAAGGGATGTCGGGGGGGGGGGGGGGCGGCCTTTATAAACTCATGCTGCCTCAACTTGCCTTCAGGCAGTGGCGAACGCGTCTGACTTCCCCCACCCCCTGTAGTTTCACCATCGCATGGGAAGGACCAGTTGGGCATCACCTGCGGGCTAGATCTGGGTAGCCAGTTTTTCGGCAGTAACAGCAGCCGTGGGTGCTTCCAAAGCAGCGCATGCTTAGGGCAGGTCCCACTTGGTCCCGGGACAGCCGGTGGGGAAACCCTGCACAGCGCGTTCGAAAGGCAGTGGGGGGCCGAATGCACAGGCCCGCCAGCCGTGAGGGGAGGCGGGCTGCGACGGGCCCAAGGTGCGGTGGCAGCATGCACGGGCGGGCTGTCCAAGTGGAGCGCGGCCCGAGCAGGGTCTGCCAGAGGTCAGCACCACATGCGTTCCGTCTGGCCAGAAAGCCTGGCCAGGTTTCAAGGCCCTGGAAGTGGAGAGGAAGGCACCCCACCAGCTGGAGCCTTACCCGGGCAGGCGTCCCAGTCCGCACCCCCCCATTATTTGCTTTATTTATTGGGATGTTTCTAACCCATCCAGTGCGAAATGTCTCTGGGAGGCTTACAGAGGAATAAATATCCAATCAATAAAGGCAAGATAAAACTATAATGGCTGCAAACAGTTGAGCCATTAAGACGGCCTTTCCTCTTGAGTCAGGCAGCAGCTTGTGCAAGCAGCCTTCTGGGTGGAGCGTGCCCCTCTGGGCGCACCCCTTTCGGAGGCGGTCTCCACACAGGTGCTGGCGGGGCCTCTGGGCCCGGACTTGCTGTTTCCTGGGCAGGCCAGTGACCCGTTTTCTCTCTCCTTTTAGCATGCCTGGATGTGACCAAGCAGAAGGATCTCAGCGGCTTTTACAGGCACCTGCTAAACCAGACGGTGGGGGAAGAGGAAGTGCCCAAGTGCAGCTTGCGTGAGGCCAGGTACACCTGCAGGGAGCAGCGCGTGCAGCCCCCTCCCCGGCCTTCTCTGTGGTTCGGGCGTCCCCGAGGTTGCCGGCACGAAGCACTGGCGGCCACTGCCGCTCGATAGCCGTAAGCGGCAGGGATTGAGTCACTCTCCGAACTCCGGCGTGGCAGTCAGAGTTCAGCCAAGAGTCCGTTCCTTCCAGAGGGAGGACTTGCTTTCAGGTTCTGCAGTCTTCCTTTTACTGTGTTTTGTTAGGAGCGGTTTTAGTTGGCTTAGGAGGATGAAAGCCGGATCGAAACAGCATAGCTTTCTCTGTGATAGCCCGGCCGTCTGTCTCTTTCCTCGTCCTCGAGACACTTTAAATCGAGTAATGAGATACTACTCTTGGACCTGTTTTTAAATTGTTCATTGGTGGTCTCTTGACTTCAGCTGGTTTTTGTGGTCTGCTGGGACTTAGAGGCCTCCTTTCTGGCCAGGCTTGCACAGGATTGTGCCCCGGTACATGAGAAAAAATAAACAAGGATATGCATTTTGTTGAGAAGTAGCTCGGGCGTGAATCTGTAGTACATTTCAGACGAAAGCTCGCTCCAAAACATTGCTTTGTGAGTCCGCAGACCAGAGAGATCTCTGTCCATTTCTTGAGGTTGTGTTAAAATGGATGGCCCAGTACGCTGTGCAGGCATCAGTGCCAGCACCTTTTCAGATTTTGGGCTGACTGCCTTGCCCTCGTAATTGGCAATTGGCGTCGCTGCAGGCAGGTGAGAAAGAAGTTCCCTTTTTGGCTGAATCGGTGCTGCCTCCAGGCTTCCTTTGAGGCATTGCTGATCCCCAGGAATGCTTTGCCTTTGGCATGGCGTGTCCGTGGGACGCAACCGTGGCCACAGAGCACAGCTCCATAAACTCAGTAAAACAAGCAGCCCGTATAAAGGAAGAGGTGCGCACGAAAGTGTCCTCATGGAGCTGGCTGCACTAATCTCAGATGTGGGGGGATCGTCGCTGCTGCGGTGGGGGAGAACTCCCCCCCCCCCCATGTCTGGCACAGCCGAGACAAGCTTTCCAACACAGCAAGAGCGTCTCAGACAAGTTAGATGAGCTTCCCAGTTTGCAGGACTGATTCAAGTTGCAACACTTGGCGGCGAATCCGGGTTGCCTGGTCAGGGAGTTTCAGCGTGATCCGAAGGTGGCAGCGGCAGGGGTTCGATCCTTGAAGAGTCACCTCCTGACCAGCCACCAAAGATGGAGACTTTGGCCTCAGGTGCCCAGCGTAACAGCCCCCCACGGCTTAATTTAGGCGTGGGTATGGGGAGGTGCATCAGCCGTATGTGCGTGTGCTGCCGTCCAGCCCCTCTCCCCGTCAGGAGAATGTCGTCCTCTCGCAATATTTTACAGTGAAGTTCAGGGTGGTTCTGAATTTGTAGATAGTGCATTTTATGTGTGTCTTGTAAAAAAAATCCCTTTGGGGAGAGGCAGAGCACCTCCTCCGCCTGCTGAAGGTCTTGGGTCTGGTCCCTGGTGTCTCCAGGGCGGGCTAAGAAGGAAGCTTGCATGAATCGCTGGAGAGCTGTGCCTGCCTGCCTGTGTCAGCCGTGCTAGCTAGATGGAACAAGGGCCTGACTCGCTATAAGGCAGCTTTTGAGGTAAGGCACTTTGCACATGGTCAGAAGCACTTGTTTCTTGGGGAGGGGGCCAATGGGTGAACGCCTGTTTGTATGCAGAAGGGTCTAAGAGACCTTAGACTCTAAGGTCTGTCCTGGCACCTCCAGGTACGGCTGCTGCCTGCAAGACTGGAGAGCCGTTGCTGCCGGCCTGTGTTGGCTGTAGTGGGCCAGATGGACCCCAGGGTTGACCCTGTGTAAGGCGGCCTGCCCAGGTCCTGCTTTCTGTCAGTTCTTATGTTTTATCCTTTAGGTTGAAGGAAGAAGAAGAGCCCAGCGGAAAGCCTGCCTCCAGAGAAGCGAGCCGCAGTCCCATTGAGCCGACACGGGCGCCCCTTCCTCCCAAGGGGGAAGGGAACCCGGATGCCGACAGCGACCCGGGAGCGGGCAGCGGTGAGGACGACAGCAGCGCTCAAGTGCGGGGCAGCAGCAGAGCCGGGGAGAAAAAGGAGCACGGGCAGGCCCACTCCAAGCACCGCCCCGGCCGAAGGGGCTCCCGGTCGCCGAGCGAGGAGAGAAGCCGCCATGCAAGGGTGCCTGCGAGGCACCCGGAGAGAGAAGACGGCAGCAGGAAGGAGAAAGGCGGGTCACACCGGGAACGAGAGCGTGAGAGAAGACACAGGGGCCACGACAGGGAGGAGCATCCCCGAGCCGAGGATTCTTCCGGGAGGCAGGAAGAACGGGATGACAGACAGAGGAGGAAAGACAGGAAGGAGAGAGATGACTATCGCCGGGAACTGAGGGAAGAGAGAGACAGGGAGGACAAGTACTCGGAGTGGGAGCAGCAAGTGAAGGGAAGGCCGGCTAGCCATGGGGAGCGGGACAGGGGGGCGAAGGAAGACAGAAGTGAGAAGAGGCAGCGGGAGTGGAAAAACAGCAGCCCCGGGCCCTTGGGAGACGTAGGGGAGGAGAGGAAGGGTCCACCGTCGGACTCCGAGCGGTCTCCAGAACTGAGGCACAAGGAGGGAGCAGACCAGGAGGAGAAACCTCTGGAGAACCGGAGCAAATTTGCGAAGCGAAGCAATGTCGAGAGTGTCACGTCTGCGAGGGACCGCTACCTGGCTCGGCTGATGGCCCGCGCAGGCGCCAAACCCTACGTGGAAAAGGAGGAGGACTAGGCTTCCTCTTGGGGAGAGTCTCAGGAAGTGACGAGGGGCCACGGGGGAATCTTTGGTGGCCGTAAACGGCACATGGGCACGAACGCACTTCCTGCCCATCTCTTTCTAGAGGACCTTAGCATGGTGCCCTTCCATGTAGAAGGAAGCTGGAAGGAACTTGGACATCTGTACGACGGGTGGAGAACGCCTGTCCGGGGCACCCCGTCCCTTGTTTAAACTCCGTGTTGCGTGTGGGCAGTGAGCTCAGTGGATCGCATCCCGAGCCCCATGTAGTGCATGATGGTCCCTTGAGATCCCACGCCTGACGGTATCCAGGAAGATGCGCAAAATCCTGACCTGGAATGTGAATAAGACCGGCGGCAGCAGAAATTCTTACTATTTGACTGGTTTGTTCGAAATACTCTCTAGTTCGCTGGTGAGCTTGCATGCTTGGAATTTCTCTGTTGGGTTTTGTATTTTCTGCTGTACAGAATTGCTGGAATAAAGGAGACGTTGAATTGGGGGTCCTGTTTGTCTCTGTCTCGTGCCCATGCTAAATCTTGGCTCAGTCCCCCAAGCTTGTGGGGAATCCAGTGTCTCTGGATCAGCCCCTGTGTGCTAAGATGCCAAGGGCTTTCTGAAGCTGCCCTTAAGAGACCCCCTTAATCTCTGGCTTGGCAAAAGGCATATTAGATTTTCAACAAAACTCTTAGAAACTCTGTTCTTTCCCACGTCACGTCCCCATAACCTCTTCAAACAGTGGCTTCGCCTGCATCGAATTACCTGAGCAATTTAAATTTCCAAAAAAGAAAACTTCGGATCCCCATTGCTACCTTGCTGCTGTGCTTTTAATTGAGCGCTCTTTCTCTCACACTCCTCTCGGTGCTGCAGTGCCGTGCTGTTGGGTCCTTGGCATTTGGGGTCTGTTACAAAAGTATTGTCAGAGTCTGCTCATGTTTATCTTCCCGGATTAAGCTTGATCTCTTTTGTCTTGGGAGTACCTCATGTTTTCCTCCCGTGTCCTGGGAAGCCATCGGGAAGGAAGTTTGTATCTTGTTGTTATGGAGACGGTAGTGGCTTCTTCGCCAGCTCCAGAAATAGGCATGTGCTTTCCTAGCAGTTTGCAAGCTGTTTCTTTTTCCCCCTTATGCAAGGAGTTTCATGCGTAGCTTTTAAGTACGGCAAGAGCAAGCGTTCTCTCAATAGGAAAGAGCTGGCTTCTGGTTCGGCTTTGCTGGCTGCAAACGCCACGAACTCCAAGCACCCACCGCTTTTCTGCCTCTTTGGTTTTTGCTTGCACATCAAAGAGAGCACATGAGGGTTTTACTGACCAAATATTGTGGAAAAAAGCCCCCTGCCAAATGTTTAGTAACTAGCAACTCATTAACGATGATAGCTTGAGATCTGTTGGCTAAGTGTCTCCTGGTCTAGGAGTTGGGGACTTGACCCATTCTGAGTGGTGTGGTGCTCTCCGTGAAAGAAGGGATCTGCAGCTTGGGAGTCCTTCAAGATTCACTGTTGTTGTGGAAGGCCCATGTGCCATGGCACACCTCTCACTCACCTGGTACGTCAGTTGCATCTGTTCCCGGGCAGGAAGGGAGTAACGGCTGAAATGCAGGCATTAGTGACCTTGAGGCAGGACTGCTGCGATGTTCGCTGTGTTGGGCCACCTTTGCAACTGGTTCAGAAGATGCTGCTAGCCCATAATACTGTGGAATGGAGCACCTTGCCATGTGTGCATAACTCAAGTGATGCAAGGCTGGATTGCGGCTGAACCACTGATTACTGTTGTGTAAATGCTTAATTCAGGCCCTGGTTGCCTGAGAGAGTCTCTCCCTGTCTGGACCTGTTTGGCTCCTGTAATCTTCATGGGGCTTTGCTGTCTTTGCGGCACCCGCCAAAGCCCCATCTGGCAACAGGGCTTTTCCAGTGGTGGCCCCCTCCCTCCTGACACATGTCCCGCTCCATGATATGTCAGGTACCAACCATCCTGTGGTTGTAATGATGGCTAGAAACTGCGTTGCATAGCCTGGCTTTACCCAACCTCCTCCTAATGCACTGTTTTATAACGGATAGTAAACAGCTTTGGGATTTTAAAAATGGGAAATCGTATATAATATTCCAAATTAAATCTCTCTCTACCTGGTGTTCAACTGCCACTCTTTGAAGTTTGTTGGAGGTCTCTCCACTGCTCACCATGTAAAACCCTACAGAGCTAATTGGCTTGGTTTTGTTCAAAATGTTCTAAGGAACCGTTAAGATTGACCAAAGCACCTGGAGCGGGCACTGTAGTTTTGAAGATTCCTGGCCCCGGGCACTGCTGCCTGGGGTTTAGAGGAGCTGTAGTCCAAAACACCGCAGGGCACCAGATCACCTACTCACTGCAGGAAATGGATCCGTGAATTGGCTTACCTGTCTCCTGCCATGCCCGGGCACAGGTGTGTGCTTCAGGCCACTGTTTGGGGAGAGTTTTAGCGAGACCTGTGTGGACCAGCCAGACTTCTCCGGAACAGAGAGATGTCACAGCAGATTCCCAAGCCTAAGAAGGGCCTCTTAAAAGAAGTGTGAAAGCCATCCGCTTAATCAGCCTTTCTTGAGAAGAATGATGAGGGATTTAATAGCGCTTCTCAGATGCCTCAAGTGCTGTTAAAGAGAAGAGGGGTTTGTGTTCTCCGTCTCAGAAGACTGTGGGACGTGGAATCATGAGCTTCACCAGCAGTGAGGCATCTTTCCACTGAATTTCAAGAGAAACGTCCTCGCGGTCAGTGGTCAGACCCAGCAGGGACTGGAAGGTCACTGGATTACATCTGGATTTCTGCAAGTGCTTAGACTCTGTGGCCGAAATGACCCCCCATGCCTGGCGGATGCTGCGCATCTACGTGGAGAATTCCAAGTCAACTAAAGGCCTACTTCAGATGTCCTCTGGCTGAGCCTCAGTTAATTTTAATAAATCATTTCCCCACTAGACAGGGGAGGACAACGGCCATTTTATTGTGATATTAAATCGCTTACAACCACAGTTTACAATGCAAGGCACATACTTATGACTTACACTCCAGCTTGGGACATTCAGTAACCGAAGCAGCAACATAAATTAATATAGGCGCCTTATATACAAGATAGAGGAATACTTTCGTTTTGTAAAATAAAACTCCAGTTTTAATTTCTCCATAGAAAAAAAAAAAAGAACAGTCCCAGTTCGCAGAGGAAGGGTAGCGGTTCCCAAATGAACCTCTCTCTCAAGTCCCAATATTTTTAACGTGCCCCACGCAGCTGAAATCCTCAGTGGGTTATGCTCACGTGGCAGAAATTAATACTGTTGTCTTCGACATGCAGTGCCACTGAGAGACAAGTTTAGAACAAGCAACAGCTGTCCTAGGGCCTAATAAATTCTCCTCTCAGCAGAATGTGTGTTAAGGTTAGCAAAGCCCAACAGGACGGGTAGTTATACAACTTGTCTTCCTGCAGCAGCACCCCCCCCCCCCCCGCATGGCGTCACCAGCTTGTAGGTTTGGAGTTTAGTGCTCATAAAAAGAAGCTCGGGAAGAGGAGGACCCGACCCCTTACTTCCATCCTGTTACACCCTGGACTGTAGTGTATACCAGGTTCAAGAGAGACCCCGCGAACACACACCTGCCGGAAACAGGGAGGTGGCACCGTTCTGCCAAGGTGGTGCTTATTCCATCTCCAGGCACTTCGCCAATTGAGCAAGAGATGTGGGGGGTCGCTCTTTCGATGGTGCCGAAGGAGAAGGGCTCGCATGTTCTGCCGTTGCCCTTTCGGAACAGTGGAAGGAAGTGCCACAGGCTTTCTGATACCTAAGCGAAAGAAGCCTGGTCTTCCGCCGGAGGACTAATTCCAGGCTGAGCTGCTCTCATACACTGACCGCGCTGACTCCCTTGAATACTGCCCCTTTATGACAAGGGGACAGGATATCCTGCTGCCGAGAGGGAGGCAGGAGCTCGTGAACGGACCCCTCGCCACGCCCAGCCTGGCTGACGGTGAAAGGATTCACACCACGGCCGTTTCACCAGTCAGCTGAGTTCAAGGCCGCCGCTAGGACTGCTGTAGGTGGTCAGCAGCGTCTGGACCACACCGTTCCAGCCCCGGAGAGGAAGCATGTAAGCATGCCTGCAGCTCCCATTAAACCCACCCCCTCCCCAAAATAAAGGTGCATGTACATGACTTGCTAGAGGGCTCTGCCTTTCCGCTTCCTCTGATCTACCTGTGTTCTGGGGTGCAAAGATCTTGTTTTCTGTGTGCCCCGACACTCAGTGTCCTTCCTAGCAATTTCAAGCCACGGCTCACTCACAGAGTTTTTCAGTAGTATCCCTCTTCCAGGATTTGGGCTGCCCATTCAAGCAGTGAAACTCAGTACTAATTGGATAAGATGTGGCTTGCAGCATGGAATGAACCGTTCCGGTATTTCTTCAGCTTATTTGAAAATGGATCCATGGAAACAAATACAGCAGGAAGGCCTGTTACAAGGTCACACTGAGAGAATTAAGGGGCGTGCTGGCACAGACAGAGGGATGCTAAATATAATTCTAACTTTCGACAGTTGTCTGACAGAGGCTTGAGTTAACTACGCATGCATTCAGACAGCCCCCTGATCATGGATATGGAGTCAGGGGTACTCATTCACACTCGTATATCTTCTCATTTCCGAAACAGAACCAGTGCAGTAATGCGAACTGAAAAGAGTCTGATGTGCCAAGGAGCGCAGCCAGTCTTTCTCTTGGAAACGCGTGGAGGCCTAAACCGTTTCGTCACCAGACTCGCGCCTCCGTCACACATATGCTTCTCGGTGGAAATCCGTTCTTTGGGAAAGAGCTTAAAGCGATGTGAGAGGCAAGGAAGCCCTGCCTCTCCCCCATCCACCAAACTAAGCAGGGCCTCTTAAGCAGCATTCATGCGGATGCCGCCGATGGGAATCTCTGTGGCTGTTTCTGGAGTTATGCTTTTCAGAATACGCTGCAGGGAGAGAGAGAGAGAATGCGCATCAGTGACCAGCCTGCCATCTGTTTGAGACAGGATCGTGGCATTGGAAGGAGGACATCCAAAAGCTCATTCCAGAATTTCCCACTGAATGCCGAACAACGCCGGATGCCACTCAGAGGCAACCAGCAGAAGAGCTTGCTGAGTCCTTGGCTTTACCAAAGGGGAACGTCACTGGGGGCAGTTCGACTCTGAAAGGGCCATCGCTTGAATCTCTTGGTAGTCCAGAAGAAACTCCACAGAGGGGCTAATTTATGCAGGATAATCATCTTGTCCTTTTCATCCATACGTTGCAGGCCTTTTAACCTACTTGTGCATTATGTTTTTATTATAAAGGGTAGCACAGGGTTCTGGGAACTATGACTGCTCTGAGAAGCTTCACACATATGGCTGTGTGGCTTTAAGGGCTGCTGTCGAAATTAGACCCCGAAGATTTCCAGGAAGCCTACGCATGCAAGCACAGTAGTTAATTACAGCTATAAGCCGCCCTGGCTGGGTTGGCAAGCCACACAAGGTGGGAAATAAGCTTGTTTCGAGAGAGAGTTGATTTCCTGAATATACTGTCCCCCATTACAGTGCAAAGTATTTTGTCAAGGGCCAGCCTTGAATGAGCCATTAAAACCCGTTTCCTTTATAAAGGACCCGCTCCTTGTGGATGAAAACTCAAATTGGAAAAAGTGAGGAAAGGGGCAACCAGAACGATCCAGGGGCTAGAGCACCTTTTTTCCTCAGAGGAAAAAATCTAACATCTGAACATCTGTGGCTTAGAAAAAGGCGAGTGAGGAGAAAGATGCCAGAGCTTTCCAGGAGTATGCCTGGTTCGGAAAAAGTAGAGAGGAAAACATTTTCTTCCCTCCTTCATGCTTTAAGAACCCCATGGGGTCCTCACACGAAGCTAAAGAGCGAGAAGTTCAGGTCGGAGAACATGAAGGACTTTGTAATGTAAGGAATTCCCTCCAACAAGATGGGAAATGGCCAGTAGGACAGCTTTAAAAGGCAAATGGACAAATGCATGGAAGCAAAGGGTCCCGGGTGGTAACTCCACTGTCAGGGGCAGTCTTTCCCTGCACACCACTTGCTGGGGAGCATGGGCGGGGGGGTGCTGTTGCCCCCCTGTCTCGCTTGTGAGTCTCCTGCAGGCTACATTTTTCCAAATTGCCTTCAGGGCATGGCTATGAAGACCATCCCTTCAAGGAGAAGAATGAACCCATCCCAGGATGCCCCGTGTTATAACAACCCGTTCACATGTTTGATGACCACGCGAGAGAAAAGCAGAGTCCCTTTAGCCCCCCCCCCCCCACCATTTTCCTGAACGTGGTCTGTGGGTGTACCTCTTTGAGTGTTCCCGGCGTGCTGGCCAGCCGATAGACCATGTACAAAGGAATGCAGATGAAGGACGACGTCCCGATGCAGTAGCCCAAAACCATGGTCCAGTATGGATACGTGTAGTTGAAGAGGCGCAACTCTGGAGGGCTGGACATAAAGCTGCAAATGATGAACTGGAGAGCGGCCAAAATAGTTATTAATGGGGAGCAGAAGTCTCTGCACAAGGTAGCAAATTTGGGCCTCCAAGAAGCTGGGCAGAAGCTTTCTTTGGGAGCAGTGCCAAAGGTGTAAGAGCAGCAGCCTCTCAGCCCAGCATGTGACGGGCTGGCACATCGAGTTCCAGTGGGATTTGGAGCAGGGGTTGAAAGAGGAGCGGCGGTGGGAATGTGGCTCCCCTTCAGGTTGAGGGAGGACAGAGAGGCATCGTACTGGCCCATCCGGAGCGCTGGCTCCTGCTTTTGGAGGGCGCTCGGGCGCATGAGAGGGCGACCTTATTCCCCCCCGTGGCACCAGCTGCTCTCGCTCCTCACCGCCCGAGCAAGGCGGATGCAGCATCTTTCCCTCCTCCTCCTCCTCCTCGCCATTACCCTCTCCTGGATCAGAGCGAGAAGCAGGGGAACAGGCAGGCTGCATTGCTGGAGAGGAGGAGCGAGTCTGGGGGGCTCTTGCCAGTGGGGGGCCAGCTGAGCTTCCCAGCATGTGCCCGACCGTGCTGAGCCTTGATGTCGTTGAAGCCATACAGAATCTTCTTTCCCCACATCCAAACCCTTCTTCATGGGGAGCCGATCCTAGGGACATACTAACTCACCTGGGCTTGAAAGAAACTGCGGGACAGTCTTTCTGACTAATCATGCCCAGATTATGCCTTTAATTATCTTTTGTAATCTGCTGTTGGAGCTCTTTGCCGCAAATAGGCAGCATGACTCCACGACTATTACCGCGTTACCTTTCTGTCCCACCGTTCTTCCCTTGCAAGGAACCCAAGGTGGGTTACAAGAATCCCCTTCATTCTTCCTCACATCTCTGAGGTAGATTAGACTGAGACTCAGGCGACTGGCCCAGCGTCACCCAGTTGGCTCCATGAACAAGTGGGAACTGGAGCCCCGAACTCCTGAGCCCCAGGGCAGCCCTCTTAACCCCAACACCACACTTCCGGCACCCTGGTCCTTCCCACTTTCAGGTCTTGCTCTCTACAAGTGACGATTTCAAATCACTTCTTGGCAGAGAGAACAAGCAACTAGTGGAACCTGGGCTGTAAGCGGGGGCTGTAGGCCCCCACACTGTTGAACGGGCATCCTGGGGCCATCAGGGAGTCCACCGGAGATACAGTGGCCGGTTGGCCATTTTTACACCGGACTCTCCACTTCTACCAAGCAACCACAGAACCTGGACGCATCGTCCCTTTCGATGCGTGTTTTCCCGTCATAAAGGCTAGTGTGTGTTTCTGTGTGTATAAGCAAGATTGATGTGGTTACACATTTATGTATACCTTTTCCTCTTCTGGTTATAAAATGGAAATTTGTTAAACGTGCATTAATCATTCCAGCAGGGTTGTTTTCGAACCACCAAGCCAGCCTGACGTGAGGACAGCTTTTGCCATCAATAACCCTCACGCCTCTCCGTTCTGGCCTGATGCGTAGTGTTAACTGCACTAAGAACACAGTGAGCTAATTTGGGAACGGGGCACTGAGCCTTTGTTTAATAGTGCTAGGAACGGCTTCGACAGACTGCCGCAAGAACAGTGTCTAGTTTCTGCCTTACCCCTCCCCTTCCATCTGCAAAGGATGCGGCCTATTTTTTTAAACTTTGGAAGGCATCAGTCAGTAACTGCTTTTCGACTGGCTTCCTTTTATTTGATTTTAAATTGAAGAGTGAATGAACCACTATGGATAAGATGCGTCCACGGCCTTTGACGTTACAGGGAGCTGAGCAGGGCCGTCAAGAACGGGACCATTTTGGAAGGCTTTCGTCCAAGTTACCACAACAGCAGCAAGTCCTACTTGAGCTTGAATTTAAGTTAGTCTTGAACTTGTGTTGGATTTTATCCTGTGTCAATAGCTGCAGGATCCAAAGAGCAGTTTCAGATGCATTCAAGGGGCTGGGAATGCCACTTACGCCTTTTGCTCTTGGATCTCCACCCTCCTCCCTTTGCCTCCCCAACCCCAGATGTTGCCATCTCCTTTTGAGCTTTTTCTCATATTCAAAAGCGGCTTGCCATGCATTGTTCTGAGGTGTGGGGAGGAAGCAGGGGTCTTTGTTTAGGGAACACAGGCTTCCCACAACCCCCACCCCTGTTCCTGGTTGTGTGGAAATGGCTATGCAAGTTCCTTGCATCAAGTCATAGTGATAATCGCAGTGTTGTTAAAAAAACAACAACGACAACATATGCTAACTGCTGATAGTCATGGATATTGCAAGAACAGTGGCCTGGTTCACATCAACCCAGAATATGGGTTTCCATTGAATCATGGTTTGTTGTGACATGTGAATCCTGTATTGTAGTTTAAGTTGTTAACCGCAAATAACCCAGGAAGAGAACCTGTGGTTTGTTGTTGGGCTAACCCATGCTTAAACCATAGTGCAGGGTTCACACATAACTTTGGGTTGATGTTACATGCAAACCAGGTCACGACAGTAGCTTTTTATTTTTTTATATTTATTTTTATTTGTTTTCATTTACCACTTGTTTGGAAGCATTGGCACATTTTTAAAGAGTATTTTCTGTTAGAATAATGGTAGGATCTGTGCTTTCCGTGTTATTTTTAGAAGATACAAGCTGACGGAGTAGCATCCCCGAAAACCTTGAGAAAAGCACACAAGGGCCAAAACTGTGTTCTGGGTGTCAGTGTAGAGTCAGAATGCTACATTTTGGGTCACGTGAATGCTACCACGTGGCATGCAGTACCAGAGGCTGTTGCGCCACTGGTGGTGTGCTGATTTGGTTGATTTTTAATACTTTGTTTTTGGGATGGAAAAATCTCGGATAAAGTCTGTTGGCAGGGGGTTGAAGGCACCCCCGAAAAATAATGCAACCTGGGCACTTTAAGCTATAAGAAAATATCACCATCTCATAATATTTTGCCATAAGATGCCTCTCAAGAAAAGGCACGTGGCTGGTTTGCCAGTTAGAGACTCTGTCGGACGGGGAGGCAGTGTCCTTTATTCCTATGTTCGGACAGACTCACCAAGAGGAAGATGGGGCTGATGGCAACCCAGCAGATTCTCCAAAACCATCCGGGGCTGAATCCAAGCATCTCTTTCAGGTCACTGCAAAACTGGGTGATGCCTGCAGAATTACCAGGGATAGTACCCAAGTTAGTCTCACGCTGCTACACCTTAGATTGAGTGGCTCAAAAGGACGCAGAGGAACACTTTGGATTCTGAATTCCAGAGCACTGGCAAGCCGTTCTTCCTTACCAAAGAGTTTTCTGTAAACCTAAAATGTTCACATAAATCCATCATCCAGCAATAGCTATTGGAATTGTAGTCCAGTACATCAACTGGGTTCAGATAATACAATAACCCACATTCAAGGGTTGGTGAGGCTGTTGAAGGCTCAGATAACACAACAAACCATGGTGAACAAACCACAGTTCACAGGCTAGTAACAAACCATGAGTTCTCTTGTCATGAACAAACCATGTCTTGTTAGCATAGCTGGGTTCAGACAACACGATAACCTGCATCTACGCCAATCAGCCTCGGTTCAAGAGCAACCTACTCTCTGCACTTGAGTGTAGATTGGGTTTGGGCAACACGGCACTCAATGAATGCAGTCCAAACCCATGTGGTCTATTGAGGATGGAGTCCAACACATCTGGACATCTGTTCTGCAGCGACCTAAAAGTTGGCCAATCATGCATTTGTGCAGAGTCCTGAGGAAACGGTGTCTGCGCACTATTTTGGAGGCCCTGTGTCAAAATAAACAGATTCCACTGTTGATTTTAGAACTTTGTCCATGTTTCTGCCTCTTGGACCTGAAGATCTGGCTATACAAGCCTTCGAAAGATCAGGAACTGGGAAAAACAAGCATCAGTTCCTGCCCGGGTTTTAATGTAAGCAGGAAAGAAAGGCAGACCCTCCAGAAATTGTGTGTAGATTCTTCAGTTGTTACGAGAGAAGCAGATAAGAGAGGAGCTATGTTTATGCAAGACAAAGATTACAAAACAGAAGCCAAGGGCCGCGCCAAGAAATAAAACATTATTCTCTTTGCATCATGGGACTTTCTCTGCCCTTTACACCATGTGATTTTGGATATTCCTCAGTTTTGCCTGACTTTGGGACCGGGGAGATAGCAGGGCCATTGCAAGGAGAGACGTGAGGTGAGAAAATGGAGGGGAAGAGCCATGGAAAATGGCCCAAAGACGAGGATTTAGGAAAGTCCCTTGTGCCCCAAGGGCTGCTTTTGAGAGGCAAGGCGCTTTTCCTGACCACCCCACACTGCCTTGTACTCCCAGCTATTCCCACGGAATCAGCTGCAACCTTATGGAAGCCGGCGTGTCGTCTGGATGCAAGATCTTGTGCTAGATCTTTGGGGCAGATTTCAAGACAGACCAAAGCCTCCCTTAGGAGGTAATTAAACCCATGGGAAGACTGTTCCCCCCCCCCGCCCATGCTGCACTTTGTGGGACACCTGCGTCTGTTGCAAGGATGCTTTTGGGAGACTCGCCGAAATGCGATTAAGCTCACCGTAGAACCAAGCCACCGCAATGGCTTCCAGGAAGACCACAGCTATCACAGCCGGCCCTGTGGCGTATTCTTCAAACAGCTTCACCACGTATGCGCCGCCCTGGGGGGAAAAGAGGGCATGGGAAACACCAGGCTTGCTTCCAGTTCCCAGAAGGGAAGTCGACCGCAGCCGGGTAACCCTTTAGGATATGTGCGAGAGACCGAGAGAGAGCAAGAGCTGGAAATGCGCTGGTGCTCCATTCCGTCCCGGCACTGCCAGAGCGGTCCTCAAGGGGGTGAACGGCCCGCTTCTTTGGCTCCCTGCTAGGCATTCATCACACAGAAAATGGAAGATGCGTCTCTTGAGGTGGATGGAACCTGTGCCTCTATATTTCCCCCCTGGAGAGCACCTCAAAGGTGCGTCCCCCAGTGACTGAAAGGTTAAAGGCAGAACCCTGCTTCTCGACTCTTTCTCCTGCCGGACCTAAGCCTGCTCAAAGGGAAGGGTGTTGCCGGGAGCCGGGGTCTCCTAGTACACAGGAAGCTTTCTGGAGCAAGGAGGAATCGCTTGATAAAACTTGATGCAAAAAAGAAAAAGAAAACGGAGCTGCCAGTCCAAGGAGACGCCAGTCTATGCTAGATATCAGTTATTTATCTCCAGTCCGGCCTGGCGCCTGATCCAGTCTGTTGGCAGTGCAACAACACATACAAGGAGCAACAGCAAACACACCAAGCCCTTCTTGGAAGCAGGATTGACCTCCTCTGTTACTCAGCACTAGGCAGGTCTCAACATCCCCACCAATTCCCAGAACGCTGTCGTCACTTAGCAATGGCCGTGGTGCCTCTGACTGCTTTGAGAACAGCGCCTTGTATTTGAAAACAGTTGCAGCCCAGACTCATGAGAAGGCTGTTAACGGGCTGCAGCAGTCCTAGGCGCAGCCGTCTACTGCAAGCCGTCCTCCATAGGATGATTTTTACCAGTGTGATAATGGCACGCGGAACAGTTGTAGCTGATTTATGAAACGATCGTCTGATTCCCTCTCTTAGGAGCAGAAGAAACGGCCTGAGGGCTTAGATCACCTGTCTCTCTGGCCTAGAATTATCAGCACTGAGGGGCAGAAATTCAGAGCTTCCAGCAGGGGTCCTGCAGATGCCAGGGATGGAAATCCAGATGTTCAGCCCCAACCCCAAGGCCACAACCCACTGCCCACGCCCACCCTCGCAGCTGCTTTCCCTCCTGGGGCCTTGGACACGTGGCGTTCTTAGCTTGGTTCCGCAGCACACGGAGGCTGCCCGCAGACCAGAGCAGGCGTGAGGAAAACAAGGAGATTACTCCAAAGGACGGCACAAACATTGGATTGCACACCAACGCAGGGAACGTGCCCAAGCACACCTTGAGTGGCAGCTGTTCCCCAACCCGGGACCTTCCAGACACGTAGGCTGGGAGATGCTGAGGTTAGGAGTCCTGTAGGGGAGTCGCTAGAGTCAGGGCAGCTGCCTGCAGCGTTCGCGCTTGTGCTTCGCGTGAGCACAAGCCTGGGCATTTATTCATCTTTTAAAAACATTGATATGCCACCCAGTTGCAGCTCCCCTCTCTTGTTCCACGGACTCAAACTGGGCCGGCGGATCTCTGGCAAAATGCTCATTGCCCGTCACGTAAATGGGACTTGAGCCGGATTCCCTTCTTACGCATCGCCCGCAGTGCTGATTGTCCAGCACGGTGCCATTTGCACCGACAGAACGAACGGCAGAGCCAGGGAGCCGCCCACGCTCGCGCATCCTCAAACTGTGGGATCGCTCGACTGGTCCCGAATGGAGAGCTACTCACAAAGGTCAGCGTGGACAGCGCGCCCATGAAGCAGGTCACGATGAAGCAGAGTACGAACTGCTCCCGCCGTTTGCTCCAGATGTGTGGGAATTCGTCCAGGACCGCGGTGATCACCCCCTCGAGGCCCGCAAACTGGAAGATGCACATTGAGGAGTTAGGAAAGATGAAGCGGTTAGGAAACCTGCCCTCTACCTGGGTGCTGGTGCCCCCAGGTGTGTTTGACTGCAGTTCCCTGGATGGCTGAGGAGAACGGGAGTCGTGGTCAGACATGGCTTGAAGATGCTGGGCTGCAGAAGCTGCCCAGCGGGTTTGCAGGGAGGTGAAAATGATGTTGTAGTCCATGGCTTGAGCACTAATGGCATGTTAGGGAAGAAGGCCAAAGCCTGCCAGTTCAGGCAGGCTATACTTGGCCTAGATCCCCTCACCATCAAGGGTTGCTCTGAGATCATGCCTTCCACCTCCCCAAACGCAGGGAGAAAGCGTGATGCTAACGGGCAGTTTTAAAAGATCCGATAAATAAAAGAAATAGAAGAAAATACTGTTGAAGGTTCTCCACCCAAGCGGACGTGGGGAAGGACCCCCCCCCCGGGATGAGTCTGCAAAGATGCTGCCTTTGCGCCCGCGGATGCCCCCTGCTCACCGTGCTGTCCAGTCCGAGAGTGATCAGCATCAGGAAGAAGATGATGGCGAAGAAGGTGGAGGCAGGCATGTTCGCGATGGCCTCCGCGTAGGTGATGAAGAGGAGGCTGGGTCCTGTTGGCGGAGCAGAGAACGGAGTCAAGATGGCTGCCCGTCACCTGAGCACAGGAATCCGCACTTGCTCCATCCAGAGTGCGTCTGTCGCTCCCCAGCAGTGGGGGGGTGGCCCGGTGGCAGTGGGGCTGTGTCCCCACTCCAGCTTTCAGTCTGACATTTAAAGGAGTCATCCTTGTGTCCCATGTCCCCAGAAAGATGTGTGTGCTACAAGATGCACAGTGACTGGGTCCAGAGCCATGTTCAAAGCCATGTTCAAAGCCATGTTCTCTGGGCAGTGTACATTAGACTACAATACAAAAATACGGACAGCACAGCAGCTTAAAACATCGATTTAAAATTTCACAAAATATATATGACAGTCAAAATCAATTGTTAAAATACCTGGAAAATAAAACACTTCAAAGGCCTGAGCGGGCAGACAGGTTGACGTGGAAAATCCGCTAAAGAACCTGGTCCTGATCCAGCAATAACGAGCACTTTGAACTGTGCTAGGAAACAAACCGGAAGCTCCTCCTAAGAGCCATTGCAACAGAGCCACGGACTCACCAAATTTTTATGTATTTTTAATTTTCATTTTAGGCATGTAGACCCCACCCACTCTTGAACAAATTCCCAGGGCAGAGTTACCTCACCAAAATAGAATAAATCTGACAAACTATAAACTGGCTATACTTAAAAGTCCAGGCTGACACATTTCGGGACCAGTGGAAGCCTTCCAAAGGCCACCTTCCGGTGACCCAGCCTTTGTGTAACCAAGGCATGGGCTGTTGCAGCCAGGAGTGATGGCTTACGTCAACAGAAGCATCGTGTGAAGATAGGCTGATGGGTGGGCAGGCTGACCTGATGGGCTACTCCGGAGGCAGGCCGTCCAACCGTCCCGTCAGGCCCTGGCAGGGTGCGGGTGGCTGGCTGCCTCCGTGGGTAGCATTGCCTGCAACATAGTCAACTGCCAACCTTCTCCCAAGGGCTGGATTCTGTCTGAGGGCAGCTCCTGGGTGTGGCATTCCAGTGAGGAGGACCCAAAGCTAAATGTGCCAGGCCAAGAATCCCCCAAAGGGCAGCTTGGAGCACTTCATTGGTAGGTAGATGCAGGAGGAACCTTCTGGGGAACCTGCTTGAGAGAGGTGGTCTTCAGCTTTCTTCCCCTCCACTTGGCCAGCATTCTGGTGGGCGTCTGAGGACTTGGCCCTTGGGCTTAGCCAAGGGGACCCCGCTCCATCGTCTTCTGAAAGCATGTTCACACAGGAAGCTGCCTCCTTCATGAATCCAGCAGACCAGGAATCCAACCAGCCCAGTGTTGTCTTCTCCTGACCCTGATGGCCGGCGTTGTCACGGCCCTCCAAGGGTCTCAGGCCAAAGAAGGAACCTCCCCTTCCAAGCGCCATGCTGGGGGCCTGCGTTAGCTGGATCTGGCCCTTCTTGTGCAGACTCTCCTGCCTACCAAGGTACAGTGGTGACTAAAGTGCTGACTTCGTGAAAAGGCACAGGCGATGTCTCGGGAGGTAGAAAACAGAGGGGTACCTGTATCCTTGGCGACCTCCGACACTTCCTCATTCCTCATCTCAGCCATGTATCCCAGCACGGTGAAGATGACAAATCCGGACATGAAGCTCGTCGCACAGTTCACGGTGCTGGTGACCAGAGCATCCCTGCGAAGAAAACCAGAAGGGCCTTCTGAGAATTGAGCTCTGCTGGGAGTAGGTGCCTGCGCCGAGCCCCCTCTCCCTCCAGCTGGGATGGCTGTCCTGCCTGGAGAAAGAAAGCACCGAGAGAAGCTGAATGGGATTGCAGGCCAGGATGGGAGGCTGCGGGCTGAATGGATGCAACCGCCGGGTGGACGCTGCTGCTGCTGCGTTTCCGGTCAAAACATGAGAAGAACCAAGTGGCATCTGAGCAAAGGCCCCTTCTGCACTGCCCTTCTCTTGAAACAGTGGCTAACCGGCTCCCTGCAGGAAGCCCATCTGCAGGGCAGGAGTGCAGCAGCACCATCTCACCCATGTTCCCTAGCAAGTGGTGGACCCAGGCACACTGTCTCCAATACTGGAGGTAGCGTCTGCGCTGGTCAGCAGGACTAGGAGCCGTTGATAGCTTTAGTTCGTCTGGTCCCCTTTTAAAGCCCTCCACATGGGTGTGGGGGTCACCTCCACATCTCGTGGAAGCACATGACCCAGGCCTGAGTGGAAAAGCCCTTTTATCTCGCCTGAATCCCCCACCAGCTTCTTGGGATGGCTCGGCTGGGCTCTCGTATCGTGAATGGAAGAAAAGCTTCCCTCTCCGCACCAGTCAGAATCTTGTTCCCCTCCGTCATCCCTCCTTTGATGCCCCATTTTCACTAAGCCGAATCGTGTCAGACATCTAAACCTTTCCTTGTAGGCTTCCTTCAGCAAGCCCACAGACATCTGGGTCGCCCTTTCGTGCACGCAGGAGCTTGGGGGACTCCCCTGTTCTGGGTCTGGGTCCATCCAACCCAGAGTCCCTTGTGTCTCCCCAGACCGAGGGTCTTATGCTCCTGGGGATTAGCTTTCGCCATCACGCTTACTGGTAGCAGTTGTTGTGAAACTTGTTGTAGCTTGCAAAGGCCAGGAGGACCCCAAATCCTGGACCGAGAGAGAAAAAGATCTGGGCAGCTGCGTCCACCCACACCTGCCAAAATGAACAGAGAGAGGTGGCTCAGGGAAAGAGGACGACTCAGAGACAGGAAGTATCCACTCATGACCATGCTGGGCTGTGCAGGGCAAACCCTCTCACCTTCCCCCCTCACGCATCCTTGTCAAGAGTCTGCAAGGAATGCCCGCCGAAACAGACTGCATTGCTGGAGAGGCGCTGGGTCAGAAGGCGAGGGACACCGCCCCGGGCCACCCCGGCCGGCACAACTCACTAAGACAAGACGTGCGCCAAAGCTGCACAGGCCTGTGCAATCCCTTCCGAATCCTTTAGTTGCTGCCGCATCCTGGATCCACGCCCCAATCTCGTTCCTGGCCAGTCCCTTCAGTTGCCTCTTTCCCCAAGGCCAAGCTAACGCTTTCCCCATCCACTGCCCCCGCAAGTCTAGGAGCCTAGCACGGCCCAAATTTCTGCACCCTCCCCTTTACAGGAGCACCAGCAGCTTCCCAGCGAGACAGACGGCCTTGGAGAGATGACAATCTGCCCTCGGCTCACTTCAGACGCGGGCAGTACAATGCCAGCACCCGTTATTACTTTTTAGGGAGGCCACGGCCTTATTGGAGACGCGGCTTTATCAGAGAACGGTGTGTCTTCATTTCCTCTTCCCCGAACCCTTCCCTATCAGCTGCTGGCTGGCAAATATTAGAACCCATAATCTCAGCATTTGCCGTATTTATTACTTAAAGGGCGGAGGGCTCTCTTCTTGCCCCAGACCTGCATCCCCCCCCCCGCCCCCAGTCTGGGGCCTTCCATAACGATGCAGGAAAAAACGATGCACGGACACAGCACTAGTTTTTTTCTGCCAGGTAAGGCTCAGTTGGACAGGATTTTGCCGCTGCTGAACTGCAGCATCTGCAGAGGAGTATTTGGAAAAGCTCAGAAAGAGCTGCCAGAGCCAGGGCGATGAAACTCTGGCCTCCTGGGTTTGCTCCACTGGCCATTGAGGGATTTTGGGCAGTTTCTCCGTCCTTCTAAGAGGTTGAAAGAGCTTTAAGAGGTTAAGACTCTGCTCCTGGCAATAAGAGTTTTATGCGAAAATTTGCTGGCAATTTTGCAATTCTATCCTCACCCCATGGCCTTCAGCGCCTGCCTACCATGGGAAAGTGCCCCCTTCTCCAAGCTTTTCTGCAATGGAGTTTCGCTCCTGGGTGGAGGGTTGGAGCGTCTAGCTCCTGCGACCCCTCAAGCAGTTTGTATTCTTTGGACCTGGGGCTCTGAGAAAGCCCATCTTCCCCACCGCCTCCTGCTCTCTTCTCTTTACCTCAGTGGAGAGCAGTTTCTGCCAGTCGGGCTTCAGGTAGTACAGGACGCCTCTCCAAGCTCCAGGCAAGGTGGCACCCCGTATTAAGAGGATGAAGAGGATGATGTAAGGGAACGTGGCGGTCACCCACACGACCTGTGCAGAGGAGACATCCACATGGCGCTGGCTGATAATTCAGTGGAAGAAAACTCCAGCTGTGGAGGATAAAGATGGCGGTGCCCACACCTTTGCCCTGTCCCGGGAGGCAGCCTCGGTCCAGCATGCCCTGCAGGGGCAGAATCCCCAAGCTCCCGTGCTAGCTGCCCACCGATCTGGCCTCGGGGAGGTGCCTGGACCTGTTCTGGCTGCTCCAGAAAGCCAGGAGATGGCTCCAGCACCACTGGGTTTGAGCAGCCCTTCTCCACACCTGTTGTGCGCCCACTGATGTGGACTCCCAGGCGCATAGCTGGCCGCCATGACCCCCTTCTCAGGAGGCACATGGCCAGAGCTGCCACCTCGGAAAGCTGGGATTGTTGCTGAGCGTCGGCCCAGATCCTGGGACCGGCAGCCTCAGACTGCTCCAAGGAGAAGGTGCGGCTGGCAACTTGACATGCCTGCCCTCGGAAGCCATCCCTGTTTGGAGGAACACAATCACAACCACCCTCTGTTTGAAGAACAAGGCAACTTTCACCATGTGTTCGGACCACCAGGCACACTTCCTGGCCCAGTTAGGCCTTGCCCTTCACCTTTCCAGATGTTTTGACCCCCTTCCAGATGCTGAAGTACACGACGGTGAAGATAAGCAGAAGGCAGAGTGTGAGCTGCCAGCTGATCCCGCCCAGGTCTTCCAGCCCCTTGGCTCTGTGCAGTTGAAGAACGTGGCGACTGAAACAGAAAGGAGAGGGACGTTGTGGCTGGCTTGAGCGGCAAGCTCCCAAGGCGCTGTGGGGGTACGTGTCCCATGCTTGCAAACTTCCAGCACCGCCGCAGTGATTCAGGAGCAAGTGCGCCTGATCCTACTCAAGGGGGTATGAGGCTGATGCAAGCGGGGGGGAGGTCCCCCTGAGCCTGAGTCTGAAAAGCCGCCCTGTGATGGTGCTGCCTTGAGGCCGACAGCAACTCAAAAAGGCATGCAGAGAGAGCAGGACGTATTCAGGACCCCTGACTCCTCCTCTTCGTCTGCTTCTCCACCCTGTCTTTTCTGGCAGGGCTGTCTCTCCACTTACATGCACTTACGTATAAAATTCTTCGGCTGGGGAGGTAGAATTGCTGGTCCAGGTGACATTCTGGCTGGAGAAATAGTCCGTGCAGTTGTTGGTGTTCCAGTCGTTTCTGCAGCTGGTCCAGGGAAGCTCATCCGTGAAGGAGGAGATGAGGTAGAACAAAGCCCACGCCATGATGGTATTGTAATAGGAGGCAATGTAAAACGCAATGATGCAGATGGCGTAGCCGATCCCTGGACAGGTGGGAGAACGTGAGCAAGAGTGTGAGGCAGGTAGAAGTGCTGGCCCTCGGACCCGGCGATTGTACGGAGGGCTCTCCGGCACAAGGCGGCAAGAAAAGAAGGATCTGGGCAGCACAGTCTTTTAATGCTGTGCATGCAAATATCAGGAACTGAGTCCAGAGATGGAGTTTATCCATTTCACAGAGCAAGATTCAAGAGTGTGTCTGGGGAGAAACCTGCCAAAAGCATAGGGAGTTGCCAGCTCGGAAAGTTCGAGGAGGGTTCAGCAAGACACAAATCTGTGCTCAAGTCCACACATTTTGGAAGCTGCAGTGTGATTCACGGAACCACAAAAATGGAATCTGGCAGCACACGTGCTTTGAAGAAAGCACCCAAATTCATTAATATAATGAATGGGAGAAGAAAACATACATTTCAGCAACACAGAGGTTCCGTGTGCGCATTTGGGAAGAGACACATGCAAATACACATGGCGTTTCACACAAGGAGAGCAAAGGTCGCCGTCTGGTGCGGACATGACATAGAACAGGCTTTGCAACTTGTGATTTCTTGTACACGCATCTCCTGCTGCCTCAACTGAGACCTGGAATGCACCAAAAGCCTGGAGGAAAATGATTTATGCTCTGGTACCTTTGAATATGGGACAGATTTTCCTCCATATTGAGATGCATCCGTTCCGGTGATACTGCCCCAGCGCCAGCTCCATGTAGAAGAGGGGGATGCCGCCAAAGATCGCCATGATGGTGTATGGGATGAGGAAAGCCCCTGAGTCAAGAGGAAGGACAGCGAGGGCAGGTGAGACAGATGCAAGGTGCGACTTTCGGCATGGGAGGGCGGGCCCCCCGAGCCCGACATGATTATGCGTGTTTGTAAAGGGCTTTGCTGCAGCAGAGACACGTCCTCACTCCGGCTCTTGGGCCTTCGGAGTCTGATGAGGAGCAGTGCAAGCTACCTCCTTGGAGCCTCAGTTGGAGCCCTGATATCGCCCTTTGAGTCCCCAGGCCAGGATCCATTTCCCTAGGTGGACGGAAGTGTCCAGCTAGAACGGGCCATGGCCCTTGAGCATCTGCTCCATTCCGCCAGGACAGAGCTGACCACTCTGCTGGCCTCATCAGCTCCTGCTGAGACAACATCTTCCTGTGGCTCAAGCAGGAGAGAACGCCACCCGGCAAGACCCCCTGGGCACTCACCAAGGTCCTGCTTGCTTCCTGACTTGGTTTTCCTACCAGCTTCCTCTGCAGACCTCGAGGGACCACAGAATGGGGCAGAACACTTCCCAGGACCTCCGCTGTGCCTGAAGGAGGGCTTCTCCGTGGCCAGCGGGGACCTCCAGCCTGCTGGGGCCCCAGTCACACACCCCTTTCCCTCCACTATTTGGTGGTCTGCCCCACATTCCAGGCACTACTCACCTCCGCCGTTTTGGTAGCATATGTAGGGGAAGCGCCAGACGTTGCCCAGGTCCACTGCGTAGCCAATGACGGAAAGGAGAAAGTCCATCTTCTTGCTCCAGGTCTCCCTTTCCCCCAGTGCCCTCTGCTGCTGCGCCTCTTGCCCAAGCAAGGTGCCCGTGGTGGCCGTCACTCCGGCCGGGAGAGCGGTGGAGGGCCCCTCGCTGCCTCCCAGCATGCCGCAGGGGCTCTGGCTCGGAGCCCCCGAGAATCCATTGGAGATGGGAGCTGCCGTTGCCCCTTTGTCCCCCTGGCTGGCCTGGGCTTTATTTCCGCCCTCTGCCAGCTTCAGCGTCGGCTTGGTGTTCCCGAGCAGCAGCCCATTCACACAGTCGCCCACGTCTCTGCAGTTGGGGGCCTCTTGCGGGGATGTGAGGGGCTGGGTCTCACAACTGGGGGCTGTCATCTCCATCCCGTCGGTCAAAAGGCCGGGCTTCTGTCCATCTGTGAATGGCCCCCACCACGCCCCCGCCTCCTTGCCGCAGCTTTCCCTGTGGGTCTCCTCGCGTTGACCGCTCGGTTCTGGGGCGCCGCAGGGCTCTCTGGGAATGTGCCACTTAACTTCTAGATAGTGGAGGAAAAACACATTCCGGTTGTTATTACTGTCAGCAGGCTCACTACAGCTCTGTTGGGTTGCACGGGGAGCTATTTTAGTTCCTTGCTTGAGCTGCGGATGTACCGGCTGAAATCGTAACATCTCTGAAAAGTTTCCGTAAGAAATATATAAAATACAAAATAACAATATAAAATGCATGGCAAACATTCCCGAAGGAAAAAACCCGGAAAAATAAAGGCATCTTTAAAAAGGTAAAGGTTTCCCCTTGACGTGAAGTCCAGTCATGCCTGACTCTCGGGGGTGGCGCTCATCTCCGTTTCCTGGCCAAGTGAGCCAGCGTTTGTCCGCAGACAGTCTCTGTCGCCATGTGGCCGGCATGACTAAACACCGAAGTGCACGGAACGCCCAGCGGGAACTCGCCCCGTTGTGCAGATTCAAACCGGCGACCGTTCAGTCAACCAGCCCAGCAGCACAGTGGTTTAAACCACTGTGCCACCTGCGTCCCTTTAAAAGGCACCTCTAAGAGGTAGCTAAACCTCGCCAGGAATCCCACTTCTCCGACCACAGGTGAAAGAGCTTTCCAAGGCATGGGTGTCACCACGGAGAAGTCCTCCTTGTGCTCTGTTACTTGATGTTGCCTGTTCCAAAAGGCTGAAATTCCTCTCCTAAAGCCGCAGGGGTTCCCCCTTTGTCCCGCACCCCGCCTCCTCTGCTTTTCATTAGACCCACTGCTTCAACAGGTCCTCTGAGATAGAATTCAGTCCCACCTAAAAGGTGTTTCAGCAAGAGCTTTGATTCGGCAGAAGAGGCAGCCGTTCCTGTTTTAAGCTTTGGCCTGTGCTCATGAGACCCGGTAGCTTGCTCTTTTTTGAAAATGAAATGAAATGAAACACGTTCATATTTCCACGCTGTTATCATAAACATGCTGGAAGATGCAGTTGTTACGGACTTACAGAATCTAATCTTGTTGCCTCGAATTACTCCTGGAAGGCCTAAGGTTGGCAGCTCAGGGCCGGTGACCAGCCCTTACGGGAAGACTAATCTTTCGAGAAGGGCTCGCTTTCCAAAAAGCAAACACACTTCTCACTCTGTACAAATGCTAAGCAACGCTGTGGGGCAGAGGTGAGGAACTTGAGGCTGAATCCAGCCTGTCCTGGGTCCCCGTTGGGTCTCTGCTCCCGAGCCCCACCTCCTTTCCCCCTCACTGACCCTGAGGAGCTTTGCAGCCGGCAAGAGATTAAAGCTGCAACCGGAAGGCCCTGTTTGGCTCCACCTTTGTTGCCCTGGAAGGGTCAAATTCTCCAAAATTGGTTTCAGCCCTCCAGGCTAAAAGAAGCCAGATGATTGTCTTGAGCTGGATCTTTGGAATTGGAGCAACTTTGCACCTGCCCTTCTTCTCACACCCTTGCGTACTTGCAGGAGTGTTGTGAGGGGGGAAACACCTGTCTCATCACTCACAGGACTACAGTCAGTTTCAGGGATGGAGAATCAGCCTCTGCCAACTACAGGGGGCTGTTTGCATGGGGAAGGAGGGGGCAAAAGACATGGTACCTGTGAGTCCCCGGGGTGCTGGAGCACTCGGTCGTTTAGGTGCAGCAAGGCCCCCGCCGGCAGCTTTCTCCAGGCAAGATCTGCTCGGCGGGCTGGCGGGCATGTAGCGATTGTCAGGCTCTGGCTAATCATCAAGCCAGCGCTGGATCATCTTTGCCGATCCCGGGGAAATAAATGCAGGGGAGCGGCAGCGGACTGCCTCTGGTTTCCTTTCTCTTCCTTTCCTGCATGCCTTTTTCCTACCTGTGCATCCCATCCTGTCTCTTCTCCCACAAAGGGCTCCGGGTGGCTGACGTGAGCCCCCCCATCTCTGCTGAGAGTCAGCGCCTGTGGCTGACCAGGCACTTGAACCCGGCTCCCCGGGGCCCTAGTCCCGCACTCAGGCTACTGCATCTCACGGGCCCTCGGTGTTGTGCACCTGGGCATCTCGAGAGCCCTCATTACCTGGCTGTAGCCACAACGGGAGGCTGGCCTGGCCCAGGGCCTCTTTCCACACCTGAGGCGGGAACACTGCGCAGTGACCGGAGTGCACAAGGCGAGGCAGCCAGGTGGACTTTGCTCCTCTGAGCAGGCCGTGAGACAGCAGCAGAGGTGTGCCGGGACAGAGCACCTCGTGACCTCCCACCTCCCGCGGCTGAGGTCCTCCGGTGTACGTAGACTCACATCGTGCTGCTTTTCTGACACTGGCCCATGCCGGACCGCCTTTTTCCTCATCATCTTTATCAGCAACTTCGTCCGTCTCAGTGCCGCAAGCCGCTCAGGGCTTGCTTATTTAGTACGCTCACATCCTGCAAGGAGCCTGAGGCGAGCACAGAGCCCTTCTTCTCCGTGTGGTCCTCACAAGAACCCTGTGAGGCTGAGAGCTGGGAACTGGCCCAGAGTCACGCAGCCAATTTCAAGGCTCTGCAGGGAGGAGATCCCAAATTTCCCTGGCCCTGCTACAACCACTGAGCTACACAGCCCTTTATGGGATTCCCACCAGAGATGAAGGCTGCCTGCTTAAAGCACTTTTTTCAAAACGGAAGAGACGGTGTTAGCTACACCCGCAAACCAGAGTCTCACATGCAGGCGCAGCCTTCCAGGACCAGGCGCCAAGCGGAGGATGCTGATCCCTTGGCACCCGCTGCCGCGCTGCACGGAAGGAGGAAAAACCACATGTCAGACAGGTTTCCCCAGCTCTCCATGCAGGAGGATAAAAAGAACAATGTTTAGAATTTTCTTTGCCAGAATCCGGACCAGTGGAATGGTTCTTCCCATGCCTGCAAAAGAGAGAGAAGCCAAGGAGGACGCGGCCCCTGGGAAATGGAAAGGGTTCATCCGTCATCTTGGGGCAGCAGGCACTAACCGTTCGGGATTGCCCTGCATCCCCAGATGTGTTAATGATTAATAATTATCGAACGTTGGGCTTTTCCCCTGAAATTGTTTCTTTGGTCTGTGCACAGATGAGTAAGTTAAAGAATGATGGTTTAAATGATGAAATAGTGTTGCGAAATATTAGGATGCCAAAGCCGAGTGAAATATCAAAGCAAGCCACGTGCACCCACGGAAGGATTCCTGAGAAACCTTCGAGAAACCCCAGCAGTGCCCAGGTTGCTCATGGAAAGCCCTTCACCAACCGTGCTCCTGTCACGGTTGTGCTTTCCCCACAAGCGGGAGGCAGGGCTGAGGAGCGGACACATTCCCGGTGTGTCCGTCACGCTGCCCCCATCCCCACATCTGGCTCTGGCACATCTGGTTGGTACCTCATTTGGGGAAAGGCTGCTAAGGCCGTGGTCATGAAGACAGATGGAGCACTCGCCTGGTGAGCAAGATCAGACAGCAGGCCGGGAGGCGAACGGCAGGGCCCTTTGGGTCTCCGGGGGGCTGCAGTGTCCTCTTTTATACAAGGAGCTCGGCCGAGCGGCCGGCAACGGCACGGTGGTGCTTGGTTACAGGGCTTCCACTAATTTCCTTGGTGACCGCTCCCACCGGCGGGACCCAATGCCACGCATCCTGCCTGGTTCTGTGTCATCGTTCAGCCGACAGACCTGGGGTTAAACCGTGTCCGACTCTATTTTTGTTCCAAGCCCTTGCAAAGGTCATTCTTACACAAACACGGGGGCCCGGTTGGCTCTCCTTCCTCCGCAGCTGTGAGCAGCAGCTTCAGTGCTCATAAACGCCGTTCAACCTGGAAAGTGAGCTGAGGCGCCAGAGCAGCTCTTCTGCAGGAAGGGCTTAACCCTTGCAACCAGCCTGCTTTCTGCACCCCCTCCGAGCTGTGGAAGGAGCGAGGAAGCCTCTCTGGACAGACTGGCTGTTCCTGAGCCGTGTGGCTCATGCAGGCGCAAGGGGGGGATTACTTGAGGTGATTTATTTGCAAAAGGAAACTTTGCTGCCGTGGACGGAGGCGGCTTGGGTCTTCAAAAGGCACTCGCTGAATGGGGTAGCCGTTCTCTCTGCCCCCTGGTGGTCAAAGACGGGTTTTTAGGGCACCAGAGTAGGGGAGGCCTGTGCCAGCACATGCCCACCGTTCTCAAGCCTATCTCCAGTTTAGAAACCCAATGGCTGCGTTTAAGGATTCTCTGAAAATGGGCTCGGCCCCAGATGGTTCTAACTCTGGGCCTCTCGGCAGCTTTCGATACCATCGACCATGGTGTCCTTCTGGACAGGCTGGCTGGGTTGGGAGTTGGTGGCACTGCTTTGTGGTGGCTCCACTCTACCTGTCTGGCCAGTTGCAGAAGTGGTGCTGGGGGGATTCTCCCCTCTGTGCAAAGTTGCCATGGAATCCCACAGGGTTCCATTTTATCCTCCATGCTTTTTAATATCTGCATGAAACCGCTGGGAGAGGTCATCCGTACGCTTGATGACGCCCAGTTCTACCTCTCTTTTACATCTAGTCTAGGTGAGGCAGTGGCTGTCCTTAACCGGTGCCTGGCTGAGCTGATGGGCTGGATGAGGGCCAATAAATTGAGGCCCAATCCGGACAAGACAGAGGTCCTTTTGGTAGGTGGTTCAGTTGCTGAGGTTTCTGTTGAGCAGAGCACAGAAGCATAAAAGAGCAAACTGTCCTGGACCAGGTCAGGCCACTTGGTCTATAGAAGCCCGTGTGGTCTACTCAGGCTGGCAGCTTCTCTTGGAGGGGTTTTAGGCAGAGACGGGGCTTTCCAGACATCTGCAATGTGACCTGGTACTTCATAAATGCTGGGTTTTGAACAGGGAATTTCTGCATGTGGAGCAGGGCCTCTGCTAGAGAATTCTGGAACCTCCCATAGAGGAGAGGAGGATTCAGTCTAAGACAGGACTGCGAGCAATGGGTTCGGATCCACCAATGCCACCGCTAACTGCAACAGACGGGGTTCACTCACACTCCAAATCCCTCCATCCTGTGGAAACTCCCTCCAAGGATCTCCTACTCCTTTCTCTCTCCTGGCTTCTGCACGGCTTTCCCTGAACGACCAGCCGTCCGTTGCCTCTGCAGATCGTAGGTCCGTTCCTACCCAAGTTCCTGCAAGGCTCAGAATCACATGCTTACCCTGAGCATTTGTTCCATCCATTTTGAGCTGCCTTAGGAAACAAGGCACAGAACCAGTGGTCCAAACAACACAGACCTCTTGTTGTCTGCAGGAGTTGCTTTTGATGCAACAGCGATAACTATTACTGTCATCCGCATGACCGTCCGCCACGGGCAGCTTCCATGACTAATCAGGGGACACTCCCAGTGGGAAAGACCTCTTAAAACCTTTTCTTGTGTTCCAACCATGCCCCATATTTGATGGAGAATGACTCTTGGCAAGGGCCGAGGCCCCCTCTCGGCAAGCCCCCGGGATGTTCCAAGCTGCTCTTGAAAGGGGATGTTTGCGGAAACAAGTAGAAAAGAGCAAAATGATCGTTATTTAGCGGGATCAGCCCATGCTTTTCTAGCCTTGCTACATTAAATGGAAGCCCACGTTAGATGACACCTTCCCCAAGCAGTGCCTTCCAGTTGTCTTGGACCAGGCTGGAAAAGATTGGTAAAGAACATACACGCTTCCTACAGTCTTTTAGCAGTGACGCTAAATACTTAGTCAAAGAGTACGGAGGCTTTTCTGACACAAAAACGTTCTGGCCCAGAAAAGAATATTCTTTACTTTGGACTACCCACCTTCCTAAGCACAATAAATCGGAGTCCCCATTTACACTCTGGGATTGCAGCTTTTCAGCTGATACCTGAAGAAAGAGCGAGCGTTTGGTATGTAGCGGCACTGCTGAGATGGAGCATCCGCTGAGGGTACCTGTCAGGAAATTGCTTTTAAATTAACCCACAGGTTTCTAAAGCCCTAAAACAACGCAAAATGAACATCGTGGGACATCATGCTTCTTTAATTACTCTCTGTCCTGAGTGTAGATTATAGCAACCTGCAGCAAACCTTACCTTTCCCTGTATCCTCTCCCAATTAAGGTTTTTAAAAGTTCCATTAACCGGCGGGGGGTGGGGGGGCCTTTTTGACTTAGTTCCTTATGTGTGCAATCAGAATAATATGGAAACTTTTCTTTTGCTCCACACACACACAACTTCTGAAATCTTTCTTACTTCCCTAAGTCCAAAGCACATGTGTCATTTTCCATTTCATAACATGGCGCCACTTTGAAATCTCTATCCAGTTCCAGTGAGTGCCATTTCTTAAAATTTGTTTTGTTTTTGAATAAATTTTATTCGAAATAAGCCTAATACAAAGAAAAACTAAAAACAACATCAGTCATCAGAAACATCGGACCTACTGGGTCAGCCCCCACATTTTTTTATGCTAACTTATAAACATATTTATATGAAGCCCCGTTTCTCTAGCCAATAGTAAAAAGAGTCCCAGGTTTGATAGAAATTTCTTAAAATTTGGAAGCTCCCAGCAACAATTATTTGGGAGGAAGCCATTCCAAGTCTTCCCTGTTCAGGTGAGAGAGTCACTCTGAAAATACATGGTAATGTGACAACTAGTTTCTTGGGCTAGCTGTGGACAAAATAAAAGGGACACACACACACAAACATACACTTTCATCTGCTCTTTTATAAAAGTGCATTTCTTTTTGGGAGATTCTGACTCCCAATGCAAGCTCTAAATTGCTGCATTCTCTCATTGAAAATTGGAGACACACTGCCCCTAATCACGGAGGTTTGACAAGAGAAGCATTTACAGAAAAAAGCATAGAAGGAGAAGGACATTCTGATCCATTCAAAGCCCAACATTCAAAGCAATTCGAGACATCCTTTCTTTCCGAGGAGTTGTGGCAGCGTTCTGGGGGCTGGTGGGACTGACGGAGACGTTGAAAGCATCTTGTGTAGAGATTGCAAAATACATACAGACGTGCGTGTTACAGTTACGGTCTCAGATTTGGTCATCGAGGTTTCAAGAGGCAAGGGAAAAACCTCGCCAGCATCCCTCTGCTCAACATCACTGGGGACAATCGAGAGATCGTATTAAAAAATAAAAATTTAAACAAGTACCTGGTACTCCAGTTGTGCCGGGCACTGCTGCTATCCCCCACTCATCCGCGTCGGTCTCACCGAAACCCCCACATTGGCTTCTGAGGTTTATGGACCACCGTGTATCGGAGGAGGTGTTTTGTATACCCCACTCACATGGTCCGATTCCCAGATAATCTACTGCCAAAGAGCTCTTTAAGAATTTTTTACGTCACTTTCTTTTCTTTCTTTCTTTCTTCTTTTTTTCCTGTGAAGTCAAATAAACTTTATGCTTTGCCAGGACTGCAGCTGCAACTCTCCTCCTAGAGGTGGGAGAGCAGCGACCCGTTCAGGGGGCTCCAGAGAGCAGGGGGACGGCTCGGGGCGGGGGCTTCGGGGGCAGCAGCCTCTGGAAACGGTGTGGCTTGGATGGCGGTGATAAACGGTGGAGGAAGGGGCTCACAGTGGGTCTGGAGACGGAAGTCCTGGAGGTTGAGGGGGCTGGGTGCTTTGGTGCCTGCTAGGAAAGGAGCAGATGCTTTGGGACTTGGTGGGGGTGGGGAGCGGGGACAAAAGAAACGAAGCGAGGAAAGGGCTTGGCTTTGATTACGAAGCTGCAGACAAAAATTGCCCCCCGCCCCCCAAGACTGAGGTGGCTGCTTTAAGTACGCAACGCTGGAGAGATGTTCACCTAGCTCTCTCGCATCTGCGGTGATCCGCGAGAGTGGATACTCGGATGTCTGACTCATCCAGACAGGGCGAACAACCCTGGCGCTCACCCATTCCCAGGGCAGGGTCGCTGTTTCATGTGGAGTTACACGGTTTGCAATGTATTGTTCCAAGTACTTTGAAAATCTTATAAAGAATATTTGATGATGAGGGTAGGGGGACATGTTAGACTCCCGGGCAAAAGAGCAGAAAGGAAGACCGGCTCAAATCTGGGTGCAGTGGTGCGGCAGGGGCAATAAAGACCCCAGAATCAGTTGCCTTGTGGGGTCTACCGCTTGTGATGCTTCCGTTGCCGGGCATAGCACAGAATCCGCTTCCAGGAGATAGAGCGACGGCCATCCGTTTGGATGACTTGGGCAACTTTGGGAAGAAGCAGTCTGCCAGTGGCTAAGGGTCCTGTCGGCCAGATGCTACTCCAGGTCAGAGAGAGAGTGACCCTGCACAGCAGCTGCTGGGGAATATGGCTGGGAAGGTGCTTTTGCGCTCACATCTTGTGTGCGAGTTTTCCATAGACAGCAGGGTGGCTGCTGTGGGGGCAGAAGGCTGGCCTGCCCTGGCAGGGCTTCCATTCTTATGAACAGGGTCCTGGGAACAGTCGGACCCTCCGTTCCTCGCATCCACACTCAGACACTTGCCCCGCTACACTCCACGCTGGAAAACAAATCAGTCCATATGCAAAAGAACAGACAGGTGCTAATCGAGGTCCAGAAACCTGCAGGGGGAGGCTTTAACCTCCCAGGACACAGGTGGGCTTTCTGGAACAAAGACATTTCAAAGACGGAGATCAACGGGAAACGGCCGAAGTCCAGTTCATACTTCGATTCAGCACCATTTCCAGTGGTCTGAGTCAGGACAAGCGGGAGCTTTGCTTTCAGCACAGTCCAAACCCACCGTGGGGATGTCAGTGCTGTTGACCAGCCTTGTGTGAACGGAGCCCGGTAAGGGAATCTTCTTGGGGTGTATGTTTTTCTGCATTTCATTCCCTTCAGCAAGCGCAGTTTGTCTTTCTCCCCTCCCACCCGAACCCTGTCACTAGCACATGTATGCAAGCCGCCCTAATCAAGGTTGACCCCGCATCCTGGCTGTAAACATCTATGGCAGAATCAAACGATGGCTCTTTAACGTACCTCAGCCCTCTGCTGCCTTCTGTGGCAGACTCACATTGCTGCCCCGAGCCGTGGTCAGGGAGCTGGCTTAGCCGAACCCGTCGCACTTCAGTTCAAGGCCTTTTATTCAAGGCAGCAAGAAAGGCCATGGATCATTTCCATTGCCTTTTCCTGCACATTTTCAGGCCCTCCAACACCCTTTTTGTAGGTGTGAGGACCAGAATTGCACACAGTATTCCAAGTCACACCCTGGATTTGTATAAGGGGAAGAATATTTTGGCAGCTTTGCTTGCCATGTCTTAATGGATGCTGAACATGGAGTTTGCCTTCATCATGCACCAGGTTGACATTTTCATCAACCTGCGCACCACCATCCCAAAATCTCTTTCTTGGTCAGTCACCGCTAGCTCAAATCCCATCAACTCTCTGACGGGATCTGAAAATGGCCCCTGGCATACTTGTTTTCAGGTTGCAAACCTAAGATTCCAGTTGTTGTTAGTGGTGGGCTTATGCCCCCTCTTCCTTTCCAGTAGCACTGGTGCCATGCTGAATGCAGCAGTTCCATGCCAGAAACATTACTCTTTTCTTGGCCCTTCCACCATGTTTGGTGGAGAGGAAAGAGCCTAAAAAGGGGGCTGCTCCCAGATTCCCTGCTGAAGGTCACGCTGTCCTTCTGTAGACAAAGTGATTTTTATGGTGTTTAAGCTGGTGAGTTGCAGGAGGAGTTTTTAATTGGTTGGTACATTTGCTGTCTTTTGTGTTTGCATTTATCTTTGCTTTATCTCTTGCTTTAATTAAGGTTCTGTTTTAAAGCTGGATTTTACGGTTAGGTGCCTTGGATGCTGGAAATCAAGAACATCATGAAACCATGGGGCTGCCCCACTTCAGGCAGAGGGTAATGGAGGCCATTTCACTAGTTGTGTTGGAAGCCTGCATTTTCCCCTCTTCCCTACCCATCCCTCTTTCCCTGAACACCGTGCCTGTTCAGATGCGAAGCCAGCTGGCAGAGACTCTCTTTGTTTTCCTAATTATATGGGAACCTTCTCAGCAGAAGAGAAGGATTTCAGGACTACCACTATTCAATACAAGCAGCATGACCACCTCCTGGTCCCCATTTCTTGGACACAACCAAGTGGCCAAAATTCTGGGAACCAGGATGGATGGAAAAAGAATTCCCCCGTGCCTTATCAGAAGCAATAATTTGCCCCCAGCCGAGCTTTCTGTATAGTCTGAAAGGGAAAAGGTACACCATGCAAAAGATTAGTAGTGGTTTTGTACAAACCTCTGAAAATCGCCCTTTCGACCTCTCTTCCCCCACTCCAGTCCCACCCTGGCTTCTCAGACTGACAGAGGCTCTCCCACATGCCCGTATGTTGCCCAAACTGGTATCCTGATCCCTTGGATGGCTACAACCTCCTCGGTAAATCAGGCATTGAGCTTTGTGCAGATGTAGCGGATGAGAGGCTGTCGCGGGTCTTTGGGAGACCTCCCCACAGCCCCTTGGCCGTGTTTCAGACCGCGAGGCAACTACTGTAACCCAGAATGATTGGGTTTCCTCTGGACGCCTCCAGAAGGGGCCACGACCTGCGTTCCTCCACGACGGCGCCTTTGCTGGCGTCCATCTTATGCTCAGACCAGGAGGGGCCAAAAACATCTTGGCAGAGACTTCGCAAGGAGCTTGGCAAGAATCGAGCTGATGTGATTTCACAACCTGCGTCCGAACCGTATTTCATCTTGTATAATCCCTCCCGCCACCCCTGCCCTCGGTTCTCAGCGGGCACCTCCAAATCTGCCAGCTTTCTCTGGAATTCTGCAGTTCCAGGTCACGAGAGGCCAAAGGATGCCTGTGATGTGGCGGGGGGCCCAATCCCGGAAGCCCTACCCTGGCTGCCCGACTGTCATTGCGTGTGGGCCCTTCCACACTCAAAGCACAAGCGGCCAAGTGTCGGGCAGCGGCGAACTGCCCCATTGCCACCCTTCACAAAAGGAACCCGCAGACGCTCGTTCAAGCCGGTGTCTTTTATTCAAATGCCTCATAGCACCATGGAAGTTTGTTGACAGCATTCAAATAAAACGCAGTGCTGTGTTTTGTTTTTTTAAAACCCATTTTGCTCAAGAAGCGGACATTCTGAGACTTAAGAGTGCAAACTCGTGGAACTGGTCTTTAGCTAGGCCTCATTCTGGGGAGCGTGGAGCGGGGGGAGATCCCACAGACTCTGGATTCTGGCGAACAGCGTTTCAGGGCAAAAGGCTGCCAAACCAGACTATTCCTCGCTGCAAGAGACAGGCAGGCGGAAGCTCATGGAAAAGAAACGGAAGCGTCATACCAAAGATCGTCTGGCGCCTCGAAGGGAAGAACCTAGCCGCCGAAAAACGTGACTGGCGTTGGCGAGGGCGCGCATTTCAGTCCATGGTACAGAAACAATGGAAGATCTTGCTGTTCATCTCCCCGTGCCCCGCTCTTCCCTGCCCCTACACAGAGTTTGCGCAAAAGAATTGTGCTGAAAGAGTTTTCAATGAGCATATCAAAAGAAAGACTTTAAAAGGGTTTAAAAAAGGAAAGCGAAAAAGCTCAGACAACAACGGAAAGCACACACCAATGCAAAGTTGCAGAGTAGCCCCATCCACGGAGGAGTGCCGTTTCCCCCGAAGATCCGCAAAAGCCCACGCTCGTGAATCCCGGCACCTCAAGCTGGGAACTTGGCTGTGGGACTGCGTGGCTTCGGCCTCGGGCCTCTCGGGTCCCTCCTGCCCCAACGCTTGCTTCAAGGGTGACCGAAGGGAGCAGGGCAAGCCCTCACGCGTGCCCCGTCGGTTCACTTGGCCAGCGCCCCCATGGGGTCCCACGCGGGCAGGACGACCGGATCCTGCTCCATCACTGCCAGGACGTCCTCTGGAACGTGCTTCTTGTCCACCACCACCTCGTACACGTACTCGGAAAACCAGTCGTCCGTCATGATGAGGTAACCTGGAGGGGACACGGAGAGAGAACGATCGATGAGCAGAGGAGGCCCCTGCGGCAGCCCTCGGATGGCCGTGGGGCCCAGGCCAGAAGCCCAGCCAGTTGAGCTGCCTTCTCAGGACACCAGAACCCAGTGGGGCCACCCCATGGAACACGCTTGGAGAGTGAGGACAGGTACACAGAAGGACTTCTTCCCACAGTGCAGCGCCCAAGTGGGGTGCTGGCTGCCCCGTGGTGTATGGAGGGCTTTCAGAAGGGATGGGGCAGATCTGCGGAGGAGGCAGCTGTGCACGGCAACGGGTCTACAGCCACGCCCAGGGTGGCAGGCAGGCAGGCAGGCAGGCAGTGTGCCAGGACATGCCAGCTGCTGGGGAACATGGGCAGGAGAAGGGTGTCCTCGAGCTCCCCTCCTGCTTGTGGGACCCCCCCAGGCAGCCACTCGGCCACGGTGTGGAGGGAGAGGCAGCGCAGGCGGACCCTCCGTCCAATCCAGCTGGGCTCTTCGGTTCTTCCGGCTGCAGCGTGGTTCCAGAAGGAAACCAAGAAGTACTCATTTGAGGGGTTCCCACACGTGTGAAGGGGGGCTAACCAGCAACTCCGAGGCCAGATCCAGATGCCCTTTGCCCTCAGGCGGCACAGCCAGCCACGGCTTCCACGTTTGGGAGGTATCAGATGACGCGCATGTGGCTGCGGAGGTGTGTTCGGAAAGTGTTCTCCCTCAGAATTTTGAAGTTGCTTGCAGTTTGTATTACCCGTTGTGCAGAAAACAACCTTGCAAGAAAGCCTATGGCCAGTTTAAAGGAGGCATTACTGCAGCCAGTTAAAAGATAAAACACAAATTGCATTGATTTTTTTTTTTAATTGTTGATTCCAGAGCTAGTGGCCAGCCAGCAAAAGGCCTCCCCAATACCTGCCCCCCCATCCCCCCCCCCCCGGTCCTTAGAGCATGACCTCCTTCTTCACACAAAGGGCGTTGCCGGTGATCACAGCTCACTGGCTTTGGACTGAGCAGTCCAATTTTGGCCCCTTTCCTTGCTCCAACCGGACCAGCCAGCTCAATGGCACAATTCCCGCTGCACTGGACTGCCCGAACCCTGGGGCTGGGTGGGAAAAAGCCAAGCATCCAAGTCCAGCTGCCTTCCCGGATCAGTTTCCTTGCCAAAACTAATTCCTGTTTTCCTTGCCTTTGAAAACAAAAACCCTACAAAGGGCGGGCAATGCTCCATTAGGCACTGAGAGATACTTTTTTATTACACTTTTTGCCTGGGAAACAAAACATAGGAACTTAAAAAAAAACAACAACTCGATAACCCCAAGTTTGGTGGAAGTTCCTGGCATTCTCCAGACATTCAACCAGTCAACAAGCAACCCTGAAGAGCGATGAGCACCAATGGAAAGGAAAAAGCACCAACTCCTTGAGAGGCAGGTCAGAAATTCTGAGCCTGCCTGGCATCCCTCCGTCCGTCCATCCGATGGAAGCAAGCACGAAAAGCTCACCATGCCAGAGGGTGATGTGTTTCCACAGAAACTCCCTGCCTTCCAACTAGTCTGACTTCACCTTTGCTGTTTCAGGCAATCTTCTATCAGCCCTTGCTTCAAGGGCTGACACCGGCCTTGTTATTTTAATTTCTTCACACCTTGCTGGCCTTGATGCCAAATCTAACATCCTCATTCTTCAGCTCTGCTTCAATAAGGGCCTTGCCAGGCTGTCGTTCTGGCTCCCCGACGGCGAGTGCGAACGCAGCACCAGAGCAGGCAAGCTAGAGTAAGACCCCGTCCAACTTCCTTGACGGTGAGCAACAACACTGGGCGGACAGCAAGAGGTTTGCCCCCGAAGATGCTGGGTTCCAACCCAGGGTGACAGCTTTCGCTTAATCCATTCTGTGTCTTGTGGACTTTTCCGTTCCATCAGGCTGACTGATGGAATTAAACTTTTTTACCCTCTTCCAAAAAGTACCTGAATATGTCCACCACAATTTAGGCAGCCTTCAACGTGTCGGATTTTGCATATTTTTGTCACATGGAGGTGGGCAGAGACCTGTTCTCCCTGCAGAGGAAGGCCGAACGCGCTCCAACGGAGCCAAGCTCAGGGAGCCAAGGTTTCGTTTGGATGCCAGGAAGCACTTCCTGCCAGGTAGGACCCCGAGGGTGTGGAGTGGGCTTCCACGAGAGGTCGTTGAGGCCCCATCGGTGCGGGTGTTCAAGGATAGGCTGGACGTGCACATGGTGGGCACGTCGTGAGCGGAGCCGGCTGGTGCTGGAGGTCAGACTAGATGGCCCGGGAGGCCCCTTCTGACTCACTCTGTTTTCTATGTTTCTATGTCTTAAGCATTTCAGTAGAGGTGGAACAAAGATCTATAAAACTTCTTTGAAGGGTGTATAAATTAGCGTATTTTCCCATAATTCTCTTCTGACTAAATGTACACACTATTCTACAAAGTGAAAATCCGCTCTGACTCTGTGTGACTTGGAAGATGCTGACCTGAGCTGCAGAATCCACGGGTCGAATGCACAGACATCCAAAGCTGTTTGAATCCATTCTGGATTTCTCTACTGGCACAACTCTTGATCCTTGCATGGACCAGCTGCTCAGAGGGAGGCTGGAGTGTGAAGCCGGTGCAGTTTTAGGATCGTTAAGCCAGCAGCTCCCCATTTGAAATATTGTTGGAAATTGCTCGGTGAGGTTTTGCTTGCCCCGTGGGGTCCAAGGTCCCCCACCTGTTCAGGGACAAAATTATAGCACCTTCAGCTCCAAAAATGAGAGGTTAATGCTGAACAGCAAGGTGCTAAGCCTCTCAAGGAATCAACTTATGCCTGGCGCCCAAGCTGGCCAGCAAGGTAAATGCTGAGGAATGTCTTTAATCTGGCAGGCTTTTGCCTGGTTATTTTTAAACCCTGAAAGGCTGAAGAGGTTCACACATTTGTGTTGTGTGGTTAGCAGCAGGGGTAATCTTTTGTGGCGTGTGTTGGGGGCACATCCGTGTTTATGTAAGTGCTGAAGCAACTCCAGTATTTAGTATGCTCGTAAAATGATGCGGGTAAACGAAGCGCTAAAAATAGTGCCGTGGGACACTTGAGAGAGCTCTTTTCAGTGCAGCAGGGGTGGGGGGCACAGGGGGAGGACAGAAAGAGGCACCTCCCCCCATCCAGGGCATCCCTGCAGCTGTTCTGGAAAACAGCTCTTCCTGCAAGCAGAAGCTGCCTTGGGGCCGGCTGGGGTCATGAGAGTTCTTGTAGCCCCACGCCCCTGGTGGGCACCAGGTTGCAGAAGAGAGAGCGACCGGCAGCCACAGACAGTGTGGAGGCAGCTCCCACTTGAAAATGAAGCCTGACATTGCAACACCCATGCGACCCAAGGCTTCCAAATTACTAGGAAAATCCAGAAACAGGACTTCTCCTTTTCACATCAGACATCGAAGCAACCTAAATTTGGCCCTGGCCATGAATGTCCAGAAGCCCTCCAGCACAAAGCTGAGCAGCAAAGAAGCCCGCAACTGGAAGAGGAGAGGGGAGCTACAAGCTGGCGCAAGGGCAAACCGGAAAGCCTGAGACGGAGTGCGCATCAAAATGCGGTGGCCGGCTGAGCGAGGGTGGAGGAGAGTGGAACGCAGGGGCTATTCCAGCAGCCCTGGAAAATGACTTCTGTGTCTTCCCAGCACATCATTTTTCTTCCTGGGTTTTCCTGTCTTTTGAGATTGTGAAGGTCTTGTGAAACAACAAGGGTTGTCTCACTGGTTCCGTGTCAGCTCCTCTGAGCAGCTTTCTGGCCAAAGCAATGCTTTTAATGAAGCGAACTAGCCTAACTTTCTGGACCCAGAAGGCTGCGCTCGCGTTCTTGACACACTTGTATTGACGATGAAGCAGTATCTCTTCCAACCTGTTCAACGTGCTTCATGTACATGGCACAGGAAATGGCCTTTCAACAGGTTAGAGTCCACCTGGCTCAGGTTGGCTTCATGCAGAGGACGTCAAGAGCCAAAGGGCACAGTGCCGCGATTCCAGCTTCTCTGCCCTTTCTTGCTGGGAAGGTATTTCAGCCAAGCTTGCAACTGTGGAAGGCCAGGTCCATATGACAGCGAGGGAAATGGCTTGGATCCAGGCGGAGAGAATGCCGAGTCTGCCTGATGGACCGCTGGCTGGAGCAGAGTCTTTGCTCAGGGTTGTTCTGGCCCGTTGCTGATGCCACAGGCATGACCAGAAGCGGGTGAGAGGAGGCCAGGCACTGTGCTCTTCCCAGTGACCTTAAGCACATGAAGGTTCAGGTCTTGCCGGCCAGGGTCTTCCACTGACATGTGAGAGCAGTGGAGCAGGGACAGCAAGAGGAAAGGGAAAGACAACTGTTCCAGCTTTGATACAAAAGCCGGACCGGTTAGTTTTCCTTCCTCCGAGCTGAGCAAAGATTTCCCCTTTGAGAATGTCTTAAGAAAGGCTTATTTTCTGCACCGCTTGGGACTTGCACGGGGATCTCCGGGATCCAGCCCAATCAGAGCATATATGCAACACGCTTTTTGCATCAACCCCATCCAGGAATGCTCTAATCTCCGCCTTATGACCGTGGAGTAATTAAAAGGAGAGGGGAAACTCGAAGCCCAACACACACGCCCCCCTCAGTGTCAGCAACAGGCCCTGGCTGGGAATGCAGAGAGCGCGCGCCCAAGTGGCCCACGTTCTGCCCAGATGTTGTGCTGTCTTTCCCACCAGGTGCAAGGACAGCAGGTCAGACTGAGCAGCTGAGAGGGGGCTGGGGAGGCTGAAGCCTCCCTCAAATCGTTGGCTGCCTACGGAGGAACAGGGCAGCTCTGCGACAGCATGGCGCTTCGGGGTCCCTGCAGACACCCAGCAAGGCCAGCTCCGGTTAAATGGGGTGCTTCTGAGTATCTAGGAACCGCTTGGGCGGATCTGTGTGTGGACATGGGGGCAGCGCTGCCTGGGGAGAGGGGCCTGACCCAGCGCAGGGGGACCGCCTGGCACATCACCCTCTCCGGGAAGCGGGGCCTGTGAGAAGACACAGCCAAGAACCCGCTCGTACGCCGCCCTGGCCTCTTTGCAGAAAAAAGACGGCTGTGAGGAAGCGCAGTGATGGACTCCTGTGGAAACAGCCCTCCTTCGAGCGGCCATTCACAGGCGGCAAGCTGGGAACGACTGTTTCAGGGCTCCCAAACTGGGGACGGGGAGAAGAGGGAAAGCCTCGCCGGTCGGGAGGCGCCGACAGCTTTCAACATCCGAGAACCGTGTTACCTTTATTTCCGCGGTCTTCCCCCCACGAGTTCTCCACTCGCCACTTTTCGAAGCCGCCCTCTTGCTTGTCCTGGCAGAGGAAAAGGAAACGTGCAGGTCACAACCGGGGGAATCCCACGGAAAGCGGCTGCAGAGGCGCCACATTCAGTGGGTGGCTCTGCCACATCTTGGGCTTGCTGGGCGTTTCTGCCTTTCCCCTGTTCGCTTGGCTCTCCCTCGGAGACTGAGATAAGGGGCTGCCCCAAGCGCCACTTGGGCACGCTGGAGCAGCTTGCAGCGGCAGCTGGCCGGAAGCCACGTGCCTCAACCCTCTCCGTTTGGACAGGATGCTGACCGTGGCGTGCCAGGTGGCTCATATGCTACAGCGAGTCACACGGTGCAAACCGAGTTGATTCATTTCTCCCCAGAGTGCCTCCAGCTTCAAAAACAGAAGATCGTGCTTTTAATCTGAATGGCGCCTGTTCCCAGAACCAAGCTAGCCCGAGGGAATCACAGCATGGGAAAAGATGGCTCCCAAAATAAGTGTTGGAGCCCTGCTGCTGCCGGGTGGCCACTCCGTTCGATGCGAAGCCAGCAAAGCTGTTTTTAACGCAGCCCTTTGCGTGCGGCACGACCAGCGCCGTGGCTGACTGCATGGAAGCCGTTCCGGGCCTCCTGGAGTTTGCACCTCTGGCCAGGGCCAGGCACCCATGGCGCGCTTACGCACTTGGAGCGAAGGAAGCGGCTGGGCCCCGACCAGACTGCTGCGGCAGGGCGCTGGGAGGGATCTTGGGCGGCCCGTCTGGAAGTACTTTATAAGCTCTCGAACAGGATCAAAAGCATGTCACTCATTTTGAGAATGCTGGCAAAGCTTAAATGTTCCCCTTGAGGGGAAATAAAAAAACTGAATTGCAGCCGAAAGCTGTTTGCGAAACAGGTTTTTAAAAAGCAACGGCGATTTAATACTGCTGGGAGGCAAAAGGAGCTTTCGGCGGAAGTGGCAAATCTGACACCCGTTTGCAAAAAAACTGCCCAGAGGCAGGGCAGTTTTTAAAACGGCCTTTTCCCTCTGTTTAAGCATTTGTATTCTGTGGGATGAAGAACTTCCAGGTGCTTAGACAATCTACGAGTAACTACACAAGGGGAACAGCCAGCGGGCCTTACACAGACGGACAGATTCAGCCTTTTCCAGCCTGGTGCATGCCAGATTTGGGGGACGACAACTTCCATCTAGCTTGTACGGCCTGATTAATTGCTCCACGTCAGGGGCTGGCAGAGGGAAAGGCAGGCCTGGTGGTAATGGGGGATCTGCGGTAGATCTCAAGAGACGTTCGACTCCAAAGTCATTTTTTAAGAGTGCTGCCCCTTTCCTCATACGAAATGAGGGAAGCTTGCGGTCACCCAGAATGGGCATCTGTGCAGAACACTTAGCGCTGAGCACCACTTAGGAATCAGCTCTGAGAGCCAAAACGAAGTGCAGGATCGGTCAAATTTCAAGTGGGTGCCTTTTTAGCGGAAAGCAAAGCTAGGCCAGCAGGGCATAAAGGCAGGCCAAGAATTCTCTCGGGAAGCTCACCTTCTCGCTGAAGGCGGTAATCACCATGGCATGGGTCATCAATGAATCTCCGAAGATGAGACGCTCGTCCTTGCTCAAATGCTTGACGGACACCCCGAACGCCAGCTTGTAATTAAATCTACCAACAGCCACGCAAAAGACACGGAGAAGTGTGGGCTGCAGAGCCAGTCTGTACCAGGAACCGCCAATGACTGGGCAGTTACCAAACTGTGCCTTGAACTGAGGCCACTGGCCAATCCCAACCCACCCACCCAGGATGGCCTTGGCCACGGCCCCTTCCCCTGGCCGCCTGGTGGCTCCTGCCTTCTACGCAGCTTTCTCCCATTCCAAAAGATTGAAGTGCCTCTCCTGAGGCTTGGGCGCTGGCAGTTCAGCACCCGAAGCCAAAACCTGGCGGTACTTGTGCCTGGCCTGCAGCTTCCCTGAAATGGAATTCGGCCCTCAGGCTGGAAAAGCCGCGAGGGGACAGCGCTTGCAACGCACAGACGGCTCGCGTGCCAAGGAATAATTCCAGGGTGGCTTGGGATTTGCAGGACCAGCTGCTCTGAAGCCGGGAGAAGAACTGAGAGGCGTGAAGACCGCAGATGGCTCGGGGTGCCCTAGCACCCCCCCGGGGGCCGGGAATGCGATCCTGGCCTCGTCGCGGCACTTACATATTCAGGTCATTGATGCCCAGCTTGCCGTTGAAGTGCTTCCCGACATCACAGCCGAACCACACGGCCTATGGAGAGAAGAGGAGGCGCCCCGTCAGGGCTGCCAGTGGAGCGGCGAGGGTGGGGGGCAGAGGAGAGCCGAGGGGGAAACGGGCCAGACCTCTCCGTCCCGAATCGAAGAGGCAACCAGCTTCTTTAGCAGCTCGATGGGCTGGTTGTTGTACAGCGTCTTCCGCCCGCCGATCATGTTGCTCAGGTACTCCACGGTGTACAGCCGGTTGTACTGGTTCTGGGGCCGGGGGTCGTTCACCAGGCAGACCTGCAAGAAAGGTCACGGGGGTCAGCCGAAAGAGCAGGTGAATTCGAGGAGGTGCAGCTCCTGCCTCTTGCCGGACTCGTGAGCCAGAACGCCCAACAGAGCTGGGAGACCACCTCTGACCCTCTGGAGAGGGTGACAAAGATGGCGGGTGGAGGCAAGCGGTCCTTGGCTTAGATCCTTGGCAGAGGTGGCGGGGATGCCGCTATCAGTGGAAGGACCCCACTGGCTGCTTGGATTTAAATTGCCAGCATCCTTGACCCGTGGCCATTCTGGCAGGGACCTCTGGAAGCTGGGAGTCCCAAAACCGAGGGAGAGCACCTTCTGCCCAGCGCTGCCCTGGCAGACAAAGGGGATGCGGAAAGACTGTTTCTGATGCATAGGAAGGAGTGCAAGAAGAGGGCTAAGGACCGTTCTGGGCCAGTCTCTGTCTTCGGTGGCGCCACCCCACCTTGCTTTCCATGTCGAAGAGGGGCTTGACGTGTTCCTTGTAAAACTGCAGGGGCGAAATCGGCTCGATCTTGTGGTAGTTCTTCTCCTTGTCGTAGAACTCCCAGCAGAAGGTGTCCGGGGGGGTCCCAAGGCAGATGGTGATGATGCGGAACAACTGGAAGGGGACAACGGAATGGAGTAAGCAAGGCCCAATCTGCCTTCCTTTCCTGCTGCCGTTGGAGGAAGCAGACCCTGATGAGCCCTGGCGACACCCGCCAATCTTAATTTACTGAATCGTTGGGCTTATGCACTGCCATTCTGCCAAAGCCCTCTGGGTAGCTTACCGCTTAAGATAATGGCTTACAAGCCAAGTGACAATATGAAAGGAAAACGGAACAAGGAGGGCAAAGGAAAAGTCAATCCCGCTACTAGCTTTTTCCCAGCTACTTAATAACGTTGCTTTCTCCAATCCAGAACTCTCCAGAAGCGTAGGGCTACGGCCCCACTAAGGTCCGTGCTGGTTGCAACTGCTGGGAGTCGTAGTGCAACAGCTGGAAAAGGCCTACAGCTAAGCTCACGGAATGGCTCAAGAAACTGAAGAAATTGCGTTGTCCTTTGCTGCCCTCTAGTGCAGAGATTCTGTGCCCAGGTTTGGTCAGCACGGATTCTCGAAAACAGTTGGACGCAACTTTGCTTCTGTCAGAAAGGTGACGGAAAAGGTGTCAGAAAAACACTGCTCTACGTTTGGCTACAAACCCACACCAAGACCCCTCAAAAGGGCTGCGGCCAGACAGGCAAACAGTACAGCTCTTAGCATTATTGGTCTCGCCCTCCAAACCTTGTGACTCACAACCGATGAACCACGGTGGCAAGACAGGGCGTTGTTCTCTGTTTGCTGGCTTGTCTAATGAATTCCTAAATTGCAAGATGCCCAAGACCACGTACAGTAGCAACACAGAAATGCAACCGTCTCACAAACAACCATCGAAGGAGCGGAACTAATGTTCCGCTCCCTAAAATCAGGAAGCGGCACAATAAACCAACATTGAACAGCGTTCAGAGCCGCACCAAACAAGGCCGCTCCGACTGCCAGTCTGAACCCAGCAATGGGAGGGGGAAACTGCTCTCTCCGGGAATCGCTACCGAAAAGGCCCCGCCGCAAACATGCAAAGATTAAATCAGCTCTAGATGGTGGGATACTGGGGTGAGTGTATCCTAATGAAAAACTGTCGTTGCGGTTTTAATTTTTGCATGCTTAATTCTACCCTTAGTGGTCTCAAGTCTTTTTTTTTTTAATTTAAGGAAGTAGTGTTGGCTGGTGAACACTGAGCATTAGAAGACTTTTTGTCTACATACGTACAGAATTGTAACCTAATTGTTACTAAATAATGCTAAACACAAGAGGTCTTCAAACAGTTTCCACATTTTTTAAAACCTTATTTATTAAGAATGTCGAAAACGAATTGCATCACTTTTTTACAGAGTCACCTTCCTTAGCTGTGCATTTTCTCAGTGTCATACCAACTTTTTAATACCCTCAGCGAACGATAGTTATAAAAGTGCGGAAACTTTTTGAAGACCCCCTCGTATAATAATATATAGTAATTAATAATCATCATCATAATCGCAACAGGTCTGCAGCGAATATCACCAAATATGGGCAGGTTCTGAAGGAGTTTAGATTTTAGTATTCTGTGCTGGGCTCAGTGATGCTTCTGACAGCAGAGAACAAACACAAGAGTCCCGTCCAACACAGTAAACGAGCGGCAAGCCCATTAAGCTCGGTCACAAATGCTCGTTATCCAGGGCGGGAGTCCCACACTCGAAGCACCCCATGCCATGAATGTGGCACGAACCAGGAGGCGCACCGTGGAGCTTTCTTCCTCTGAGCGGTGGGGACACTCGGTCACCGCAGCCCCCACGGCAGCGAATTATCGGGAGGCTGAACCCGTAGCTTTCGCCCCCCCGTTCCACGTGCACTAAAGGCCACTCACCTCTTCTATCATGCTGTCCACGGCCTCGCAGAGCTCGTCTCGGTTGCACCCGGTCTCCACCATGTTCCTCAGCCGGAGACAGTACTCTCGCATCTGTGTGGAAAGGGCGAGGCTGTGTTCATGACCCGGCACCCAAGCCCTGCTGCGGGCTAACAGGACCCTTGCGGTTCACCTTGCATAATTTCATTTTCAGCAGGGCTGCCTGTGCTTTTCCTCTTTTCTCCCCATCCCTTTTTCCTTTTGTGTTGTGCCTTTCAGTCTGTAAACCAGCAGGCAGGGGACCTTGAGGGCAGATTTTTTATTCATTTGAAATATTTATATCCCGTCCTTTACGAAAATCATCCCAGGACAGCTTACGAAAGCTATAATGATCGATAAACAAAGCAACAAATGACAACAATAAACAACAAGGACGTCATGCCAACAAACAGAATCAAAATCGAATGGTGCTGCGGCTCGCATGCTGGCCGAGGGCTCGGGAGACACGGTCCCACGTCCCTGTTGGGCCACAGAGCTCACGGGGTGACTTGCAGCCTAGCCCACCTCACAGGGTGGTTGTAAGGATCAGGTGAGGAACTGGAGGAGAAGGAGTCCCATGTGCCCCTTCCTGGGCTCTTGGGACTGCAGGTAGAAGGTGGGCCATGCACCTGACCAAGGTCACGTACCCCTGCAAGAGGCCGGCCCTGCCGACCCGTGTCGACTGAGGACCCCCCTCAGTTACCTTGTGGCTCAGAAGGTCATTCATCCGTCGGGAGGCCTCGGAGGTGTGCGATTCAGGAAACAGCTTCTTGGGCACAACGCCGTATTTTTCTGGAAGGAAACAAGCTTTCATCGGTGGGCAGAGCAAGGAGCGTCCCGCGCTCTGCGCTTTCGGGGCAGTTGTGACAGTGGCGCCACGTGGCCTGTTGCACAAGAGAAGCGTTGAAGAAGAGAACTTCCTCGGCGTGATGAAACAGCTTCTCACCCACGTGCGCTTTGCTCCTGCTCGGCTTCCGGTGCTGAGACGCAGCCCAGCGGCGGAGCCCCAGACCCGGGTGCAATCCCTGCCGGCTCCAGTTAAAATAGGCAAATGCTGGGGCAAAGACGCCTGGAGAGGCGGTGCCAGTCCAAGTAGCCTGCAGGCCTGGGGCTCAAATGCAGCTCCTGGGACTTGCCAGAAGGCTGCACCCCCGTTCTCTGACTGCCGCTTGTCTGGCAGCCTCCCAGCCTTTGCAATTTTCCCCCAGAGGCATCTCTTCGGGCTTGGAGCAGTGCGAAGCGATTTTGGCCCTGGCCCACAGGAATTCTGCCCAGAAGCTTCCCCAAAGGGTCCTGTGTCCCCAGAGCCAAGCATGCAGGCCTCCGTGACAAACGCCCTGGGGCGAGGAGCTCTGTTCCAGTGCTCCTGTGGCAGTCGCAGCCAAGACGTCCGGCCGCCGGAGATATTCCAGGACTGGAGCCTTGGAAGCACTCCTTCGGCAGGATTAATAACCGGCACCCTGCAGCAGCCGAGACCTACATTCCTTGGCCTTTTCGGCCAGGAGGTTTTGCTCGCAGGGACTTGGCGACTCGAACCCAACCCACGGTGCGTCCACATCCGCAGATCCATCTTCTGCCCCACCCTGGTGCAGACGAGCCTGTAAGGCCCATAGGAAGCAGCCCTGCAGGCTCCTTTCGTGCGTTTTTGAAAGCCAGACGTGACCTGGATCTGTGTCAGGCATGTCTGCACAGCGCTACATGCACAGACCATGGCTTAAGCGAGGCCCATCTTTACAAGGCTGGAAAAAACCCCCTGCGCTGTGTCAGCAGCTCAGTCTGCTGGTCTTCACTTGGGATGCCGGAGCCTCCTAGCCCCACCTCCCCCCCTAAAAGCAGCCTTCCCCAACCCGTCCTCCACAGACAGGCTGAGCCACAACACCCAGCGCTCACAGCTGGGAGCTACAGCCCAGTTCGTCTGGAGGACTCCAGGCCGGAGAAGGCGATGGCGCAGGATTTTGGCCTCCGCATCCCTTACCAATAAGGTTGACGAGCATGTCCCACTGGCCGCCATCGTTGCAGGAGTTGGAAAGCAGGAACTGCACCAGCCGACCTTCCACTGGCTCCTTCTTCTGGGCGGTTTCCACAAAGGCATGCAAGAAGTAGTAGCAGCGCTCGACCTGGGCGTAAGCACACGAGAGCGACGCTAGCAGTCCCGCCGCGCAGGCCCTGTGTGCCCAGCGGGAAGGGGCCTGCTCCGCCACCCCCCAGCAGGCAAGCCAAGTGTGCTGGTGGGCTGAGGGAGAGAGGAAGAAGCGGGGCCACTGTGCTGATCCCACCACAAGGCGAGGTTCACTCTCCTCCGCGCCCTCGCCTGCCACGCCTTTTCCAATGGCTAAGAGGCCGTCGTATTGTCCCCATGGCGGGCCAGCCCCTCGGACAGCTTTTTGGGCTGAGCAGCAGGATAATCCGACCTGTGGGTTTTGTCAGAAAGCCGCTTTTTCCTCCAAGGCACAGAGATCCCACAGACACTGGGACCGGTGCTCATTTTAGGGGAGGGGTCTGCGCCAGGGCGCAGCAAGCAGTGTTCATGTGCGCAAGCGGGAGTAAATTCTGGTCTAAAGATTCTGCGTGAGCAGACGGTGGCATGGAAGGGCCAGGCCACCCACGGGACGCAGATGGAGCGGATTTATCGTCTGCCCACCCCCGGTCTGTGGGACAGCTCGCCGGCCGCTGAGGAGGTGCGGTGCATCTCAGTTGCAGCTCTGCCCAGAGATGGAAGCCGACCGGCCCGGTTTGTGTTGCCGTAAAGAGAACCGGCCCGAGAGAGAAGGGGCTTCTCCACGCAGCTCTTCCCACGTACCTTGTCCCAGAAGAAGAGGTAGGACTGGCTGAACTCAAACTCCTCGATGTTGAACTTCTTCATGAATGGAAGGCGCATCACATTCAGGCAGGAGAAGATCCAGCAGCGCCCTGCGGGGTCGGAGCAGTGCGGAAGAGGTGAGCACGCCCAAGAAGCTCAACACGGGGCTGCAAACCGTTCCCAGAGTAATGTCACAGATGGGAAGGGCAGGGACAGGACACCCCGGTTCTCCTCACCCATTATTTAAGCTACTCACGCTCCGCAAGGAAGCCCAGAAAGGCGAATTCTCACCTCCGCATAGTCGATGTAAAACTATTTGCGGCACGGGAAAAATGAAAGGGACTCCCTCGCCTCAGGAGTTTCTTCCCATCTTCAAGAGCCTCTCCCTGTCCTACTCTCCTGGAGAAGATTCTCAGTTGCCAGAGGCAACCACCTTTCCGTAAGCCTTGAAGACACATTTCTATTTCTAGTTGTTTTCTGGAAATTTCCGAAATGGAAAATGCTCCAGTACACAGGAAGGTGAGCAGCACAGAGTCACTGCGGAGCAATCTCTTCCGTTTGCACAGAGTCAGGGACCTCTGGTCCACTAGCTGTTTTGGCTATGACTCCCCAAAGCTGATGGGGGCCGGAGGCCAATCCCAGAGGGCCACAAGGAGCCCCGCTTTCTGTCTTTCGCACCCCACAAAGCTAACAGCAACTGGGGTGTGTTTGCTCAGAAAGGACAACACGGGGCCACGAGCTGCCTGGCGAGCAGGAGAGCCCACTACCTGAGTTCTTCTGATTGGTGACGGGCTTGCCCTCGGCAGGTACGGCATGCTGAAACACCTGGAGCGTGTCTTGGACCACGGCCCGCTCAAGGCACATTTCCAGTGGGTCTGCGCCGGTGGCGACATTCTGGGCCAGCAGGTAGCGGGGCTCAGCTTTCAGGTTTTTGACGAAAGCAGCTGTTTTCTTCAAGCTTAACCCTGGAAAACAGTAACGGTGGCAGACATGAAAGAGGTCAGGGACATATCGGAACATCCGTGCCGGAGCGTGTGGTGGGCGTGCGAGGAAGGCTGCGGACCGTGACACGTGCTAAGCCTGGATGTTTCATGGCTGCCTGAAATGCCCTCTGCATGTTCTCAGAGGCACTGTTATTACTCAGTTTGTGGCATGTTTTGTATTCTTTTGTTCAGCCTTTAGTATGTGAGCGCACACAGATATGGCGATATTTAATTTTCCGTTTGGTCGCAGTTTTGAGTAGTCTGCTTTGACTATGGTGTCATACATTTTATATTCTGAAAGCTCTTTCAAGTGCCTTTTGAACAGAAGAGTAGGCCAGTAATATGTAAAAGGCATCTCTCCAGATGTTTGTGACTTCAGCTCCCAGAAACCCCTGCCAACAGGGCCAATGGTCAGGAATGCTGGGAGCTGAAGTCCACAGCGTCTTTTTGTCCAACTCTTGCGTAGATGATATGAAATAAAAACCCAGCCTTTGAAACCTGGCGCTCTCAAAACCAGTTCCAAGATTATGCCACTTCCAGGCAACTCTTCCTCCTATGCTTTCCGCCCCCTTTAAATGTTTCATCCTCCAAGCGATAAGTTGCTTCGTGCCCTCAGTCCCCCAAGAGGGAGTATAAATTTTGTGGCAAGAGGCGCAGCTTCTTACACTTGGCTTGGAGAGAGAAATGGATGCGCTACTCGCCCGGGCAACTTTAGGGGGCCGTGGCGCATCCCCGGAGCTATGCGGGGAATCGCCGTGGCCCTAGAAGAAAGATGCATAAGCTTCCTTCCCCCCAGGTATATTCTGTATCCAAATTTCATTTTTGTTTTTTGAACCAGGTATCCCTGCAAAATCGGCAGTTTCTTTTCTCCCAAAGAATCCTTCATTGTAAAAAAAAATCAGGTGCCTTGGCTAGGCCAGGTTCTTGGAGACTGATAGCTACTCATATTAGCAAACAATTGCCTTTTTCAGGAGGGTGTGCGTGGAAGCCAGCCCACACCCCAAGACATTTGGTCATATCATGCCAAAGACACGTCTACGGTTAAAGGCCCCACCCAGGCACGATTATTCACCGCCCGCTTCCACTGGAAAATTTTGACACATGCTCACCTAGTACTTGCCAAAATGCACCAACATTTAGAAGATAATCGCTCCCAGGTTCTCCAGGAAACAGGGATGTAACGTTGCCCTTGCAATGTTAATTCCTTAGGCTTCCTGCCTCCCTTTCATCAGACCTTGCAGGGCAGGGGAAAGTTGCTGGGGAAAACGGCCTGTGCGGGTTGCCAGTGGAGGGCAGGGAAGGGCCGGGGTTCAAATCCACAGCCAGCTAGGATGCCGTGTGGGACCAGACGCCTGCTCTGGAGCCGGCTCGACTTGCGAGGTTGTGGGCGAATAAAAACGGGAGAGAGGGAAAGGGGGGCCGTTCCCTCGAGCTACTTTTGTGGAAGGATGGAGAAGCAAGCGAAGGCTTCCCCAACCCGATGCATTCAGTTTGTTTATTTGATTTATATCCCACCTTCCCCCTTTCTTTAAGAACTCAAAGCAGCTTCCATTGTTCTCCTCCTCCCAGTTTTATCCCCACAACAACCCCGTGAGGTGGGTTGGGCAGAGAGCCAAGCGGAGAATAGGACCCGGGTCGCCTGGACCCCAGTTCTGGGCTCTTCGGCACGTCGCCCCGCTGGCAGATGCAGCTGGCTGCCCTGGCTGGGAATTGTAGTGCACCCCGTTCGGGGGCTGCTGCGGGCTTGTAGTTGGTAATTTATGGAGCGGCTTCTGTGTTGTCCTTTCTTTTCTATTTACACAGGTCAGTTCAGTCTCTTTCACACAGTTTTAACACGTTGCCTTTTGGGAAGGCGCAAGGCGAGTTGGCTGGCAGAGCTCGTTTTTAACGCATGGCTGAGAACAGCTTCCCCACCTCCCCAAAACTGGGTCCCTCCAGATACGTTGTGGCTGGGGATGCTGGGAGTTGCAGTCAAGACGGATGGACGGACTCGGATCAGGTGAGAAGGCTGCCATTAGGCAGACTGGTGGAGGAACAGACCTAGCTGTCACATCGTTGGCTTAGACCTTCCCCAGCCTGTAGGGACTCCGTGCACCTGTGGGACCCATCGGCCACTGCTGCCGTTAGAAGGCGTCCCCTGAACCCGGGAGGGTGGTGGGAGTTGTCGCCGAAACGTCTCCCCAGCGCTCACACGCGTAGCCCTTGCGGCAAACGCATGATGGTTACGGCTGGGGGGAGGCTGGGAGCTGTAGTCCGCCACACCTGCAGGGCTCCAGGTGTGCGCACGTGGAGTGGCAGGGGCTGTCACCGTCCGCGGGAGACCCGGGCTCCTCCCCACCCTCCCCGGAGCGAGCCGACGCGCCCGTCCAGAGCCACCCGCGGAACGGCCAGGGAGGCGAAGGCACTCTGCACATGCCCAGGAGCGCCTCCCGGCCCGGGCGGGAGCAGCCCCCCGCCGGCGCCCGCCGCCCGCGCGCGGGGCCGGGCGGCCGTCTCCACGGCGACGCCGCGCCTCCCGTCGCCATGGCGACGCGCCCCTCCCCCGGCGCGCGCTCACCTGGGGCGCTCATGGCGGGTCCTCGGCCGGAGCGGCGGCGGCGGCGGCGGCAGCAGGAGCGTCGCGAGCCGCAGAGGCAGCCGGCGCCGGAAGCGGCCCTTATAAAGCCTCGGAAGCAGGAAGTGGCCGCGCGACGGGGCGCGGGCAGGGACAAACTTGGCGCGGGCGGGCGCCCCCTCCGCGGCACGTGTCGCCGGCGCCGCCGGGTCTCTGGGCGTGTGCGGAGGGCCTCGGGCCGGGCCGTGGGCTCGTGCGCCCGCGCGGCGGTGAGGGGCAGCCGCCTCAGCCCGGAGTAGCGGCCCTTGCCGGCAAGGCCTCATTCCCGCCGCCGCCTGTGGGCATCGTTTCGAGGCGCCGGAGCGGCTGCTGGGGGCTTGCGGCGACTGAGAGCGGGGCAGGCCCTCCGTCGGTCTTGCGGGCTGAGGGACGCGAGACCAGCGGAAAGGGGTCCGGCGGAGAAGGACGAAGACGCACAAGGCCGCCACCTGTTCTTAGTTTCCAAAAATGGCACAAGTGTTCTTTAGTTTCAGTGTCCTAACACAAAATGAAAGGGGGTTGGGAGGGAGAAGGCAGAATTACCAGTTCTTAAATTCAAAATGATTGTATGTCTTCCGTTTGGCAAAGTCAAAGCAAGCTCCCTGCGACTGTTCCTTCTCTAGCTGATCTGATCTGGTTGGTCTTTTGGCCTTGTGTGTGTGTTGTGCCTTTGAGATAACAAGTACCCCTAAGCATGTGCAGAGTGTCTCTTCTTCACCATCATTTCCCACTCATCTGTCACAAAGAGGGAAAGATGGACTCCCTGATCTCTCACCAGATACCCTACAAAGGTTATAAGTACCTGCTATACATGAGTCATGCCTACTTTACATGATGTTGTAAAGTAATTACTTTGAACAAGGTTCCTAAATATTTACTTCCCTGTGCTGCTAATCCCTTCTGATCAAAGCCTAATGACCAGGAAGATTTCCTCAGGTGTGGGTACATGTAATTTAGATGTGCTTCCTTATGCCAAGGATATGAACAACACCCACACTGGAGTCATGCTAAATGTTGGCACTGCCACTCTGAATATTAATTGGCTGGAAACTGCATTAATTGACGAAACTGCAAAGATGCAGGAGCAGCCCTTCCAGTCAACCACCCACGTTCTTTGCCTATTCTGCAGAGCCTCTCATGGAAATTCTGAGTGGGTTTTGTAATGATTTGTCTCCTACAAATTTTTCTTCTTTTCAGAAATGAATGCCGTTTGCATCATTTCCAGGACCCGGAGCAGCTTCCCTTAGGAACGCTTGGGACCGTGGCGGTGAGTGAGGGGATATAGGATAGGGTTGTACAAAATTGTGCCTGGTATAGACAGCAGAAACGGATCTACCTCTTGCCCACGCTCGACCTTAGTGTCGCATCCTGCAGCCGGTTCTTACGTTCCATCCACCTTGTCGGCAGTAGGAGACACTTTTAGTCAGGAGAGATAAATCCCAAGCGTAGGAGGAAGGGCATGGGAACGCACGGAATGGCCATTGTGACAAGACCTGCACAGCCAGCTATCAGCAGCGAAAAACATCCTTGGTTTTCATGGGTAGCTCAGTGGAAAGGCCAAGCCACTGTGAAGGACTGAAGAAGGCAAATTCTGCATTGGACGTCGTTAGGACAGGGATCCGAAATAAAGCTGCAAGGATATTTACACTTGGAATTAAGACTTGGGACCATAAGCTTTGCCGACGGAAGAGTCCCTTCCTTCCAGAAGGTGTCGAAATGGCCTTCTGCGTTCTCTTGTTAGCCACATCATTGAGATGGAATCTCTTGTAAAAAACGGTTGGTGTTGTAATACCGTTCTGGGTTCCCCTATTTGCTGTACAAACGGACAGGGCAGTTCCCCATTTCAGAGGCGTTCTGGCCAAAGCAGTTGCTTCGAGGGGGCTTGTAACCCTGCCAGCTGCTGCTGCTGATTTGGCCTCCTGGCGTCTCGGCTGCCCACCATTGGCAGCAACAGAGAAGAACCGACGGGTGACAGGGAAGGCTTGGTGGAACTTTGGACTGACCTGGCAACATAATGTTCCTCAGGCTTCCTGCCAGCCCTCTTCAATAGGCTTCCATTTTGATGACTCACCTGAATGCTTAAATGGCCTTGAACGAAAGGCCGAGGGGAGCCCGTTGGACTTTAGAATCATAGAATAGCAGAATTGGAATAGCCATGAATAGGATAGAATAGCCATGAAGGCCATCGAATCCAGCCCCTTGCTGTTGCAGGACACCACGTCACACCACCCCGCTCACAGGGTGTCCAGTTTCTGTTTGAGTGTCTCCAGTGTGGGAGAGCCCCCCACCTCTCCAGGCAGCTGGTCCCACTGCCCTATTGCTCTGACCGTGAGGAAGCTTCTCCTGATGTCCAGCCTGAATCTGGGTTGTCGCAACTGGAGCTGATTATTCCGTGTCCTACACTCTGGCATTAGCAAGAAGAGATCTTTGACCTTCCCCTTTGTGAGAGTCTTGGGATATCGTGCCCCCCTCAGTCTTCTCTTCTCAAGGCTAAACATGCCCATTTCTCCCAGTCTCTCCTCACAGGGCAGCGTTTCCAAACCCTGGGTCATTTTTGTTGCCCTCCACTGAACCCTTTCTAATTTCCCTGCATCTTTCTTAAATCTTGGTGCCCAGAACTGGACACAGGACTCCAGGCGAGGTCGGATTGGTGAGGAGCATAGAGGAACAACTACTGCTCGTGATTTGGAAGTCATACTTCTGTTACTGCATCCCAAAATAGCATTTGCCCTTTTGGCAGCTGCATCGCTTGATTTTCACACCAAGCACAGATCCCCTTGCCTGGCCGGCCACGCAAGTCCTGATCCCAACAGCTTGGGCGTGAAGTTGGGAGTTTTGCATTGCTCTTGGTCCCTTCACGCTGCTCCAGGACGCTTTTTTAATGACTGGCATTATGCAGGCTGTTCCCCAGTGCACGTTGAGGTTCATGGGGCAGCCAGATGGCCCCCTAAAAAGCGTGTGGACTTGCTTGGAAACGAGAGAGAGACGAGCTGAGCAGTCAGTTGGCCAAGAGCAGCACAGATGCCGCTGCGGAACAGCCATGGCTCTGAGCAGCGTCTGAGCAGTGTGACGTGATCCTTCTCTACCGTCTGCCCCAGCCTGGTGCTCTTGAGAGAGGATTGCCTGCCTTCTCAAAGTGGGGTGATGCTCGATTTGTTCTGTGACCCACGGCTGCAGGCAGGGTCCCCTGTGGCTTCTGTGCAGCAAGCAGCGGACAGCCCTGGCAGCAAAAGCACCTGCCAGCGCTTTCCACGGCCGCCACCCCCAGGCCACGGATGCTGGCCTGACACCACAGACAAGCAGCTTTCCCCCATCCTGGCTCAGTCCCCACAGCAGGGAAAGTTGCCAGCAGCCCAGCCCTTCCGCAGGAGTCCTGCTGAGCTCGCTGCGGCTGGCTTCCCCGCATGGGATCGCAGCCCTTGGTTTGGTGACTTGGATGGCTTGCTCCCCTCACAGCAGTGTGGCTACAGAGGGCGAGAGGACTCCCTGCCTTCATTTGCTTCTCCAGGCGCCAGGGCACGGATGCCACGGCCCCCTTCTGAGCCTGGTTTGGATTTAAACCAAGGGTGCCCACCTTGGAAGACATTCCCGAGGTTGAAGCTGGGACTCTGGCCTAGCCTGCCACCATCTAGAGAGCCTCTGCAGGCCACTGGGTTGTGCCCAAAGAAGCTTTGAGAGTGGAATTGGCGAGAATCCTGAGGGACGTGTTAGCCAAGGAGTAACTCTGAGAGCCTACAGGTTTATCTAGAGCATTTAAAAATGCAAACAGGCTGGCCTGAAGCAGGGATAAAGACACACAAAAGAATTCACACAGGCATTCTTTTATTTAATAAATTTCTCCACTGCTTAACAGAAGCGTTTACCAAAGCGGTACACAGTGCAAAGGCAGAATCACAGCACCATAATTCGAGTACTTGGATCTAAGCCAGTAACTAGCAGTGGACGCGATCAACAGAAATCAATCCGGCAGGGTTTGGCCGGAGGGAGACATTTTCCCCACGTGCCTGAGGCTCCCCGGCTCATGCCTTAATTCGGGGTTGTCCAGGGCTGTGCGTGCCTCCCCTGGACCGTGTCCTGTTGACCTCAGTGGGGGCCGTGCCTGCCTGAGCAGACCGCCCTGCGGATGCTTTTTTGAGTGAGCGCCAGATGGATCTAGTCCCAGAAAGTCTTTGTTACCTGCAATTCAGCAATTACCTCTTTACAACATGGTACTTAAGCAGCAGGTTAATCTTTGACTGTGCGGGTACATTTGCGGTCTGGTCAGTGTGAATTCCTCACTGACACGGAGATGCCGCTGCATGCCCTGAAGGACAGGAACTGGGCGACATTTTCCAAGACAAATCAAGCGAGGGTCATGGGCACCCCTCGGTAACAGGAGCTGTCCGTAGCTTGTGCTTCCGGGGCAGAGGAGGCTGCGTCAAGGTGAGGCCGCCTTCACCTGAAGGAAGAGAAGTCAACCTGAACACACCTGAGCGCCAGCAAAACTTTCAGCAAGACACCTTTTATCAGTGCCATGCGAGAATTTCCTCTCTGCCCACGCCTCTGAGGGGCTCTTTAATGCATCCACTGAATCATCGCCAATGTTTCAGTTGTTTTGTTATGGAGTGACCAATTGCTTTTTTTTCTTTTAAGTCTGACATGGTTTAATTCGGCTGGAAGTTACCTTAAGAATTTTCTGAGACAGGCGTACAAGACAGAACCATCATGTTCCAAGCTGCTAATAATGAGGATCCAAACCAACGTATTTACCATCCAAAATATTTTTAGCCACAATTAGAGCCACAGTTCCTGCCACTTGATCCCACAAAGTACGTTTTATGCTCAGGTAAAGACTTTTAGTTGCCAAAGGGGATCCGAAGATGCTTTCCCCATATCTTTTCAGGCGGAAGCCCTTCCCCCCCTTCACATGTTCTGGCCATGTTGTTTGGCGTTACAGAGCACCAGCCTGGAGGTTGCCTTCCCGTGCTTAAGAAGGAGCAGAGAAACGAAGGAAGGGGAATTTCTCTGCTTAAGAGCAGAGAAACTGGAAGAAGAGAAAGGTACCGCTGCAGTTCCAAGCTCGCCCCTGGCAAAGTGGGACAAGGGCTTTGCAGAGCCGTCCGAGGGTGGCTCAGAGCGGGAGAGAAAGAAGTCTGCTCTGTGGAATGCAGTGCAGCAAGAAGCACAATTGGTGCCGGGGGAGGTGATTTTCCACTTCCCAAACTCTGCCCCGAGCAAGTTTAGTACCAGGCTACGCAGTGCAAATTGTCATCCCCAAACCTTCTCCGGAAGAGGCAGTAAGATAAGTACTTACAGTGCTGTGTTGTTGGGTGATTTGCGGTTTTTCATGCAGCACTTAAAATAATAAAAAGAAGGTGTAAGCTTTGCATCCTGATCCAAAACACATGCCCAAGCAGTGGCTACCTTTGATTTTGACCGGGTGGCTTCCAAATTGGGCATTTGGCAGGGGCCAGTGGGTCTGGGGTTTGGCTCAGGGCTACGCTAGCCGCTTCCTCCACCTGGGTGTCTGCTGTTCCCCAAAGCTGAACTGGAGCGTCCCTGGTATTTTGCCTCCCTGATTCACTCCTCTGCACCGAGCTGGAAGCGGCCTGAGCTGCTGGGGTACATGAATCTTGCTGGGGCCGCCTGGGCTCTGATCGAAGGCCTCCAGCCACGGAGATGCACGGCTTCCGTGGACAGCTGGGTCCATCCATGGCCGGGCTGCCTGGAAGCACTTCCAAATCCACCTCCTGCACCCTAAGCCTGCTCCTTGGCACCCCTCTCTCTTGGACGAGGGGCTGTTTGGAGAGACGCCCCGTTGGGGCCTGGAAGCCGGCACCACCCTGCTCAGTTCGGTCTTCCCAAGGACAGGCACGCCCTGCGCACTCTGTGGCACCAAGTCCTGGAAAGCGGCTTGCTCATCCGAGGTTGGTGGAACAACTGCCGGTTGACGCACAGACGCGTCTCCCGCCCTCTTATCCCAAGATCTGCTTTTTCCATCTGTGGGCTCCCCACAAGGCATGTTCCGACTGAGAGAGGCCTGCACACCTGAGCCACAGGGCCACGCAGCCCTTCGTGGCATGTCTCTGCCTAAACCCGCCTCTGTCTCCCTACCTGCTAGACCTTCTGGCCAAGGACAGAGTCCTCCCTCCATGCTGGTTTTGCAATGGCGGGCCCGGGCCCCTCTTCCTACCTTCAAGATCCTCTCTCGTCGAGCCACGATTGCGAAGAGGATCGTCAGGGCGGCCACCACGGCGGCAGCGATGACGGCCTCGGTCGGGAAGGGAAGCTGCCTGTCTGCCGAGAGAAGAGAGAGGTGCCCGCCTGGGGTGGGTGCTGTGCACAGGGCCCACGCTATTTGGTGAGCACCCACTGGAGCTTCACGGCGCGTGAGCTGCTGGTCCTGCCCACCCAAGACGGCACCTGCTGGCGGGCAGGATGCGATCCGGAGAAGGGTGCTTCCCATAACGGCATGCCGATGAGACACTGGCGGAGCCGCAGACCAGACCCTGTGCATCCTGCGGCTTCCCCGACCGGGAGCTCCACCGCACAAGGGGCTTTGTGTCAGGGACCGCCCTGTGTCGAGAGAGTCCGGGAGGCCCTCTGGCACATCCCCAGGGGCACAAGCACCATGGCCCTGCTGCAGCCAAGAGTTTAGCATGTGCTACAACGGATCCCAGTTGCGGCTCAGCCCCAACTGTACGCGTAAGGACCTGAACGCAAGCTGGGTCCCGAAGATGCTTGGGTGAGGCCACGGGCTCCCAGGAGCCTTGCTCAGGAGCTGGAGGGATGCGAAAGCTGCCTAGTCTGGCTCCCTCGCCCAGGGCCGGACATCCAGCCCTCTATCATCCGGCAGAGTCCGGGCCCCAGGCAGCCCTGGCACGGGCCTGCAAGTGCTGCCGTCACGCCTTCCACGGGGCACTGCCCACGGCTGGCCACGCAGCCATCCCGACAGCTCGGGGGCTGCCGCTGCCAGCCCGACATAAACGGAACGGACCCCTGCCCCGGGGCACCGCCAGGCAGCCGCCGGCAGGTTGCTTGCTCTCGGGCAGGCCAGTCCATGCAGGATTACCTTGGACAACCAGTTGGAATTGCCAGCTCGCATTTCCGCGGCTGGATACCGCCATGCAGGTGTAATTCCCGCTGTCGGATTTCTGGACTTTCTGGATGACCAGCTGAAAAAGCTCGCTGCTCTGTAAAATCCGGTATCGGGGCTCCGTCAGGCTGAGGAAGAGCTTGTCTTTATACCACGTCATCTCGGCCACAGGGTTGGCCTTGGTGCGGCAGTTCAGTGTTGCGTCGTCCTCTTCTTGTACGGACGTAAGGTTTTCTCCGGCTAAGATGGGTGGGACTATGGTGCACCAACCAAGGATCATGTTAGACATTCCCCGTTCCTCAGTCCTTTGGTTCTCCCCTGTAGCTCCAGTCCCCAGACTGAATACACAGAGATGCGGGGGCGGTGTTGAAGCTACTGTATTTCCCCGAAAATAAGACTGGGTCTTATATTAATTTTTGCTCCAAAAGACGTAGTAGAGCTTATTTTCAGGTGCTGTCTGATTTTTCATGTACAACAATCTACATTCATGTGCAACTATCTATATTTATTCATTTATCCATCTACAGCAATCTACATTTATTCATGTACAACAATCTACATTTATTCAAATACAGTCATGTCATCTTCTGGAACATAACTCTCCAAACCCCGAATTATGTTGCAATGGATGTACTAAATGCATCCGTCTGGCTGATAACCATAACTGGGGCTTATTTTGGGGGTAGGGCTTATATTACGAGCATCCTGAAAAATCATGCTAGGTCTTATTTTCAGGGAAACAGGGTAGTGATGACCCCAAATGACAAAACACAAGTGGTCACACTAAAAATTCTCTCTCTGCAAGTATCGGATGGGACTTTACATTTCACCGAGGATCTTACATTTTGCGGGAGCAAGATGGGCCTGGCTTACGTTTGTTCCCAGCTCAAGAAAGGACAGCTTACAGGCTGCAACTGCCCCCGTCCGCCTCCATCACCCGGATCCCAGTTTGCCAGTCACTCACACACAACGTCCAGCACCACGGAGATCCGGGCGGATTGATTCCGAGCCAGCTGGCACGTGAAGGAGACCCCGTTGTCGTCCACGGAGACGGGGGAGATGCAGATGTCGCTGGCGTTCACTCGGTTCCCCTCCTGCAGACTGACCCTCCCATCCTCACGAAACCAGAGTAGCTCCTCAGCCTGGCTGGGATTCTGCACCCTACACGAGAGGGACTGATCCTGGCCCGGCTCGGTGGGCAGCCAGCGATCAGTAGTGTTGTTGTTGATGGCCAGTTCTGTGCCTGGGCAGGGAAACACGCACGCGTGTGACTTGGGACAAGGGGGTCCTGTGGACGGCACCCGTCAGGCCCAAACCCCTCTTCAGACCCTGCAAAATGGCACCCCCATCCCTTGCCACCCTGCTGGCTTCCGAAGGATGAGCAACTCCGAAGGAGGACGGCTTGGGTGCCGAGCACTGGCAGAAACCTTCAGCGAAGCCCCACTGGCTTCCGTCCATCGTAGCGACGCTTGATGAGTGCAGAGAACGAGAACGCTCGCCTTCCTCGCCTTTGCAGGACTCCCCGCCTCCCCAGAGAGCAAGTGTCTTGGGCTGGATTCTTTGGCATTTGTCTCCCGAGCTCCCAAAGGAGACGTTTCACTCCGAAATATCGACACCTGCATCGAAACCTAGCTACACAGCAGTTCCCTTTCTAGCTTGCCTGTCTGAGGAGCTGTTTCCAACTTTCCTTCTAGAGGGAGGGGAGGGATGCCCCCAGCCTCCCACTAGCCCACCAGAAGGCAGCCGCTCGGAAGCTCAGCCTGCGCACACCCGGCTTCTCCCTACCTGTGATGGTGCAGGGCAGGAACGCGAACACCAAGAGCGGCACTCCGGGAAGGAGGCGTGCGAAGCCGGCCGGTGCCATCTGCAGCTGGCCCTGTGGTAGAAAGCCGTTCATGCACGGATCCGAGACGGACGGCGTCACAAGCAGATGGAGGGCTTCCGCAGTCCCTTCCACCTTGGGGACAAGGCGTTGCCGGACGAATTTCCCCTCCCTCCGCGGTCTTGGCTGACCCATCGCCGCAAGGCTAACGAGTACACTTACGTTGAGAAGAGCCCGGCTAGTCGTTTGCTTGCCTCGGAGAGGAGGGCGATGCACGACTCCCCGGCTTTTATAGGGCGCCCATGGTTATATGTCTTTATTGCCGCAGAGCGGCGTGTGAGTCACGGGCCGAGTTCAAGGCCCTCGCTGCCTTGGATGAGTTTCTGGGTAAACACCGCTGCTTCCCCTTCTTCTGAAAAGTTGTGCTCCTCGCTTTATGGGCTGGGCGAGACAACGCGCAGCAAGCTGCGGAGGGGTCAGTCGCTAGAGGGTTTGACCCGAGGGGCAGAGTGTGCCCTTTATGTAAGACTTTCATGATTTTCCTGCCCTTTGAGACACAGGGATGAATAGAACAGAAGCCAGGGAGGGCCTTGGTGTGGCTGTTTGCACTGAGCGCAGTTGTGAGTGGTACAAGATTGCCAAAAGTCTTCTTCTGAGAAGGGCTGCAGCCTCCCAACCCCAAGATCCAGGTCTTGGGCGAACAGCTCCCTGGACGCTCTCCACCCTGCATATTGACTAGAGAAATCAATATGGAATTCCCGGTCTAAATTACAAGATCAGACTTTCAGGTACTCTCCACAAAACATTCCATTATGATGTGAATTCTCCACCCTTGCAACTACCCACACAAGGCTGGGGGAAAAAAACCCTGACCTCATTCCACAGGAATTTTTAATGGAAGCCATTTTAACTTGCGTTCAGTGTTTTCTCAAGAAATTGTTCAGGACTACAGCATTAGAAAGACACGACGACTTAATATTTTGCTCTTTCTTCCTCACCCCTCCCCTTTCCTTGGGGGTCATATCTTATTACATTAGAAGCTCTTGTCTTGTTTTTCTGATCTTGTGTAAACTGGCCCGGAAGTCATTTTGGAATTTAAAAAAAGGCAGTCATAAAACCAAGACCATTCTGCAGGACCAATTTATCTCAAACTGAATGAAAACTGATCTGACAAGGAGTCTCCGTACAAGGAACACGGGAAGTCCTCAACCAAGCCCTCTGAGAGGGATGGCTCTGAGTCCTGCACTGAGCAGGGGCTGGATCTGACGGCGGCCGGGTCCCTTCCAACTCTCCGGAGCCTTGCGTGCCTTAAGCTGGATTTCCAGACATTTTGGCCTTCGACTCCCAGAAGTCCCGTCAGAATGGCCAATGGTCAGACAAGCTGGGAGCTGAAGTCCCAAATACCTGGAGGTGTGCTTTCTCCCTACCAGTTCTTCCAGGTGCTCCGGGAGCAAATCAGAAAGATGGGTAATGGGTCGCCCATCTTGGCTGCTCCGGGCTTTCATGCCAGAGATGACGTGAGTTCCCAGGCGTACAGGTGCTCTCCTAGGCAAGTTTAGGCAGAAAGAAAGGCCGACGACTCCTAGCATAGGACTGGGCGTGATGGGCGTTGTTGTCTTTTTTCCTGTCGAAATTGCGCAGCAGTTGACTAACAAGGATTAAACCTCCCATTCATTTTCTGCAGAATTGGAAGTGGCCACTGGAGGGCGCAGCAGCACATGGTTTGGAACTGCTTTTTGCTTATTTATGTATGTGTTGGTTTATTGATTATCTGAGGGAGGCTTCCGTCCTGGGGGGCCGGGGGGTCGCTCTGAAGTCGCCACGCTTGGCTCACCCACTTCTAACAGGACACTCATCCAGCACCCCGTGCAATCGCTCAGTATTGTGCTTGTGGTTCTTCCGTCGCTTTCTCGGAGGGCAGAAAGTTCAAGATGTTTCAAAAACAGAGAAGACGATTCTCCATCAGTGAGAAGCCTTTCGTGATACTCACTTTTGTCTTTTTTAAAAGTGTGGGATTTTGGCATGGGCTATCACAAACTCTGGGTGTGTTCATTGTCACATTTATGCTGCCCGTTTTGGGTTAAAGTTTGGGGCCCCAAACTTTGAGGAAGAAATACAGCCTCTGTTGTAGGACAGCTTGTGTATCCTGATGTACAAGATGTAGGGTCGCATTTACAAACAGCAAGGAGTTTTCTTCTTCCTTTCTTGCTTTTAATTAATGTGTGATGCCATAGAAATCCCCTCCATATCACGTTTAAGGGCACAGTGACACACACATTCCGGGGTGGGGGGAATCCTACACCTCCGAGGAATCCTGGGAGAAGTTGCGGGACATTTTCCTGTCTGAACATATATTGGATCTTAACTTGTATCACATTTAAAAGAAAATGGCATTCTTGCTAATCGTGTTATAGCACTTAAAAACTTTTACCAAAGGTAAAAATGTCAGTATTATACTGTTACAAGCATTAGGCCTCTCTTTCATGGAAAAAAGCTGGATGTGTTGCTTTAACACAACGCCACTATAATGTTAATGTTTAAAATGATGTTATCATGGTGTTATAACACCATAGTGATGATGACGAATTTTACAGATATTCTTTAAAAACTTGGCCAGAAAAGGGGATGGTTTGGGGGTTTTTTAAATACCACCAGAGGCTTATAGGATTCTGCTAAATCTCTCTTTTGTTTAAAAAAAATCTCGTGGCCAAGATGTTTTTGCAATGTTTAAGAGACTGATTAGAAAAGAAAAACAGGCAGGGTCGGAAAACGGGGCTCACGAACGAGGGTTTAATGAACAGCTGCGGGATGAAAAAGGAGAGAAAGGGCAGGCACGGCTGAGCTTCGAAGGGCTTCATTGTGGACCTGCGGATGGCCGTGGGACACAGTGGAACGTCAAGGTAGACTGCTCCTGATATTGGAGGAAGGCAGTTACCATTCTGCTTGTTGTTTCGCAGCGGAAGGAGTAGCGGTTAGGAAGCTCTGGAAGCGGAAGGACGGGGCGCAAAGCAAGCCGGAAGATGGCCAAGAGCCTCGAACTGCGGGGCCACAAACCTGCCCTGAGGGTGGTGGGGTTGAGCATTCGCACGGCACCTTTTTGATTTTTGTTTTAAGCGATCCGTGTAGCCGCTTTGCGAGGGTGCGGGGGACGGCGGGAACTCTGAAGTGTCACCCTGCCGGCAGCTGTTCAAGGAGTTCCTAGCAGAACGGGGGGTTTAGGAAGGGTTGTCCGGGTTCGTGTTCGCACCCTGCAGTGCTGCCAACCTTCCCCGGCCCACTTTGTGCCAGCGTCTCGTCCCTCCACCGGACATTTGTGGAGGACAAAGGATGCCGGCCTGCAGAAAAGCGAGACCAAAGCGGCCTCTGGGAGTATCAATTTGCAGTTTAGCCGTGAGTTGGGCTGAGATAAGCATCTGCTGGCAGGCACGGCGAAAAGGCGCCAGCGACCAAGTGTTCAGACCATGTCGCAAGGAGGCAGAGCCAGCGGCGGAGGGGCGGTGGCCGGCACCGCGGTGGAACACGCTTTGCAGCTTTTCTCGAGGACATGTCGAAAGAGCCAGAAAAAAGCATCAATTAATAATTGCCAGTCCGGGCTGGCATGTAACCGAATCCCCCACCTGTGCACCTGGGAGGAAGAGAGATGTGGGGCACGATAAGCCAGGCAGAAGCTCAGGCTCTGTCCTCTTGAGCTGAGGCCTAGTTAGGGCCGGATCTCAGACAGGTGTGCAGGAGGAAAGCAACCTTGCGCCGGCGCACAAAGGTTTCGAAACTGCGGGCAGGTGGGCTGCTCTGAGGAGCCGCAATGCAGCTGTTGCGATCACTACATATACGAGGGCTAAAATCAAGCTGCACGTCTCACAGCCCCCTCTAGGTGCGGCTGTGTAACTTGGTGCATCTTGTGCTGGTCTCCTTCCGTGGCTTCTGGTCCTCCGGGTGTTTTGGCCTGTAACTCCTCAGATCCTTCACTGCTGGTTATGTTGGCTGGAGCTGAAGGAGGGCCAGAAGCAGCTTGTGCTTCTGTGTTTAGTCCACCGTAAAACCCAAGGCAAGGACACTAACGTGGGTGTAAAGACTTTTCCCGGCTGGCTGCTCCCTCCCTTTTGGTGATCCGGGATGTGCAGGCTAAAACACACAACTAATCTGCAGGAAGATATCACATCCTCCACAATCCTCCATCTCGCCTCACTTGAGAACAGACTTTTCAAATGCTCTCATTTCTAATCACCAGCAGCCGTGGCCTGGGCTTGTCTTGGCTACAGAGGGAAAGACAGCCAGACCTCGGCCACGGCCCGAGAGGAGCATCCTCCATGCTGATCTGAAGCAGCTCTGGTCAACTGCCGCGAAGTTTACGGGGGACCCATTCCCCGTGCGTCACCCCGTTTCTCTGGGTGCTTCTGAATGGAGTGCTTGAAGCACCAACCAGCCCAAATTGAATACATTGGTATCCCATCGATCGCCTTCTCCTTGGACGTTTCTTCTGTGGTGTGGGCAGACATGGGCAGGGTGCTGCAGAAACTTTGCTTTCTGTGTGTTTAGGATCTGTGAGGACATGAAGTCAAAGGGATAGGCTGGGTGAGTCATTCCCAGCGTTTCTCCCTCGCCTGGAAAAATGCTGCTCTGGAGAAGCTGGCAGGGTCAATGCCTCCTGCCTCACCTGCTTGCTGCACTTCCGTGATTTCACAACCCTCCCAATGAGAGCCTTGAGGAGCCCTCTGCAAACAGAGCTTGGAGGGGTTTGGCTCTCTGGCACTGCTCCTCTGCATCTGTGACCCTTGGGTGATGCCAGCCGGTGGCAAAGTCCAGCTTGAGCACCGCTGTGGACACACCTCCGGCATGAAGGTCAAGGGAATCATGAATGTGAGAAACCTCGCTGGGCCCCCGGGGCTGAGCGCACGGTCTTCCGGCTCTTTGCGACTTTGAGCGCCTCTGCCCGTCTCCCAGGCAGGGGAGGCACCCGGAGTAGGAGCGTGAGCTTGGCTCTCCTTTTGGACCGGAAGAATCCGAACCTTCCCGCATTCCTCTGCTGGGACGACCCGGTGGAGGTTGCTTGAACCGCCCCGGAGCATTAGCAGGACTTCTCCTAACAGTTTAGGATTTTTGGCTTTGGTTCAGAAAGGAGAGGGAGAGATGGGCTTTGAATAAGCCGAAAGTTGTTTTTAATCACACGTGTTAATTGGCGAATGTACTGTCTGGGCATCTGCATTTCAGCGCTTCCGGGCCGCACGGTTCATTTCCCCTTTCCCCAGCGTGTGTGAGAGAGATGTCGCCTTGCGGTTAACCTTTCCTTCGAAAGCTTACACAGTAATAATTTTTCAGTCTTTAAGGCACCATAGGACCTTTGCTAAGGAAGAAAGGACAGCCCCACTGGATGAGAGTGAGGTCGACCCAGCACAGGGCTCCGCCCGCATCCTGGCAAACCAGCTGCCACAGCAGCCTTCAGGCAGATGGGGGCAAGAGTTCCACCTGCCCAGCAATGGGGGGACACAGGCAAGCCGCCCCTTTTAAAGGCATCCTGGCTGGAGGTCTGCAGGGCTCCGTTTCCAAGGTGCTGTGCAAAGGACGGCCCTTTTACGCATCCCGAACCTCCTGCCAAGCAGCTTCATGGGAAAAGCAGACTTGACTGTTGAACGACCCCGATTCCAGACGGTTTATTGAATAGGCTGAAAAGCATTCATACGAATGCAGAACCCTGTTTTCCGCCCGGTAACTGAGCTGGAGGAGGATCCCGCTGTCCCGGCCCCCATTCCAGGACGGTTCGGTTTCCTCAGGAGCCTTTGATGTGGCCTTTGAAGGGGTTTCACCACCTAAATTCTGCTCTTGCACATCCCTTTCACCAGTTCCTCCTCTTAGAGAAGCTTCCTCGGGTGAAGCCAAACGGAACTGCTTTGGAGCTCTCGACTTTTACACCTGACAGCGCCATGGCCCCCGTTTCCAGTTGGTTTATCAACAGTTGCATCTCAGTCCTGGACAGCTGCACCAAGGACGGGATCCAGGATCGCCTCCCCTCTGGCTGCATCCGTGTCCAAGCATTCCAGGGGCAATCATTTAGGACAAGGTGAAATTGAATCTGTCGGAAGTGCAACATTCAAGGGTGGATTCACACGTGAGTGCAAGCGACCCTGCCTGGTTTGCATAATGCACTTTTTGCCTGAGGGATGAATACTTGGTTTCTGTACGTTGTACATTCTCGAGTCAGCTGAATGCTGTGCCAGGCTTGGCATACAGACAACATCTCCTACCAAGCACCCTTCCCTGTTCTTGCTGTGCAGCCTAAACTGCCTCACACGGTCCCTGAGAGGGTTAAAAAAAACAGAAACACAATCTCCAGTGCTTATTTATTTATTTGGAATATTTTCATCCCGCCCTACACAATCCAGTTGTCCCGGGACAGCTTACAATATAAATAAGCATTAATTCACAAACAAAAAGACGGTAAGAAAAAGCCTGCATTGGATCCCTTCAGACGTGACGCGAGCACCCGCGCCCGCTTCCCGTGAACAGCCAGTGACGTATGCAGCCGCCTCCCCTTCCACGTCTCCTAGCCCCGCTTGTCAACCGCGCCTCAGCCTCGCCGCCGCCTCTCATTGGCCGGCCCCGCCGGCCCCGCCCCCTCGCAGAGGTCGCCCCCCCGGATTGGGCCGCCCGCCGCGCGTGCCCGCCTTCTCCCCTGCGTCCGCGGGCCTCCGCGCCGCCCTCTGGCGGTGTGGCCGCGCCCCGCCCCGGCTCGCCCTCATTGGCGGCGCCCACCCATCGGCCGCCGCCATTGGCCGCCGCGAGCCCCCTCGCGGCCAATCGGCCGTCGAGCCGCCGC